AACAGATTTAACTGGACATCTAAAAAAAAAAAAAAAAAAACAGACCTATTTGAGGTGTTTAAACTATAACTTACATAAAAAGCACAAGTTATAATTAAGTAAAAATTGCATATATCTGTGCTATTATGCAGCACTAATGGAGTTTGCTGTATAAAACAATGACAGCAGGTGCAGATGTGACAAACATACCACAACATCTGACATAAAAGGCTAAATATGCGGATGAATCCCTCAGTGACAGCCTGGCTCTCCAGAAGTCCCTGACACCCCTCTGCACACATTTGTTCTCAACATGCCACTTCACTTTCTCCCGGCACCGCGCACTCTTTTATTTTGGCTTTTCCTGTCCTCGGCAGTACACGTTCTTGCAGCTCGGGATGCATTTCAAATCTCGTCTCTCATACCAGCCCGTCCCCGCTGCCAGATTGGTTTTCACACAGTCCCGGCCCCTCCCTTGCTACCACGGCGACGCAGCTGTCACCTGTCAGTTTCGTGGTAGGGGATGCGCAACCGGCCTGTTATGGCTCAGAATAGCATTGTGGGAGAGTTTTGCTGGAAGTGGGGAGAGCACGGCAACCAAGTCTTTGAGAGAATGAACAGTTGACTAGGAAACTATCTCAACTATATAGGAATGTAGCATATGTGTGTTCGGAGGTTACGGGGTGCCGCTCATGGGAGAGACTGACCGCTTCTACAGGGGGAGAGACTCTGGTTCACATTGCATTGGTAAGGCCTCATGTCTCAGCCACACCAACCTCAACAGGCTCATTTGAATGTGTAGGCAGGGCTACACTGTGAGGAGTTGTTGTCCAGGACTGATTGTGATTCATAGTTTTGAGATTTTCATGGTATTCAGAACTATAATTTATACAGTTATGTTATCTGATCTGTTTGTGCAGTTTTTTAAATGTATTTTTGCGGCGCCTCTGTCTGACATGATCTTCTCATTCTCATTGTCTTTGTTTTAAAATCTGTGATCTGAATGGATTTGTTTCTCTCCCGGCAGAATGGATGACCAGGACAGAGTAAGCCAAGCATCCAGTGTGGCCACAATATCCTATTTTCCTGTCATTAAGGTTTTTTTTTTTGCTTTTTTTTAAAAAAAAGTTTGCATGGCTTTTTGTCATTGTGCGCATGGGTGTCTTACTGTGACGCTGCTAAGGCATAGATATGTGCATGATGTAAGTCCATCTTCTAACAGGAAGGTGATGGGAAGGTGCAAACATTTGGGAAACGATGTCAGGCTGCCAAGAGGGACCCCAACTGTGCCGTGGTCATCAGAGGATGGCTCAACAAAAAGGTAATTTTGGGTTGTAAAATATATATAATTTCCTCATTGTATACAGAAGAGTGTGTGGGCTGAGTGAAGCTAACAACATTTATTTTTCTTCTGCAGGACAGCTCTGGTTTAAAGCTGTGGAAGAGAAGATGGTTCGTCCTCTCCAACTACTGTCTGTTTTATTACAAAGGTAAGAACCACAGCTGTATCGCAGCACTTTGTCTGGATACAACATTTCCATGTGCATCTTTTCTCATGTTCGGGTCTATTCCGTCCTCCATCAGACAGCAGAGAAGAATCAGTGCTGGGCAGCATCCCACTCCCGAGCTACAAAATCCTGTTCTGCACGCCGCGGGAATGCAAGAACAGAAAGTTCACCTTCAAGGTATCATCATCTAGTCATGATTGTAAAAATGTAAGCTGTTGTCCGATTATTACATTTGGCTTGTTTTGTTTAGTGTTAAACCTACAGTCGTCCTCAAATGTATTCAGACCCTCCCATTAAAGAAGGAAAAGAAATATATATATATGTAAAAAACTAAAAAAGCAAACAGGCATGATGGGACCCGTAAACTAATACTTTGTTGAACAACCTTTTGAGCCAATCGCTGCAATCAAGTGTTTTCTGTAACTCTCGATCAGACTTCTGCACCTTTTGACAGGTATTTTGATTTCACTGCTCATCAGCAAAGTTCTCTAATTTGGACAGTATTTTTTTTTCTTTTTTTCAAATTATTATTTTCAACCACGATTCAAAAGCAATGTCTTATTTCACTAAATTATAATTTAGCAAATTTTTATTTATTATTACTTGTTTCAGTTTCTAGTTATTTAGAGAATTTTGCCTTTTCTTTAATGGTATGAATGAATTTGAGGACAACTGTTACCAACAGGGGTATTACACATCCAGCATAACTTGTAAATAATGTCTGTAATCTAGGTGGTGCACCAGGGAATGCGCTCTTATTTCTTCAGTGCTGACACTCAGGAGGACATGTTGGGTTGGGTCCGAGCCCTCAGTCAGTCTGCTTCCATGGAGCCAGACAGCACCATGAACAGGTAGAACCACCGCTACGCTCATCAGCTTGTATCAAACCATTTTTCATTCCATTTTTACTGTATGGAGCTTTTTCTCTCATCCTCCCAGACGTTGCTCAAGTTATCAGGATTTTACGCAGATAGGTGGCAGCACTGAATCGGTGGACTTCCCCAAAGCCCCCTCAGATGAAGAGGGTCCCCCCCGAAAACACCGGCACGCCAGCAGAACCCTAAGTGAACCATATCAGCTGAGCGGAGGGAGGATGGGGAGGTCGCAGTCAGAGCACAGGGAGAGGTGGGGTGGACTTCAGAGAAACACCAGGTTGTCAAGTCATCTCTCTGCATGAGATGGTTAACTTTAAGGCACAAACAAATATGTGAGAGACGTCCTGGGTTGGTAATCTATTCTTCTTTTTCTGGTGTTTCCGCAGCCCTTCAAACAGAACCCCCAGCCCTCCTGAATTCAGCAGAAGACGAGCTTACTGTCCAAACAAAGAGGAAGATTCTCTCCCCGGTCAAGACATGCCACCACAAACAGACGCGATGGGGACGACCTCAAGAGGCCAACTGGGGTCTCGACCTCACACGCCAGTGGGACGGGTGGACATCCGACCCCATGATGACCCGCTCATGGGGCCACAGACCCTGTACTACGCACCTGCTTCACCCAAGCTGGAGTTCAACTCCACTCCTACAACACCAGTCACAGAAAGGTGGCAAAGTCTGAGCAAGGTCAGGATGTTTTGTTTTGTTTATCTCGATTGTAACATATCGTTCATTAGCTAAGATTCCTGACGTAGTACTAAATCTAAAGCACGATAGAGATGTTATTGAAGAACTAGTATGTTAAATAAGTCATATAAACCACATCACCTTATCTCATTTCTAGTAAACATCATTGGCTATTACTGTTTTATTTACCTATCAATGGGAGTTTTAGTGTTTGGCCCAAATTTGCTGTATTTTTTAGCTGCCAAGGAACCAACTTTACGCTTTAAGTTAATTTTCCTCCTGACACGAACCACTTCTTCCCCTGTGGAAACATTTATATCATATCGTGCATTGTTCTGAAGGAGTTTTTCAATGTTTCAAAAATAACTCTGATAGTATCGTCTCCTCTCTAAGTGGGCTTCAGGCTTACACTTTCTAACAAATGGCCTCTGTTATAAACGGAAGCTGTGGTATTGGTGAAAAAGTAGGCAAGGGGAGGTCTAATGAAAGATGCTCTTCGGCTGCATGGTGGGAAATAGAGTCACGTGTTGTTTAGCTTCAAGCAGAATTCCAGTTTATTTGAACGGTGCGTGTTTCCCATTAATGTGGCTATTGTCGCTAACTTTGCACTCTTCACCTCCGTGGTAGAAATTCAGGGGAAGGGTGTGTAGCTGGAGGCAGTTAGCATGAGATCCCCGCAGTTTTCCCAAGAAGCAGACTTTCTCAAGAATCACTATTGGTTTTGAAAGTAAACAGAAATGAGTCACCTGGAACGGCTGTACTTGGAACTGTTCTAGCTTTAGAGCTGAGCTGTTGCTAGAGTCGCTCTCGTTCTTTTCTTAGAGTTGATTTTGGGGAGGGGAAACATGATCTCCAAGACAGCAATGTTAATAAAAGCTGCAGATTTATTAGATGTAGGTCCACAACTTGGGTTATTATTATCAGTGGACATATGGATGTTTTCCAAGTTTGGCATCACCAGGTTCCACCCTTCACAGCAATGGTTTTCCTCCTTAGTCAGCAGCAGAGCAACGAGCGCAGGAACACCACCAGTTTCAGATGTATGTTGTTTTTCAGGAATCCTGTTCTTTTCTGGGGCTACACGGTGGATCGGTGGTTAGCACCGTTACCTAGTAGCTACAAGATCCCTGGTTCGTGTCCCGGTTAGGACTACCAGGAATCTTTCTGCGTGAAGTTTGCATGTTCTCCACGTGCAGCGTGGGTTCTCTCCGGGTTCTCCGGCTTGCCTCCCACAGTCCAAAAACATGTTGAGGTTAATTGGTAATTGTAAATTGTCCATAGGTGTGAATGTGAGTGTGCTTGGTTGTCTGTCTCTAAGTGTAGCCCTGTGATAGACTGGTGACCTGTCCAGGATGTCTCCTGCCTTCACCCTGAGTCAGCTGGGATAGACTCCAGCCCCCCACGACCCTAGTGAGGATTAACAGATGTATAGATATAGGTATAGAGTATATATATATATATAGTATTGTATAGACAATGGATGGATGGTTTTCACCTCAATGAAAGTCAGCCTCACAGTTGTAAACAAATATGTGTGAGCAGATGAATATGTCGGTGATCAGGTCTACTATCACTGGATGGAGATCCCTAATGGAGTCGGTGTTTTGGTCAGACCAAAACAAATATTGAATCTTGCCGTTCACAAGCTGTTCTGGATGACTACTCTTTTCCTCAGATCTCAACAAAAGAGGGGAAGAGTGCAAAGTTAGATAGCCACATTAATGGTGTAAACACCAGGATGAAATAAAACTGAATTCTGAGTGAACCCATAGTGTGGGTTAAAATGTATGGTAACATGTGCATTTCAATCCTTTAATTTTGTTTCAAGAGCTCCTGTTGCTCACATCTTGTCTTTTCTTTTTTCACAGCCTGTTCCTACTTATGGTTCTGTCCATCACATATCAAGTGGGCGAAGACCTTTGGGAAAGGTGACTAGATGAGAATATACGAATATCAGATCAGTTTACAGCAAAACATCCACACTAGTGTGCAGCACATCACAACTACTGAGTAAACATCTGTTATCAGTGATACTATGGAGTAAAACCCACTTCTACACATTATTGAAGTCTCTAATAACATTGTGCACAGCAGCGCAGTATTCTGTTTAACATCATGTGTTCTCTTTCCACACACATGCTGTCTCTTCCTTCAGAGCTACTCCACAGGGGCACAGGCAGACTTGCTGCCCCCTTTACCCCCCTCATCGAGAGCTGCACATGCCCCCCACCCCCCACAACACCACCACCACCATCATCACCATCACCGCAGCCATTTATCTGTTTGTGTGCTACCGCAGGCTATGGTACCGGCTGAACTGTGCTGTTCTTATGGCGTTCTGTGTGGTCCGACGTGGTGTCGTGGCATTTTTATATCTGTCTCATGTCGTCAAAAAACTTTGTCTGTAACTGTGTGGACTCTAACATTATTGTTATGATCCTGTTATACTGGTCTGTGTACTGTTATATGTATGTCACTGAGTTGTTGTATGTTCATGTCACTGTCTTGTTTTGTCTCAGTGCAGATTTTTTGTTACTAATCAATCATATGTCTGTTATTATTGTTATTACTGTGTTTAATAGTACTGTTATATCTGAAGTTGTTACATCTATACTGTGGTTTGTCTATGATGAGTACTGCCATTACTGTACATACTTGAGTATTACATAAAGTTGCTGTTTGTTATGTTACAAATGCATCATATTTGAGTACATTTTGAAATTTTTCTTTCTTAAACTTGTGGCCAAACTCATATTAGATGGCTGTAGTGTGCTGAAGCTTGTGCAGTGCTCTGTTGAAACAGCTCAATCTTCACATTCAGGCACTAACAACAAAGCATTTAAGCATTAACATACACATAATACGCTAAATATGTGTTGAGATTAATTCGTTAAAAATATCTTTATATATATTTAGATTTCCAGTCATACATCTAAGACTAGTGAACCGGACAAAGTTGTATCAAACATGACTCTTTCAAAACAAAAAAGAAAAAGAAAAAGTTAAACGAAACATTGATATTTAATATTTCAGGCTCCGAAACCTGACCCGAGGGAAATGCCACCGATCCGGCCTCTTGAAAGTGACGCAGATGTGAGTGTTCGTAATTTAGTGATGTAAATTTTAACGGGAATAAAACTAGTGAAAGATTTCTTTTTGAGGAGACACAAGTTTGAAATCTCCCTCTCCTTCAGGTCGTGCTGACGAGGTTGTGTGGGTGTGACAAGCTGCTGCAGTCTCTGTCCGTCGAACTGGCCCAGTTACAAATGGATAAGGTTAGTGATTAGACTGCAAATGTACGGCTGTTTACACAAGACATGATCAATACATCTCATTTAGAAGTCACATTAGATTCTAAAATTTAAAACCAACCAAATACCTTGAAAATCGATCTCCGCATTTGTCAAAATTTTAAATACAATTCAATAAACTAATTTAAAAAGATAAAGCTTTCTAGTGCTATATTCTGTCTTTTTGGGAACTACATATGAAAATATGGCACAAAGCTGAATATTGTGCTTTTTTTTTTTCATTAAGGATAACAATGAAAAAACAATAATAGAAACGTATGTCCTCTGTTGCAGGACAGTGTCCAGTGTGCATTAGAAGTGTCCAGGATACAACTAGAAGAGTGGAAAAGTCAGGGGCCTCGAGCACACGAAGAGGTTCTGACCCAGAAGGCTTTGCTCCAAGAAGAGCTGGTCACAATCCGGGCCAGAATGTGTGACGTGTCAATGGTGTGTTACAAACATGGTGAAGAAAAACAGCGTCACTACATAAATCGGTCATTATGAATGCTTTTCGTGTTCATAAATCCTCTCATCCTTGTGTTTAGGAAATGGAGCGAGTATGGAGTCAGTATGAGAGGATGGAGAGTGAACTGTCCGTTATACGTTCACACCTTCAGCACATCTGTAACTTTGGCATGCCACAGGTATTTGTAAATTACAAGCCATTGCTACTGTTTTCTACAAATATATAACTCATCTTTGGGGATGCAGATGATCATTTTAAATTAATTCGCTCTATGTCTCAGTGAGAGTGTTGCCAATGTATAGTGTCGACCTATAGTGTTGAAGTCATGTGTCTTTTAAGCAAACGGCATGTTCGTGCCGGAAGACATCTCATGTGTCAGTTTCTATCTGATCAGGAGCAGTCTCAGGCTCAGAGAGAGCTGTGGATGATGGAGGACATCCTCGCTGGACTGAAGGTCAACAGGGATCATTTCCGCTTCCTGCTGGGACTACAGAGACACCACAGTAAGACTCATCTGCTCCTACTGTTCAGAGCCTTACTGTACATTACTGTGTTCACTCAGTTGGAACAGTGAAGTTTCGCCTGAAAAACCCCGAGGATGTGGGAATCAGGTCAGCAACCACAACCCTGCATTACCCAGTGGACATTCAGAACTGTTCTTTGAATGGTTGAGCTTATATTGCAGTTTCATCCAACAAGCTTTGCAAAGTTGCCTCTCATTCACCCAATAACACACACTGGTGGTAGTGAAGTACTATATAAAGTACTGGCCTAACTATAGGGAGCAACTTGGGACTCGGTGTGTTGCCGGACACATTGACATGTAAACATGATGAGCTGGGGATCAAACCATCTACGCTTGGATTAGAGGAACTGTTCTTTCTGAGCCACAACCTGCCCACATGTAGCATGTTAAAATAAAACAATACCAATAATAACAACTTCATTCATGAAGCATCTCTTTATCACAAAATGCTTTAGAATAAAGACAGATATCGCAAGTAATAAATAATCCATCCATTATCTAGCAACCAATTATCTCACTTAATCCTCACTAGGGTCACGGGGATGCTAGAGTCTATCCCAGCAGACTCAGGGTGAAGGCAGGGGACTGACAGGTCACCAGTCTATCACAGGGTTGAACCAGGGATCTTCTAGCTGCAAGGCGATGGTACTAACCACTGAGCCACCGTGCAGCCCAGTAATAAATAATATCCAAGCATATAATTTCACAAAATAAAATCAATTAAGTAGTCGACATCAAATACCAGAAATTAGGAATAAACCAAACAATAAAACTGAGCCTTAAGAAGAGATATAAAAGAGGATACTTTTGTTTGCCTGCCTGAGATCTCCAGGCTGGAAGTTCTACAGCTGAGGAGCCCAAAAAGAAAAGACCTGCTCACCTTTAGTAACAAGACTTTGGAGCCATTAGTAAGGCCCTGCTGCAAGATCTGAGGCAGTAACATAGCAGATCACAGATTTAGGCAGGAGCCTATCCATTCAAGTCCTAAAACACAAACAGAATGCTCTTAAAATCAATTCTGAAACTCAATGGCAACCAGTGAAGGACAGCTTGAAGCAAGGTAATACGGTTGCTTCTATTGTTGTGTGTTAAAACTCTTTGAATTGCTGATAGCAGAATAAAGTATTTTGCAGTGGTCAAGTCTGGAGGAGATGGAAGCATGTATGACCTTTTCTAAGTCTGCAGAGGAGAGAAATGACCTGATCTTTGTCTTAGTTGGGCAAAACACTGCTTTGGTCACGTAAACATTAAAACACTTGTAATAATTAATAATTATGATCACTTCAGATTTGATGTCATTGAGCTCCAGTTTTATAATACTCTGAAATATCTGAAGTACCACAAGACCCAGAAAGTTATAGAGTTTAACTGAGTGCAGATCCTGGATGGGTGAATGAACTCAGTGAAGTGATTCCTTTCAAGTTGCACACGGCAGTTTTACATAGAAAAAGGTATCAACCAAAAAACCTCCTGTTTCATTGTATAAGAACCTCGCAGTTTAACTTAACTGAAAACATCAGGACTTAATGACTGACAGTTTAAGACTGGACACTAATGTTACACTACATGTGAACAATTGCACCTTGCTGCCACTTGGGGCCGCCAGTGTGTTGATTTTTCCTGGTCCATCTTGATTGTGCACGTTCAAACCTGACAATAAACAGACGGTGTCAACACTGTGACCTTTCCTGTCTCCCCCTCAGTGTTCCAGTCTGCAGCTCCACATCCTGGGTCCCCTGGTTCTCCCACAGAGAGGCTGCAGAGTGGACTGCCAATGGTACGACTCCTGTCCATTGTTCCTTTGTCAGAGGCCCCACACGTTTGCTCACTGCTCGTGAACAAACGTGGAATTGTTGTGCACTCAGGAGAGCATCTGTTGAATAAGTCTGTGGGCATCTGGCGACGTTTTAGCCTGCAGGGGTTTTCTTTAAACAGGATTTGGTTTAAAATACATAACGTATTGAGAGCCTATCAGTCTGGCATAGATACAATAATAATCTTCCGTAACGCTTTCATAGTTTTAATCACGTCCCTTGCGACTATGATCCAAGCAGGACATGGAACAAGAGCCGCCAGTCCGCCCACCGTTACCCCAGGAGCTACAGGAAAGCCACCAGAGCAGGGACCAGGGCCACGGTTGGAGCGAGTCACCATACGAGGTGGGAAACACTGACGTTATCGATGACGAACACAGTCGGATTTGACAATGGTGTCACGTATTTCTGTGCTGATGTTTCAGGGAATCTACAGCCACACTGTTGATCCTACGCACAGAAGAGGAAACAGTCAGCCTGACCTCCTTAACGTGAAAGCACACAGAGACGCATCCGGTGGGCATAAATACACTTGATACGAATAGAGTGATATTAATACAGCGTGCCGTAAATTAATATTTTCTGTCACATCTATTATTCATAGCTTTAATGGGTGTTTAATGCAGTAATCTAAATCATGTTGTTGGCCCCCCCTGTGGCTTTGTTTTGCCTTCCACCCTCATATTTCCGATTTTCTCTTTGTTCCTGTCACCCATCCTCTCTCTCGCTTCCCTCCATCCGCTTTTTTTTTTCCCCTCTGTTTTCATTTTATCTTTAGAATCCCAGCCCGGTTCAAAGTGGATCCCACCAGACACAACCAACCAATCAACCAAGGTTTGATTCTTCATAATTTCCCGTATGCTGGTATGCAATGTGATCCAAAACGCTCCAAATATAGAAGCAGTCAAAGCTGATTTTTCCTCATTGCAATCACAGCCAAATTCCAATTCTTTGATTCTCTCATCTTCCTTGCAATTAGGGCATGTTGCAATGCCTGTTGTAGGCGAGAGGGGGAGGCAGAGGCTCACGTCTCAATACAGCAGCTTCTCGCTTTTCTGCCACCCAACCCCCCCTTTCTCACATGCACACACACGTATATGTATATTTATGACATAGCACGCAAGCAGCCATATGTATTTTCATGCACACATGCACTTCCGCACAAACAGACGCAAACACAAAGCCATAATAATCACCTGTTTACTGTCAGTCATGTTTTGTTTTTTTTGCTTCATATGTGCATGTGTTCATAAATGACTCATATTTCAACATCTTTATTAGAAGATGAAAATGAAAATGAGCGAAGAGGAGCAGATTGAGAGGATGAAGAGGAATCAGGAGAGGATGACTAACAGGAAGAAACCTCCCATACCTGCTCCAAGCACCCAGACCCAGAGTCAAAGTTCAGAAACAAAGGAAGAGGTTTGCCCAATCATTCATGACTGACTGAATCAGTACATTATATATATAGTATTCAAATTTACTAATCTATCTTGGTATTTCCTAAGGCCCCCTTTCCCTTAAGGGTGACACGAGTTGTGACAGCCGTCCTGCCGTCCTCGCTGGTGGCCAGACGAGTTTCTGTCGAGGATCCCCCGGCTGAGCTCGACATCCCACTGCCCGAGCAGATCCCACCCGAGATGCAGCAAAAACTGGCTGAGCAGAACAAGAAGCTGTTGAACAAGCCACCCAGGCGGCTGTTGTTGGACAGCCCCGATCAGACCCGGGCCTCGGTGGAGATGAGCCCGGATCAGCCCGTTAGAAAAACTAGCAGAATGCAGCATCAGGGAGCATCCAGGATCCCCAAGAAGGAGTCGCGTTCAGAAGCGAGCAGAGCCGAAAGTACATCAAGCAACCAAGTTCAGGACCAAGCAGGTTTAGGAAATGGAAGCGAAAGCTCGAGTCTCAGGGTAAGAAAAAATAAAATAACAATAAAAAAATGTCAAAGGCAAAGATTAACTCACAAACTATACATATTGCATTTTAGTGTATTTTATCTGAATCTGATTTGTGTTTTGGCAAAATTGGAGTTACCTCATTTGTGTGAGGGCGTGATGATCGCAAACATTTTCCTTCAAATATATAAATTTTTTATTTTTTTTTAAATCTAATATTACTAAGCCCAATATGTGGAAACGATTATTAGCTTTGACACAAACCAGGCTTGTGCTTTTGATGAAGGTGAAGAACTGAGCATAACTATAACCATTATTACTCAAGATAAAATAAAAGGCATAGAGACGTTTAACTACCGTTCTTACAAACAGACTGTTATTAAATTTAAATTACAGAAATTCAAATATTTATTTGATTTGGTGACGTACTGTTGCAATGATACAAGTCGCCACTGATCACAGATGTCTAAAACAATTTCACAGCTGGAGACTGATGCTCCAAACTTAAGCAATGCATCATTTTCTGTAATGTAATTCTAAACAGAACATCTGGTAAAATCTTGTTTATGCAGGTCTGGTAAATTTAGAAGATATCAAGAAAATGAACTAATGTAAAGGCTGTGTTCAAGCTGTTAAAAAAGGCCTGCAGTCAGGATTAACTCTCATTGTATTAGTGATGTAGATTCCCTCACTGTACTGAAAATGAATAACCGCATTAATGTAGTTATCATATTAGGTACGAATATTGTGACGTGCATATTTTAATATAAAACTGCGTGAACAGGGAGACGATCGCTCTTCTGTCCTTCTGACCCCTGACACGGACCCTGACCCCTGTCTGACCCCTGAACAGCGAGAGGCCAAGCTCCGACGAGTGGAACGAATACGAGAAAGAGTCATACGGAGGTGGGTTTTCTACTGTCTTTTTTACTTGCTTAAATGGTTTGCGCATGTGCTTTACGTTGATGAACTTCTCCACAAATTGGTTGCTGTTTATCTATCAGCGCAGTCAGAGAGAGTGCTACTACACACAACCAAGTCCCAATCAGGGGACAGCGGAAGGACGTTCACCAGGATCGCCCTGATACAGCGAGAAAACAAAGAATGAAAGCAGGTACCTAACATGTGAAATATTGTGATTTGGATGAAGTCTGAGAATTAAGATACAGTTTAACCACAATTTAGTAATCACAAATCATTTTTTTTTTGGTTTTGTACTCATGAAACTAGCATTTACTCGATATTACCTTTAAAAGACATGCAATAGATCGGGGCTGATCAAGGCCTTTTTTTAACTGATCAGTAGAAGCATGAACCTAAGCCCAACCTTTTGTTTACATCTGTTGTCACACTGGTGTCATAAAGGGAGAGCAAAATACCTGGCAGGACCCTAAGAATGCAAATTTTGAACATGTTTCTTTATAAATGTGGCATTATTAATCAATATTTGATCAAATGATATACAAACTGAGCACAGTAGATATTTGTTCTGTGATTTTTTTTAATCAACAGAAACATGGCCTCAAATGTAGCTTAAAGCTACATATTCTACTAGAATATAAGAATGTAGTCAGTCTTGGTTTGTCTCAGAAATATTCAGTTTTGATCGGGGGGTCAGTAAGCGTCACAGAAGTCTTTGTCATGGTGGCCCTTCATAAGTTAAACACCAACACAGCTCTCTGCTTGCCAACACAGAGCTGTTAGTAGTGCGAGTGGCTGCCTTCTGTGGTCGCTACAGTATCAAACAGTATGAGACGCCACCTGGTGGTGCAACCAGGTACTACAGCTATTGTACAACACTTGAAGTGTGTATTATCAATGGTATCAGATAGGATCATCAGATACTTAATATTAAAATACTCAGATCAGATTAGAGGCAAAAAAAAAAAAAAAAGGTAGATCAGGACATCCCTAAATAGGAATATATACCACTTGTGTTTTAACTAACTGATAAATCTGCCCTATTTCCCCATTTCCAGGCCATGAATCTCACAATAGCTATGGAAGCAGTGAGAATAATTTCAGAAGTTCTGCAGAACTTCAGCTGTCTAGCACAACATCTCAGGATGACGATGAAGAACAACAACATGTTAAAAAATCTAAAACTCAGGTCAAGTTTGGGAACAAAGCACAGCACAGTGGGAGAGCAGGGGTTGCCAAAACCAAAATCAAACGTCCGGATTCACCGTATCACGTCTCATCCATGATTGTCTACCAGAAAGATGGAGGAAAAGGGTTCATAAGTTGCAAGGACGATGAGCAGAAGAAGCTTGAAGAACCTGCTGACGATGATAATGAAAGTGATTTCAAGTCCTCTGATCTGAGATCCAAGTGGTTCCTCTCCACCAACCAGTGGCAAGGGTTCATGCCTCTGCAGATCCCCGGCATAGAAACACTGTGCAATGAGGAGACGGCAGACATGGAGACTCAACCAGCTTGCTCTGATGACAATAATGATTCCAATGAAATGTCATCAACAGTGAGTGAAAGCTTAGAGAAAATGAAAGAGAACCATTCACTCTTCTACAAGATTGCATGTGACATCAGTATTTCCGACTCGGACATAACAAAGAATGATGTGAATCCATGTGCTCAGACATCGTCTAGGCCAGAAGAGGAGGAAACACTGCTGATCACTGAATCTGATGGGGCTGGTAATGGTGGGACATCATCCGACCAAGAGAGCAAGGATTCCACGCAGCATTTGACATCAGATGTTACTGAAAACAATCAAACAGCTGATAACAAATCCCAAGATTCAACAGGGGAAATCGAGGAGAAAGCAGCAATAACAACTACAGCAAATCCATCAGAAGAGGAATGCGTTAATGAAAAGATCACTCCAAACGAATACGAGGACAACTCAGGGCAAGAAAGCAAGCTGAAAGTTGCAGAAACCATCGATGAAGCTCGTGTTCAGGACGCTGATTCAGATCAGACCCTGGACAAATGTGCAAAGACAAAAGAGCCAGAAGAAAAGAAAGAGGACCAAGAAAGAGGTGAAGAATTAAGGAAATGTAGAAGCCTAAGTGCCGACAACTATGAGATTATGCAAGAAAGAGGTGACAAACACGTTGTCGCTCTATCCAGCTCTTCGTTTGAGGGCGGAAGTGTGATTCGGAGTGCTTCCTTTGGGAAGGCAAGAGTAACTGTACTGAGGACAAGTTTGTAGAAGCAAGAACAGTGGCGACTTAAAGAGCTTAAGTGAACGAACTTGGGAAGGACAAGAACACAGTTAAGTGATTTATCGTAACGGAAAATGAGAACGAATGAGGACTTGGAAGGGTTTTGACCTAACTTAGAGTTAGAATTTCTTTAATGGGAACAGAGAAAATCAGAAATGGAGGTAATATATCGTAAACTTGAACATTTCCATTTTCATTAGTAGGATATCAGCGCAGACACAATGGAAAGTCTTAATATATCATCAAAATACAACTATGTATGCAAATATACTGTAGTTCTTGCAGCTGATGGTACAAACCAAATACGTCATGTATGGTTGTTGTCAAATACGTGTCCAGTGTTTGAAGTTAACACATTCATTCCTCTCAAAATACGCATCTAACGCAACACAGGAATTATAGACGATGGCTGCTTTTGGTTCGGCAACATAACCCTGTCACCGTAACAAAATGTGTTTTGTATCACAGATTGTATCCTGATTGAATAAACATGTTGTGTGCTACATCGAGACGCAGACTCCCGCGTTAATATGTGCGAGAATCACATTTATGTTACATCCTTTTTGCTCCCACCCACCCCACCCCCCCTCCCCTCCAACGACGGTCCCCTGGGTGCTCGGTTTGCTGCTCTCTGAGGAGACCTGATGCAGAATTACATGGAGCCACCGAAAATGCCTTTGTCACTTTAAATCCTCGCCGTGTCTCAGCCGATGACATCATTGTCTGAGAACACATTACATCACCCCTTCCCAGGCTCTCTCTCTTAAAGACAGCACCACCTTATGTTTACTGAGCCACACACACATGCAGACACACACATACAGAGGGAGAGAGAGGGACCTACTGATCTGTTTACAAATGTGATATCAATACCAACATGCATATTAATAACAGGGGCATTTTATGCATGTATGGGCCGCTGGATTCATTCAGTGCTGGATGTTAAATTAAAGGCAGAAGATATGGATGTATAGCTCCATAAATGTAACAGGATTACATATGACAACATTCATTTTAAATGTGTTTGTGCTTTGATTTACTATTATTGCAACTACACTGCAGACATTGCTGAATAGTTTTCAAGTGTGTGTGCTCTGACATACATCGACTACACAGTCTGTTTGGAGCAGAATTGGGAAAAGGTGAAGCTCAGCATGTGAATAATGGTGATTTACGTGGCTGCTTCCATAAGATTACTACATATACTGACATATTAAACAGCTAGAGCTCAGATTAGTGGAATAAATGCTCACATGAGTTATTGTAATAGTTTGAAGTTGGGCCTGCAGCTTTCTTTTGCAACACACTTCAGTTATCATGCAGACAACACAACGTGCATGCACGCTGTCCATCACACATCCACACTCCCATTAAAGTGGTGATTCTGTGCACTGATTGCAGCTCAAAAATAAAAGCGTGCACAATGCGCAAAGCAAAATGTCTGTCAGTGAGTTTGCTCTTGTCTCAGATATACATACACACTGTATAATTAATCAGGTGTTTGATTGGCCTGCGAGTGTGCGCGTGTGAGCGCGTGGTGCGCGCGTAAATCACAGAGATGCGGAGAATGCTGAGAGAATGTTTCTTTAAGACCCATTACCTTCCAATCCGACAGAGGGGGAGTCTGTGGTAAGGTGGCGTATCGTCTCTCTTCGCGTCCCCCTTCCTCGCCGTTTACATGTGGAGGGGCAAAAAACGAGAGGGACAAAAAGACAGAACGCACACAGCGGTGAGCTTTTTACTTTACGCTCTTTTTTTTTTTTTTTTTTTTGGTTTTTTTTCCGGGGGGGGAGGGAGGGAGGGTGGCACGCACACCGAGGTAAAGGATCCGCGGAGATGATGGACCTAAGGGATATTTAACATCAAACATGGACACTACAGGCTCCCCCCGATGACTGTGGTAAGGATGCAACTTCACACCGCCCCATAGCATCCCCTTTTTTTCCCACGTTTTGTTGGAGGGGGAGAGAAATAATATTCATCGAAAGACGCAGAAGGGAAGGAGGGGAATGTGCATGCATCGATACATGCATGTGTGCGTGCAAGCGTGCGATAACAAGTACCTAACATTGTGTTGTCAAGGATTGAGAGGGAGGGGGGGTGTATGTGTGTGTATATATATATATATGTGTGTGTGTGTGTGTGTGTGAGGAGGATGATGATGATGGGGAGGGAGGAAGGGGAGAGGGGGGGTCTGTTTGAATAGAAGCAAATATATTAGATAGACTTGAGCAACGCTCGGTGCCCATGTCAGGCATTGACAGGTGTGTTGGCAGCGCACGGCACGATTTATTTAGGGCGCGCTTGCTCGCTCCCGTTTGCATACAGTTAGGTGAGGTGATAGCTACTTGAGAGAGAGAGAGTCCTCATAAGATCAGAAGATGCCACTGTATATTGGCCTACTATGTGTTGCTTGTAATTAATCATGGCTGCAACTAAGCTCTCTGCCGTTGGGGAGCTTTGTAGTCAAACCACCCAGTTCGTCTCAGTGCTGTCACCGGCCCTATGGGGTTGAATTCCATAATGTCTGGAGAGAGAGGGGGAGAGAGCGCGAGGGGGGGGGGGCAGGCCTGAAAATGTGCCATGGATAATTTTTGGGGGGCTACTTTTTTTATTAATTTTTTTTTTTCCACAGAACAGATTTATCTCGCTCCTATTTGGTCATTTTTACGCACCGAGCGTTTTTTTTTTTTTTACTATGAGAATGTTGATCTGCGCGTGCGCGTTCGTGCCAACCATCATCAAATGGTCTTTCCTTCCATACATACATACATACATACATGCATACATCCAGATATGAGGAAGGAAGAGGAGGGGAGAGGGGGGTAGCCACAGATCAGTCGACCTGTCATCTGGAGAGCCTCGTCATTTTCTGTATGCGCTCGTGGATGCCAAGACGCGCGTCAAAAGTCCGGATCCGCTTTTTTTTTTTTTTTTTTAGCTTTTCTATACCACAGCTGCCGACAATCACTTATCGATTCCACGTGATGCGTTTCTTGCACGGGGTGGAGGGAGGTGGTGGTGGTGGTGGGGAACCGTTTCATGGTATTAGGAGGGGATGGAGGGTGGAGGGTGGTGGGGTTCATTATTAGTCGCTATATGCTCTGCTTTTAAAAAAAGAAATGCCAGGATTGCATGCGTACTTCTCTCGCTGTGAGGGTGGTTTAACATTCAATTGGATGTAAAACCAAAAAAAAAACAAAAACGATCCTCATTCTTCAGTTTCTCATTGTCGGGAGCCTGCAAACCCCCCATCTCTCTCTCTCTCTCTCTCTCTCTCTCTCTCTCTCTCTCCGCCCCAGTGTCTGCTGCTGGAGGAGAGCTGTTTTTTTTTTCCTGCTCTCTCTTTCTTTCTTTCACAAACACTCAACAAAAAGCCATGATATTTCCCCATTTTTAGGAAGAAAACACATCCTAGTTAGAGGCCTTGTGCAGCAGCAGGATGCTCTACATGGTAGGATTCAGTGTGATGATGATGATGATGATGATGATGATGATGTGGGCAATCATGATATGAAATCACACACACACTCCCTGATCGATCCCAGCGTGGTGACACCGTGACATGAGCTCGCCCATTACACCAGTGAATCTAATGAACGTGCCTGATAATGTAGCTGTACATTATAGGAAAATGTTATCACCAGCTCATTGTTTTCCAAGCTGCCCCCCTTCTCTCTCTCTCTCTCTCTCTCTCTTTCTCTCTCTTTCTCTCCACCACCAAAGCAACTATTCAAAGAAAAGGTCTCATAAAGCTGTAATGTTATGGCCCGATAACTGCTCCACAGTGTTCCCTCTTGTTTTCCGGTTAACTATCTCCCTCTCCTCTGCACACACTCATAAACACACACACAGGTCCTGAAGCCCAGTGACCTCACAGCTGACGCTTCAGTCAAAACTGCAGGCTGCACATTTATATTTTGTACTGTACTGAATCAGGACTCCAGCAATGATTTCTTTTTTTTCTTTTCTTTTTTGGTTTGTTTTTTTCAGTGCGGATTCATCATATGACACAGTGGGAAATGCAGAGAAGTATGACTGTTAGCTGCGCACTGGCTGGTATTGTTAAAATAGTCAGTCATTATGTCACTGTGGTAGTTTTTTACTGTTTTAAGCTTTTTTTCTTGTAGGCCATCTTGTACCTCAATGGTCATATTTTATGTGTTTCAAGCGGTTTGTACCAACTGAGGATGTTTAAGGCAGCTCAGATCACAAAGGGACAGAAGCTGCTGCTTGTGTTGCATCTTTGGTCAACAGGAACCAAAAACATCGGGGGTACCTGGCGTAGTTTAATGAGTATTTTCAAAGAGGCAAATAATGGATCAGCTCAGGGCATTGGTGCCATCAGTAAATGGCAAAGAAGATTTTGATAATCATCTTTAGAGTAGAATAGAGCTTTATTGTCATTGTTAAAAAACACAAAAAAGGCAGCTCTTTGGATTAGCAGCATACAACAAAAGAGCAAAAAATAAAAGTCATTCCAATAAAAATTATAAAAGTAAAATGAAAAATATGATTCCACTGTGTAAGAACAAGGATAACAATAAAATTGCACTGTGTCAGAACTAGATTGCACTGTATCTTCTTTTTTTTTAATGTCGAAAAAGCTTCTAAATCCAACATAATTGGCGCCATTGTGATTCTGGACAATCTAAAAGCACCAAAAGAGAAAGACTTTGTGTTATATTTCAACATAGTTGACACTCAGATCATTTGGTTAAGTATCTAACTGTAGATTTTTTTGGTTAAAATCACTTCAGACACAAAATAATAATAATCCCAACATCCTCCATCATCACAATCAGCCTCCTTGGTGCTCAGCAGCAGTTTATTAGTGATCCTATTCACTCAGGTGTCTTCCATGAGAGCTGAAGCTCCTCTGCCGCCCTGCAGCAGGTTCATCATCACCAAAGTTTTCTGCCTCTGGGTTAAAAGTTCACCGCTGACATTTGTTGTCGCGGCGGCCTCACCTTTTCAAGCCTTTGCACGGTAACGATGTCTGTGGCAGGGAAATTCTAAGCCGTCTCATTTTGAACTGTATTTTAAGGAAATGCAGTCATTGCCAGGTCAGTCTTGCATCAGTAATTATCCGTCAGTGGAGCGGGAAAGGAAGTAAGTTGCTTTTTTTTTTTTTAGTGGGACACACAGTGAGGTTGCCAAGTGCTGTAGCCAGCTCACCAGCATGAGAAGCTAATTCAGAGCCTCCAATTACCAGCGAGCAGCCACCCCATTTTTAATTTATTTTTATTTTTGTTGGTCCTGGATATGACAATAATAAGCGGCGGTACATATGCGATTCCCCTCTGCAGCCTTTTGATGCACACATTGCTCCACCTGTATGAGGAATAGTTCAGTCATCCGGTGTGAATACATGCATCCACACTGCTTAGTATGGTTATTGGTAATGAAGTGCTTCAGAAAAGTCTCCACAGTCTGAAATCTCAGCGTATTTCGGCCCTGTTTTCTGCTGTAATCACTCACTGTGAGCTTTTATATTGTATTGGTCACAGTTTTTTTTAATGCCACTTAGGCCCCTGCACCAATAAAGCATCACTGCATCAAAACAGAACAAAATAAGTGCAATCATGTTTGTAAAATTAAATAGCTTCCAACAAGTTCTAACCCAAACTGTTCAGACCTAAAAATAGCATAATAGCACTTTAGAAATACAAACACATAGAAAACCTGTCTGAGAATTAAACAGAAGCTTCGGGATTAGACCCTGCTTTCACTCTCAAACAAACAGACTTGTCCTGATACGAGGAGTAGTGGCTCATTTAGCCATGTTACATTACTGGGAGGATGCATTTATAAAATCCTTTTCCTCAGCTGCTTTCCTCATGATTTTGATTTTTTTCTACATTTTTACTCACATTAGTGTTATTTCTTATGAGCTGATTTCTTTAAAGCTCACCTGTAAGCATGAGGGACGCATTAAAAGCATTTAGAGACAAATTCTTGCAGGAGACACAAGACATAATCAGTTGGCAACTTGTCCTTTTAGTCATGTAAAACTTCAAAATAACCAACACAAACGTTTTGATTCCTTTGTGAAAGTCCCTCCTGTGTTAATCCACGTCTCCTCTTCCCCTCACTACAATGCTCCTCATAATAAAACCACTAGCAGACTTATTTTTCACTGGTGCTGAGGCCCATGTGCTAAATATGCATGATTCACAAAATGGATGATTTTGGTTGAACAAAGAAATTCTTTATTGCACTGCCCAGTCTCACTGACTTGAAAAAAAAAAGCACAAAAAAAAAAAGCCTGCATGGTTCACTAAATGAGTCCAAACCACTTAAAAGTATAAAGGCCAGTGCGAGCCCCTGAGTGCTCCAGACAAGACAGTGAAGAATACTGGAGGACGGAGAGGCACGCGAGGCGATATAATAATGCTGATTGCCTGGATCCACACCATTTTGGCCCCAACTCTTTGCAGGGTGAGGCCTCATTCAGCGCAAAAACAAAAAACAAAGGTAATTTAAGCAGACGGTTAAAGGAGCATCACTGGAGTGAGATCTCATCTTTGAATCATAATTGCTCGCTTCGCTTTTTTAAGGAAAACTCCGAATGTGACCAAATTAAAGTTGTTATTTCGCCTCACTTACCAAGATTAGCCTTTTAACATTTCAACGAGTGCTGAAGTCGCAGTGTTTACATTAAGATCATAAAGTAATGGCCCAGCATGTTGGGAAATGCACTTGTTTGCTTTCTTGCTTAGAGTTGCTGTCTGTTAAATATAAGGCAGCAGCCAGTTGGCTTTAAAGATCACATCTGATGGTGAAAATCTAATTATTTATTTTACATCCTGGACCAGGTTTGGAGAACGACACTGTTGGATCTATGAATCAGGCTCAACAGCTTCTCAGCATTCAGATTCTACAACAGCGTAAACTAAAAACCAGACCTTAAACTCTGGTAACAATCACGTTTTTTTTTTTTTTTTAACCTTGTGAACATGTAATGTTTTTATATCCTGGAAGATCACACACATCATCAAATATCTCCAGTTTCTCCACCTTCAAACTGCAGTGTACCGATGACATCCGCAAAAACCCAGATTGGGACTTCCAGGCTTTCATATGCAACAAAACTAAGGAACCAATCACGTCAACCTGCAGGGTGGGGCTTCCTGTATCAGACTTCCTGAGATTTGGTTTCCGATTTGAGCGTTTATGGCTGCATTACCACTATATCTGAACATTTTTTTGTACCACAGAACAGTTTGTAGGTGAGTTGGTGTGCTGGAGCGGCAGCGAGGTGGGTGGAGAAACAGGCAGGGACTTCATAGGTTTGCACATTCCAGGGAAAGCAGCGGTGTAGAGTTAGTTGTAAGCAATTTTAAGGCAGGAAGGGATTATTTTAGTGAAAAAATATTGAGCGTTGTACACAGAAATTCATTTTTAGGGGTTTAATAATCCACCATACATGGGTTTTAATTTAACATAAGTGAAAACTGCTACCAGGTCACCAAATAAACGGTTCAATCAGTTAAAAAAAGAGTCTGATGACCAGCAGCTGATCGTCAGTGATCGGCAGATTTTGCCACCTTTGGACAAAGCCAAGTTAACGGTTTCCTCCTGTTTAAATTCTTCACTCTGAGCTCAGTAAACTGGCTAATGGCTTTATATTACACACACAGGCATGACAGCAGTATTGATTTTCTCGCCTAACTCTTGGTATTTCCCAAATGTTGAACTACTGATTTAATACGCAGATCTGTGTCATTTGGACTACAACCGAGTTCAACAGTAATAATTTCATTCCTGCCTCCTCAAGACGCTTCTCATGTTGCGTGACTCAGTGTGTACGCTACTCAAATACACTTTTCATTTCATTCGCTGCAACTCGAGAATCCAAAGGTTTTGCCGAGGATGTATAAGCACAGATTCTATTTGAGTTGTCATCACCGCAGCGTATTTGTTAATTTGTCAGAAACGCTTATTGTAAATCATCAGTTGCCATTATTTCCGTACAGATACCATACATGAGTCTGTGCTGTCTCAAACTGTGAGCTCATGCTCGCAGTGTCGTGTCTCATTTGTTATATTTGCAGTGGGATTTATTTTTTTTATTTTTATTTTTTTTAGGAGGATCTAATGCAATGCCTGCTCTGTTTTGCAGCTCTTGTCCCCGGTGCTGTGAGGAGCTCTGCCTCGTGGACACAATTTAGGAGCATCGGCCCTCCTTTATCCCTTCCTTCCCCCCGTGTCCCCTTCCCTTCCTCACCCTCCGCCAATCCAAGCAACCCACAGAACGGCTTCCCCTCTTCCTCTTGCATAACAGGGGAACACATAAGCATTCTGATCATTTACCATGCAGGTCGGGACTTTGTGAAGGAAGACGAGCGAGCAAAGACAAACAGAAGTGAGCGGAGAGAGAAAAAAAACAACCCATAAAGGCAATAAACACAGGAAGATGTAGATGTAGACGCGACCAAAGGAATGCTATTTTTGGAAAGATGTAAAGATTTATATTTTGTACATCTAACTTTTAGTACGAGCTCATAAAAAAAAACCAAGGCACGACTGCAAGACATTTTGCACGTACAATCCCCTTATTTTAGTTAAGTTGACACACACGCCACGGTCTCATGATGATGTGCGAGGTGATGCCCACCATATCTGAGGATGGGCGAAGCGGGACTGGCGGAGGGCCCTCGTCGCCTGCCGGGGCCGGGGTCGGAGGCCCCGGGGGCGCGATGGGCGGAGGGGGGTTCAGTGGCAGGGAGGCCCGAGGCGGAGGAGATGAAGGAGGCAGCACAGGGAACCTGGAGTCCCTGATGGTCAACATGCTGACGGAGAGGGAGAGGCTGCTGGAGAACCTGAGGGAGACGCAGGAGAGCCTGGGTACCGCTCAGCTCCGCCTCCGCGAGCTCGGCCACGAGAAGGAGTCGCTGCAGAGGCAGCTGTCCATCGCTCTTCCACAGGTAAAGAAAGCTGTGTGTTTGTGTTTACAAGCTACGTATGTGCACAACTCGGTCATGTTTGGATGCTTGATGCAAGCGTTTTAACGAAGGCGTAAAAAAACAGAAGATGCAGACTTCCAGGTTTTTCTATGCAATAAAACAAAGGAACTAATTCTGTCAGCTGGCAGGGCGGAGCTTTCTGTGTCATTGTTCTTCCTCGGTTTCTGGTTCAAACATGTATGAATGACTCCAATGTTACTACTTGCCATTTTGTGGCACAGAGTGATTTTACAGTGTTTGAGGAGAGTCGTAGGTGAGCTGGTGTGCTCGAGGTGCAGTGAGCTGGGTGGAGAGACAGGCGGGGACTTTATATATACATGAAGAGTTCATTTGCAAAAACCGCTAACTCCATTTTTTTAATTTTCAGATTTTTTTTTTTTGTAGTTTGCTTGAGATAATATCAATCAAACTGAAGTTGAATGGATTTGACTCAGTAGAAATGACAAAAATAGAGATAACTTAAGTTTGATATTGTCTCAGGCAGACGATAGAAAATTGGGTTTCCTGGAGGTTTGTGAAGAAGGAGATATCTGTTTTTGCAAATGAACTCTTCATATATATATAGTGCTTAACAGATTTATTAGACCACCACCTATTGTAAGGTTAATGCCACAGCTGCTCTACATTAACAGCATTGGTAATTACCAAAACCATTTTTTATGTTTCTGTAATGGTTAATACACCAGTATGCAGAAGTTCTTTAACCAAAATGTTGTTTGTAATGTGAAAATATAATTGTGAAATTTCAAATTTACTGTTTTACAAAATAAGAAACACAGCATAGTAAAGCACATCATTATTTCTTGATTAAGATGTCAAACTATAGTCATTTACTTGCATTCCTAAACAAAAGGAGTTTTAGTGGTTGGATGTTGTGCGATGCTGGATAGTCTATGGGTCTAATAAATTTGTTAAGCACTCTGTATTAACGGGAAAGTGATAATGTAAAGTTACATCTAAATCTTTTTTAGCCAAGAGAGGATTATTTTCATGAGAAAATGTGTCACCTTTACACACAGAACTGAGTTTTTAGGGTTTTATTCATTGGCTGCAGAGTGACTTCAGTTTAGCATAAAAACCACCTCCTTGCTGATCCTCGGTGCCTCCAGAGAATAGTCACGTATGAGTGTGTTTTTCTGAGTGTGTCATTGTGAAGTGAGCTCATTAGACAGTAAGCCTTTGCAGTGACAGATCACGGAGAGAGACGCTGCTAGAAAGTAGAAGTTAGCTACTTCACCTCCTCTCTGCGTCTTCCTTCACTAATGTTGCTTCTGCTGCTGCAGTGAGTTTACGTTCCTATCATCTTCTGGCTGTCTAGTCCAAGCTGCATTTGCAGTTTTCCCCCTCATTGTGTAATCAGGTTTTATTATGTTTGTTGACTGTATTGTTAGCGGATGATTAATGACACTGGAAGATAATATTTGTTAATGACTTCAGCTGAACGCACATGAATACTTAATTTTGCAGGAATTCGCTGTGGGTAGAAATTGCTTATTGATAATAACTGGAATCTGGAGATTTTATTTTGCTGTACAGTTAAAACATGAGCAGCTTTTTCTCTTTTCTTTTTTTTCCCACTTGGACAAATCCTCAGCTCTGACTGTGAATGTTGTGTTTACAGTATTTATAGTGCGCTGTCACACTTTAATGTTTTTCAGCGCTATATGTGAGATCGCTTTATGTTTTCTAAAGGCTCTAATGTGTCAGGTAGATCAGGATGTTAGCTAAATAACATTCAGTCAGGTTCCCTATGCAGTGCTTTGTGATATAAAAGCAGCTCTGACTTGACTCATGTTATATAATCGTATAGAAACCTGAAGAATCTGATACAACACAGTTTGACATATTCTATGAGTCTTTGAAAGTCTGTGTAAAGCGATACAAGATGTGCATTCTGAGCTTGTGACGCCACAGAAAACTCAGCCAAATATGAATAATTAAAAATAAAAAGTGTATGATTCAGGTTTCAAAATTGTGACAAAATATAAACAGCATTCTAATTTGACACTCTGAGGTTTGTCTGCTGACGGCACCGATCAACAGCTCAAATGAACCGAACTAACCAGACAAACAGGTCGGACTTTGGTTTAACTGAACCAAACAGGTTAGATGTGAAATCACGAATGTAAACTGTAAATACTGAATATTTTCACTTTGTTACCTACTGTAGTAAACTAAGCACACATTGAAACTTACAGTAACTGGTGGGAATGCACTGCTAACGTTAGATGTCGATAGGATGGGAAGATGAAGGCTGGTTATTGCCCATCCACTAACAGACGACTATCTACAAATCACATTTGTCTCTAATGAGAGTTTATAAACCTGCACAGGTGGTGGTGATTCTCTTTACAAAATCAATCCACCTCTTCTTCATCTCATCCATCCATCCATTATCTATACACCGCTTAGTCCTCATTAGGGTCGAGGGGGGCTGGAGTCTATTCCAGCCGACTCAGGGTGAAGTCAGGGGACACCCTGGACAGGTCACCAGTCTATCACAGGGCTACACTTAGAGACAGACAACCAAGCACACTCACATTCACACCTACGGATAATTTAGAATCACCAATTAACCTCAACATGTTTTTGGAAGCCGGAGAACCTGGAGAGAACCCACGCTGCCCGGGGAGAACATGCAAACTCCACATATAAAGATCCCGGGTGTCCTCACCGGGACGCGAACCAGCGACCTTCTTGCAGGGAAGAGTAATTTTCTGAGCAAAAGCATAGCTAGCTATCTAACTGTAGACTGTAGTAACTTGTGATTAAGCACAAGATTCACGGATGATCTAGTTTATAAAGTATCGAGGGAGACGCAAACTACGGTTCTTGTACGTCACCGAGCCAACTTCCTGAAGACAAACGTGATGAAACTCCACAATTCAGTACTGCATAGTTCATGTTTCTTTTTTTTTTTTTTACATGCAGTGGTTTGTGGACATGTCTGTCTCCATTAATAAATCCTGAATTTCCTTTAAATATTTCTCCCAAAAATGGCACAAATTATAACAAAACAGCACCAGAACTACAAGCAAAAACAACTCTGGCATTTAATTAGCATCTCTAGAGCTGCAGCAAATGATCAATGGATTGATCAGCAGCTATTTTGGTAAATTACTCATTATGTACATATTTTTGAGCAAAAATGCCTTCTCCTTTATGTGTATTTGCTGCATTTCTTGCATAGTAATTTGTGTTTTAAGGTTGTTAATCTGACAAAAAAAGCCATTTAAAGATGCCTACTTGTAGTTAGAAAATTGCAGTGAATATCTTTTATATATTGTTATGACATTTTATAGACTGAGGAATTAATCAGTTCCTTAAAATAGAACAGACAGATTAGTCAACAAATAAAAACAATCATTAGCTATGGTTGTAAACACCTCGAACACAACGCCACGTAGCAGTCGAAGTATGAGAATTTTGACGTTGGAATGCGCGACGGTTTATTTGTGTACGTGAGATGTATTTACGGTTTGCGTAACTCGGTTTCCACGTACACTGTCGAGCAGGACTGCAAATGAATGCAGACCTCAGCCTCTAATGATAGAGTGAGATGAAATAGAAAAGAAACGACAAGGGGACAAGGGAAGCCAACTGAGAAGCTGACCCCTATCCAAACAAGAAACAATCCCATAAGGCCAAGAGCCAATGAACCCACTGTGTCACCATCTGTAGAGATCTCTCTCTGGCTCTTCCTCGCTTCCCCCTTTTGCCAACGCAGGCCCGTTTCATGTGTCTACTTTCGACTGTTTTTGAATCATAAAGCAGGTAATCCTGACCATAAACATCTGCACGTTATCGTCATTCTCATAAACAGCGATCGCCTCCGTGCCGAGAGCCTTGGATGTGTTTTATGGAGGCATAAAGAAATCATTGACCGTGGATTCTACGAGTTTTTGCTCACTGCGTGTTATTTTCTTAAGCAAATCGTGTGAGGCGCGCTCTCCCGTTTGCAGCGTCGAGTTGCAAAACGTATTCCCGGTGGTGTTGTAAATGACATATCGACGCTTGTGTTTTTTGGGGTCTCTCTTGTGCATTCCGGTGCCGAGCCATTGTGTAACAGTGTGATGTAATCCGTCCGTGAATGCGAGTTCACAGAGCAGGATGAGCAAGAGAGAGTGCTGGTGGAAACTGTGTCAGTGATTTACATGATTATTATGTAGGTTTACATCATGTAGGGCCTCCTACATTCCTGGTCTCAGGTGTTTCACAAATTGTGTTTCTGGACGCCTTTGGTTATGCTTATTTTTAGAATTATGTGTGCATGTGCTGTGTGTGTGTGTGTGTATGTGTGTGTGTGTGCTTAGAGCAGCCAATTGTATTTCATTTCCAGAGTCACTGGATTTTTTTATTTATTTTTTTTATGCCGTGCCTGAGTTATTATTTGTTCCTTTAAACTCTCGTCGCAGCCCATCTGGCTGTGCGGAGACCACTTTTTAAAACCATACATTTAGACAGTTTGTTTTCTCGCCCCTGAACGCAGCTTGTGTGTTCCACAGGAGTTTGCTGTGTTGACTAAAGAGCTGAACGTTTGCCGGGAGCAGCTTCTGGAGAGGGAGGAGGAGATTGCCGAGCTCAAGGCGGAGAGAAACAACACACGTGTAAGATGTTTAGCGGCCATTTTGCTTATTAGCACTGTAACAGCCTCTTGTGTTATCTTCCTCACCCATTGTGGTTGTGTGGGTGTGACACTGTTTCATTTTGCTTCTGCTTTTTTCTCCTCTTCTTCCTTTTTTTTTTTTAATCATCCGCACACTCCATTCTCTCTTTTTTTTTTTTTGGTCTGTATCTGCCTCCCTTATCTCTCCCACTCACTCTTTGTACCTTTTTGCTTCTCTGGACACTTCTCACCTCCCATTTTTGTCCCCTTGTCACACTCAAAACCCCTTCACTCCTCTGCCTCTTCTCTGAGCCTTCTTTCTGGTCCTGCACTCTCATTCTCGCCGTCCCCATCCTTCAAGCTGCATTTCTTCCTCCTCTCCGTTCACCCTTTGCATTCTCCCGTCACCTCACTATCTTCTCCCCCCCTCTCATCTGATCCTGTAGCTGTTGCTGGAACACCTGGAGTGTCTTGTGTCCCGCCACGAGCGCAGTTTGAGGATGACGGTGGTGAAGAGACAAGCCCAGTCCCCAGCAGGGGTCTCCAGTGAGGTGGAAGTTCTCAAGGCCCTCAAATCCCTGTTTGAGCACCACAAGGCCCTAGATGAGAAGGTGGGTGCTAAAAAGCAGCTAAAAAATGATATTTTTTTCACCAACAACGGATCACATGACTACTCAGGTTAGCTTTAGGGTGCGTTCGGTGTCACTCAGCCGACTTTCCTCCCTGCTCTCATTAGTGTTATTTTGCAGCAGACAACAAAAGAAACAGACTCTGCGCTTGTAGACTTAAACTCAAACCACGGATGTGTAAAGTTAGTGACTAACTGATGAAGGTGATGGAGCATTTAGTAGCCAAAGAGCACAATATTTCATTCAAAAACTGGTGGAGACCAAAAATGGAGCTAAAATGATGAATGAAGCCATAAAAAAGACACCAAATTAAAGCTGCAGCAGGAGTAGTTATTCCACTGCGCCACCACATCTTTTGCCCACTCTGGGCTTCAAATTTTATAAATCCTGAAAACAGAGCCAAGAGGAAATTAAGACCTCTAGTTTTCTCTCAGTCCACTTTAACTACGATCTGCTGAAATGTTGTGAAGTTTTTGCCCAGTGACACCAAACAAACTAAAAAACTGCTTACAGCAGCTTTAACCTCTTAAGACCCGAGCTCTTGTTTGAGATGCATTTTTTTAAAATTTCTTGATCAGATCAAATATTAAAGATAATACAAAATAAAAAAATACAAAGAAAATAAAAATGTATTTTAAAAAATATATTAAAAGATTTTTTAAATAATAAAAATATGAAATAAATAACAATAATAAAATTATAATAATCAAAAATTAAAAAATAAAAATTTAAAAAATTCACAACTTTACTGTCTTTGCAGACATCTGTTCAGGAATATTTGCAGTTATTTGAAAGAAAAAAATATGTATATTATTTTATGTATATTTTCATGTATTTCACTTTTCAAAATGTTTTTTTTTTTCCAAGTTTGCGATCTGTGTTGGCAAATTACAGATAATATCAAATAAAAATCTCCAAAAAATTTAATTGACTGTCAAAAATAAACACCTATATCAATATTTTGCAAATTAAAAAATAAAAATTTAAAAAATATTACTTATTGTGGTAATATAACTCAAAATGTGATGATCAGGTCTTAAGAAGGTTAATGCTAATGTTTCCCTGTAATTGCTGGATTTAGGGTGATTTGTTGGCATTGTATTCATAACACGTTTCTTGCTGCACCCAAATGGCCAAAGAAGTGAAAAATAAATTAGAAACTTTTTTTTTTCTTTTTGGCTTCACATAACTTGAAACCTGGCCTGTTGGTAGATATTTTGGATATCGATACCGAGGATATCGTATATGATGAAGTATTAGTCAGAATACTGTAGTTTTAGCTCACAGGCTGCAGCTGTTACTTTCTTTAAGTAGACTGTAAAAGTGATTGATCAACTAAAAACTTTTTATTTCATTAGCAAACAACTGTTTTACTCCTAAGTTGGCACTAGAGTATTGTTCAGTGTGATCAATACAAGCCCCGATGAATAAATCCCTTCAGCCTCAGAGACTTTTTCATGAGGATGATCGCACCCATTGCTGGTGTTTGTTCAATAAATAAATACAAATAAATCCAATACAATTCACAGAATGCACCTTTTTTGGGGGGAACTTCTATTGTGGTGTCAGTGTTTTAGGCTCTTTCTAAAAAGTTTATCAGGAAAGTCAAGAGTTAGCAGCTCAGCTCTTCATCTTACTGCCACAGTGGTTGGCTGACCTCTATATATTTCTATTTCTTCACTCTGCAGGTTCGAGAGAGGCTCCGTGTGGCCCTCGAGAGGGTGTCCATGTTAGAGGATCAACTTGCCGCATCTTCTCAAGAGGTAAAGTCGTGAAAGAACTCCTGCATCACAACATTGCTTTACCCAGCTCTGTGTGAGGAAAAACATTAATTTGGAATCTCTGTTTGCCCATTTTGTCTCCCTCTTTGCAGGTAATCTCTTTAAGAGACCAAATTAAAAGACGTCAGCAAGGGGTGGACGGCGGGAAAGATGTAAGGGAGGGTTTTATGCATGTTGGTTCCAGTTGTTTTTGTGTGTGTGTGTTAGCGCCCAGACAGTCAGTAGAAAAGTAGAAACTGGGTTCCATCAGTGTGATTATAACTCATCTACAGCTCATTCATATTTAGCTGCACTCTTAGCTGGCTCTAACTGATTGTTTCTCTTCATCATTCTCATTTCTTGCTGTATTGTCACCATTCCAGCGACTGCCCAACGGTCCCTCCTCTGGCCTGGAGGACGGGGAGCTCGAAAGACAGAGAGAAGGAGAAATAGAGCGACAGAGAGCCGAACTCTCCCAGCTGAGGGAGAGGCTGGCCCTCATGTGCCGGCAGGTGAGCATTTTCAGATCCCGTTCATCTGTCGTGGTGAGAAGCAACGCGAGGTTTGGAGCTTCATCGTAGCAAGGACGGTTTCAAAGCTTGCGTTTTCAGCGTGCGTTTTTTGCCGTCACATTTTTACTCAATGTGGGCCTCTTTGTTTTCTGCAATAGTCCTGCACCACTATTGAAACAACACAAATGTCTTCAGAATCAGAAATACTTTACTGATCCCCTTTCTGTTACAGGTGCTCCCAATAAAAGGTCTTAAAAGAAGTAGGAACGTATAAAATATATAATAAAAATCTAAACACAAGTATTAATGTGAAATAAAATATATTTAAACACAAAATATAAATGTACATTCTGCTCTTGTATATGTATATACACTGTAATAATAATAATACTACTATTTACCTACAGTTGAATTCTGAATTATAGATTAAAGATTAGAGATTATCTTCTCTATACTTTGGCACAGTTAGAATACAATAAATCCTTTTTTCTTTTTTTTTTTTTAAATAAAGTTGAAGTTCTGTGATTATTTATTTTTCCAAAACTGAAATGACTTGAAGTCTTTACGTGCCCCAAACTGTTACCAGTGCTAGAAAAAAAACGGTGACTCTACATACTATAGAAACAGTTCGACCTATTTTTGTCACATGACTGTTGGTCACAGCTGAGTCACAAATGGCTCCAAGATTCTTCATTTTTTACAGCATCTGGTTCAGAGCAGACAGTTTGTGGCTAATTTTTAAATAAGACGTAGAAGAGAAGGAATTTCGAGGAAAGATCCTGATTTTTAGCTTAGATTTGTTAAAATTTCCTGATTACTAGACATTAATAGTTCAAGGACCGTTGGGAAGTTGATAATCCGATAATTCTTTCTGTTTCAACAGTTTCTGACTGATTTATGTGGCTGTTTTGGTGATTTTTTATCAAAAACAACACGCCTTTCTGCAGGTTCCAGGGTTCAGAAAGTTAGATGAAAATATTTGAGTTAATAATATTAGATGTCCACGATTCGGTAACAACTGACGTCACTTAAAAATAATATCTTCCTGTATGATTTCTAAAGACTCTGAACTCTACAACAGGACGATGCTGGTGTGGTTCCATCAAATTTAACATCATTAACAAACAGCCTCGTATCTATCACTAAATTTCTACTGGCTCATGGAAACACGTTGTTCTAAATGTCCCGCCTCAAACCTGTGTGAAAAAACACACAAAACCTACTTGCAAGTGCAGTCCTGTTTCTGTTCCCTTTCCTAATTTAGTTTATGTAACCAAGTGTGGCTATAGAGCAGTGTCAGGCTGCTCCACAGTCATCTCCAGCAACACAATGTAACCCAGGAAGGAGGAGAACACCACCGAGTTGCTTCTGCCGGTCAACCTCTTCCCTCTTGTGGCTGCTCACACTATTGCAACTGCTTTATAAAGCCTCAGTATGATCGGAAATAAAGACGCCATTTGAACTTAATCACAGACGTGCCGGATGCAGTGACAAAGTCTCACGTCATGATGAAGATGACTAATTCAAAAGAGAAATAATTTGCTTTATAATTCTCTGACTGTCTGGTGATAGGATAAACGGACTGAATAAAAAACAAAGAGACACATTGGGCGTCAGTGTGGGGTTTTTTAGGAGCCTTACATTGACCAGACGGACGTTTGTAATCACTCACTGCCGTGTCTATTTACGCTCGGCGCTGTGGCACTTAACACTGACTCACGTAGGTTCAATCTGTGTCATCTCTCGTCCCTTTGTGGTGTCACGTCAGGTTGGGGAAATAGAGGAACAGCTTGCGGCCGCCAGGAGGGAGGTGACGAAGTCGGAGGAGGCCAATCAGAAGCTCCAAAGAGAAGTGAAAGAGGTCTGTTGGGCCAATCTGTCTCTTCCTGGCCAAGACCCCGAGCTCTCTCAGCACCCGAGTGTATATTTGAACACAACGGTCACACGCACTAGAATGTGTCATATTTTTCTCTGTGATGAGAGCGACAGATATTAAAACGGGGATGTTTGTGCTGATTGCCGTTACTGTAGATGTGCACATTTTAAATAAAAGCAGAATAAATTATAAACCCACTGCCACAATGTTAAAATCAACTTGTTATGCAGCTCATACACACAATAAATGATTCCCATCTTCTTAGACATCTCTTACTCGGCCACATAAGTGTGTAATAAGACCTGCTGTATATATTTTGACAGTTTCGACTGATCTTGTTTCATGACATATCGCTGTTTTCTTCAGGCTCTTTGCCAAAGAGAGGACATGGAGGAGAGAATTACAACACTAGAGCGGAGGTAACCTTCTGTGTTTTACTTCCATATATCTATTTCTAGCTTTCCTGAGGACACTTTTTTTTAATCTATTTTTTATTCTTGAACCATAATTTCATACATCAACTGCAACACACATAGCAGAAGGACCATATGTTTCACCTGTTGGCTGGCAATATGTTGCAAAGGTGTCCTGACACCTATTTATGCAGGCGAAGGTGGTTTTACATAATGACATTTGCATTACATTCTTATTAAGAATTCAGCTGTGTGCAAATAGCGAAAGGTTAAAGCTGTACTGCCCAGTTTGTCTGAAGGCCTGAATGTAGCTCATTGTGGATTCAACAGAGCATCATCCTCATTGTTTTTTAAATGCATGAGGCCAGAATATACCTGAGCTCATTTTTTTTTTAAAGAAATCACGAACCTTTTTTGAATTCCTGTCCTGTTTCTTATGCACAAGACAACCTACGTTATTAACAGATAATCACACGACTCCAGCAGGATTCTTACCTTCAGTGGTGTCTTTGTGCCGCCTGCAGGTACCTCAGTGCCCAGAGGGAGGCGACTTCTCTCCACGATATCAAAGACAAGCTGGAAAACGAGCTGGCAAGCAAGGAGTCCCTGCACAGACAGGTAAAGTTTGTCTCAAACAATCCAGCATCCGGCTATGGTTATAATAAAATCACTAACACGCTGCAGTATTTGACGGAGTTGTGCTGGTATCTACAAATATGGAAATGGATCTGGAGTGCCGGTTTGCGGCCACAGAGCTCATAAGAATGTGTTTCCTTCCGTGCATCCAGAGTGAAGAGAAGAACAGACAACTGCAGGAGCGTCTGGACGAGGCCAAGCAGAAGCTCCAGCAGACTCTACAGAGGGCCGAGACGCTGCCGGAGATCGAGGCCCAGCTCGCCCAAAGAGTGGCCGCTCTCAACAAGGTACTTTAAATCAGCCAATGAGGTCCTCTGCTGTCACATTTAGATTTATTTTACTGTGAGGTGGACAATGTGTGTGGGGTTATTGCATCTCAAATCATCAGGGACCTTCTGCTCGGCCATTTTTTGCTTGAAACTTTCTTATCAACACCTCTGGATAATTAAAATCATATTTGTGAAATTTTAGCTTGATATATCAACTAGTTCCCAACACTTTGTTTTAAATTGCAGGTTGACCTACTTTATTAAATTATATATATTATTCAGTTTTCTTAGTTATATTTTGACAACTGCTTTGGAACTCCACAACTCGGTTCTACTGGATTAGACACTCTACTCATATTGTAGCTTTTGTGGTAAAACCTCTAATACCTGCTCAATCAATTAAAAAATACTGTTTGCATAGTGTCACCAAGTATTTCAAATAAAAAACTATTTATAATTGTTTTGTTTTGTAATATTGTGACACGTAACTACATGTGGTTCACAAAACATCCCCTGTTGAATGTATTATCTTTTTTTTTTGTTAATGTGTGCTCAAAGATGGGACTTTTAATGACGGGTTAAAAGGTTGTTTTTTTGTTTGTTTTTTTTAATATCTCAACTCCTCAATAATCAGAGTATATCTGATCTATTTATCCAACACTGCAGATTCTGAATCAATGACACATTGAGAAATAACTGTGAAACTTTTATTGTTTTTGAGAAACTGCCGTTCAAGCATAGCCTCAATTTTTAATGTGTTGATGGGCTTTTTTTTTTTTCATATCTCAAAAAGTGTTTGATGTGTCAATCCGAAATTTCGCAAATATCCTTTTAAATATCCATTTTTTATGCTCTAAATATTTAAAGCAAATCAGGGCAGAAATTGTTCTAAAAAATTGATGATTTGAGATGGAACAACCCTCTATTGCATGCTGTCAAAACTGACAGTATTTGATTAAATAATTAGATCATATTACATCCTGTCAGTTGTGAATCTATGCTTCAGAAACTGGCTTTTAGCAGCATCTATATTCTCTGTTATTAGGCAGAGGAGCGTCACGGAAACTTTGAGGAGCGACTACGGCAAATGGAAGCCCAGCTCGAGGAGAAGAACCAAGAGCTGCAGAGGGTACATCTCTCTACATCCTCATTTTGAAATAAATTGTTCATTTTTTCGTCTGTTTTTTTTCTCCAATCTGATCCCTTCTCTTGCGGCTTCACTTTAGGCAAGGCAGAGGGAGAAGATGAATGACGAACACAACAAACGTCTCTCGGACACAGTGGACAAGCTTCTGTCTGAGTCCAACGAGAGACTTCAGCTGCACCTCAAAGAGAGGATGGCAGCACTAGAGGAGAAGGTAGGCAGAGAACTGATCAGTGGGGAAGTTTGATATAAACGGGTACGCAAGGATGCACTAAAGAATATCTATATCTATCCCTCTGCACTGCTAGAATGCTCTCTCTGAGGAACTGTCCAACATGAAGAAAATCCAGGACGATCTTCTCGCTAATAAGGTATTCAACTGCTCCATGCTGTCTTTATGTTCTCCTGACTATCTTTCCACCCAGTTACATATTTCTTATGTAGGGGAGTGACCCCCTGGATGATTCCACAGGTGATCTACAAAGCTCCTGTGTTGGCCTGGATCCACTCATTGTTTGATCTCCACTCATCAGGATGCAGTGTGACAATCTGGACTCTTAAAAATATTCTGTATGCGTGTGTGTGTGTGTGTGGGTTACAGCATCTATCCGCTTACCTGTTGTGGTTTGGACGTCTATCTGGCATTCTGGCAGCCTCCATGTTTCCCCGTTCAGGTTTAGTTAGATTTATTCTCTTAGGCTCCTGTGGCTGTAATCCCAAATACCGGTGTATTGCCGCGGTGGACTCCCTGCTGAGAGCCGATTTCCCGGTCGGCTAAACAGCAGGTGAGGAAACTCTCCTCCGATCGTGACAGCATCTCCGCCGACGCCTGGATGCTGCTGAAGCGTGTTGCTGCGGTGCGAAGCTAACGCGCTCAGTGGTGTTGAGCGCAGACTTTCACGTCGGCTAACATGTCTCCTCTCTCGCTCTCTCTCCCCTTAAAACGCTTTCTGAGTTCCATATCATTCCCTTGGTCTAGGCCACTCACTCTAAGTTAGCTTACCATGAAGCTACCTGAATTCCACATGGTTGGTTGTAAACAAGGAAGTGAGCACCTCCGCGTCATTGCCAGGCTCCGCCCCCTGGAAAGGTGCGCCTGATAGGCTGTGTCCAAAATCATCCACTCACTCCCTACTCACTATCTAGGGACCACAACATAGTGAACTATGTAGGGAGCACCTTTTGCAAAGTAACATTTCAGACACTACTTGAGCTATTCATTACATTTGTGCCATAGCAGCATAGAGCAAACGCATCAAATTCACAGTTTATTGCGTCACTAAGAAATAGGTAAAATAAAAAAAAAGCAGATGACTATGCAGGCCCAACTGGCTAACACTGGAGCCCATTGTCTCCCTCCACCTTTATTGCCCTTTATCATCTGGTACTGGAAATTTCTGGGGGTTGAGTATGGTGGCTGAGTTCTGAATGGCCCTTCATGTCTTTCTCCCATTATAAAAGTACAGGCAGTAGCTTTAGCATAATTTTGGGTTGCTAGACACCACTTTTGGCTATCCCAGCCCCAGCAGGGAGACCTGGGCTACTTACTGAAGCTGCTGTGCCTAAATTGCAGCAGCAGGCACGGGAATGTTGCCGCTGTGCATCAGAGGTATCTGGTGGAACGCTACAGGCCTTGGCTGGAGGCTTTTTAAAGGTATTATAATTGTCAACAAGTCAGAGGAGGTAGAGCAGCTACTAAGTCCGAGGGATCCTCAAAGCGGCCTCCTCCTACCTGACAATCCCCAGAACCTGGCCAGCAGACTCGCCAGCTCCCGTGGCTGTGATTCCTATACCAGCTTATTGCTTACAGATGAGCTAACACGCTCAGTGACGCTCGTGCTGAGCGCAGACTTTACGGCAACAGACAACAGGAAAAAAAAAAGTAAACTCTGTTCCAGCCAGGTTGAGCTGGCATACATTGACCATACCTCCAGACAGTCAGCACATTGTCGACTCTTCTTTTCTCTCATGGGATGATGATCCATCTCTGGGGTGGGACACTCTGGCAAATATGTGGCCTGGTAGTCTGCTTTGAGCCTTCTGTCCTTTCATGCTTCTCCAGCCTCTTGTTCCAAGGATTCATGCAGAATGAGTGAGGCTGATTTTGGTGGCTCCTCTTTGGCCCCACTTGCCATGATCCCAGCAATGCTCCTCTCTTAAACAGGTTGCCTTGGAAGCTTCCACTTTGGAAAGACCTGCTGTCTCAGGCTAACAAGATCCTGTTTCATCCCTTCCTGGCTGGGCTCAGATTGGCCAATGGGAAAAACAGGTTCCTGCCCTTAGGCTTGTCAAAACCTGTGGTGAGAACTACGTAACAGGCCCGGTTGGCATCCACAAGAGCTTCCTATCTGTATGATTAGAGGGGTATTTACCACTTGGTTTGGACTTCACTAGAGAGATCCTTGCTCAGCAGCCCACAGACTCCTGCTGTTTGTCTTAACTGGAGACAGGAAAGTCTGCCTCTACCCTGCGAGGTGTGGTGGCAACACAGGATTAGGTCCTGGTCCCTCCATGGATTATGCATATAGTCTGTAATGTGTTTCAGCCTCCCCCACTTTTTACTGATGATGCTGATCTGAAGTGAGTTTTCTGTAGAACTCCATTTCTGTTGGCCACAACCTCTGCCAGGCTAGCGGCGACTGCTACAGGTTTTTGCCAAAGGGGTCAGGTGTAGTCCTTCATCCCAACCTGGCGTTCATGCAGAAAGCTTCATCTAAATTCCACCTGTCTCACTTGGTTGAGTGGCAGTCATGTGCCTCTTCCCGAGAAGACCAGAAGTACCAGCACCAAATTGATCCTGCTGGATTATGGACACCATTCAGGTGATGTGTGTGTCCCAGGTGTGCCAGTCACATCCTGGGTATGAGCACACTCACCTGGTGGTTTGGCTACCACATTGACCCTGTGGCGGGGAGCCTCTCTCACTGCCATATGTACAGCAGCCACATGGTCGTCTCAGTCCACTTTTGTCTCACATCCATTACAACATAGTAGCCTGTCCCTCTTTTGAGGTGGGTGTTGGTTCTGACTTGTCAATGGATGGTTGGGCCTGGCCTCTGTTGTCTCCCTCGGCCAGCCTAGCAGCTTGCTGGTTAACCTGAGTGGCCACTATGTTTACAGCTTTGGCGGTTTCATCTTGGCCTTTAACGGTGTTCCGGAGATCAGTCTTGCATCTTGCGGACTGGCCTAAGCAGCCCTTCTGCTTATCAGGCCTGGTCTTTGCGTTGTCCAGAGCATCCACCTGTCTGGTATGTAAATAAGTGTATATTTGCAAATAGTGCATTTGTCATATGCATGTGGTTTGGGCTGCACCGTCTACTCTCGAGATGTCTTAAAGAGTTACCCAGAGAGATAGTCTCAACACAATAGAGACCATAGGGTTACATTGTAATCTTGGTTCTCTGAGTGAAAAGACTATCTCTTTAGCTCTTCTGGCCACTCAGAGACATGTTTTGATCAAAACTATCTGTGAATTCACTCCAGCATGCATGTATGAGCCCTGATGAGCAAGGAAGTCATTCCACATACTTATGAAACATGGAACTGGGTGGAGAGATGGTCTTTCCAGGGAACCAAGGTTACAATGTAACTGTATGTTCTGTGTTTGAAGAGTTGTAGATGTGATTTTAACAATCGTTTTTCTTGGAGAAAAGCGGATTATAGTCTTCTTTCCTGTGCGTTATAGGAGCAGCTCCTTGCTGAGTTGGAGCGAATCCAATTGGAGCTGGATCAGCTGAGAGGCAGACCAGGCTCTTCATATTCCAGGTTTGCCACAATCAACCCTTATGGGAATGTATTTATGCATTTTGCCCTCAATTTTATGAATGCCTAAAAAAAACAAAAAACGTCTCCCAAGGGATATTAGATGTACACTTCCGTATTTTGAGTACAAACTTTTGTTTACTCCCATTTAGTCATAATGTGGTTCCACTGAAGTCTGCTTTCTACAGTAAATATTCAAAGTGTGCCTGGAGGTCATTTGTCTGTCTGACAAATATGTAAATAATATATTTATACATGCTTTATTCATATGAATGATATATTCTTCTTTGATATATTTTTGTCTTGTCTGTGTGATAATGCTGTGATTTTACACTGTCACGCAGGAAATGGGAATGTTGTCATTTTCAAGTGCTGTGTCCTAACAAATGAATTCTGGATCTCATCATAGGGCGGGCAGCGTGAGCTCACTTCCCTCCACACTTTTTCGAAGATCTCTGCCCGGGAGCGCCTCGGAGCTGCGTTACCCTCAGGGCGGCGGCTCACTCCCAGCCGGCTATGGCAGCTCCTCCAGTGGGGTGGTGGTCAGGCGGGCACACCGCGGCCGGTGGGGCGCTGCTAGGGACGATAGCAACAAGGTGGTTATCTCAGGCTGATATGATGCTGGTGATACTGATGATGTACATTCGTTTGTTATTAGGATAATTTCATGCATCCTTTCCACTATTTTTTTTTTGTTTTTTTCCAGTATGGAGAATGGGACAGCAGCACTATGCTGGGTCCTGGGTATGAAGGCGGTGTGGAGGGAGGCTGCTCTGATGACGAGGACGACAGAGAGACTCTGTTTGGATCGGAGCTGCTGTCTCCCAGTGGACAGACAGATGTACAGACTTTGGCCATCATGCTACAGGAGCAACTAGAGGCCATTAACAAGGAGATTAAGTACGTTTTATGTGCTTCAGAGTTTAAACGTGAGATCCTAACGCTGGGTGGGCAGCCAGTATTTCAGCCTACATTCAGAATTAAGATAAGATAAAACTTTATTAATCCCAAAGGAAATTCTTATGCCAGATAAAAAACAAATGACATAACATGAAAAATGCAGTGACTAAAAAGTACAAGCAGTAAGACGTAAATACATAACTGAAATTACTGAAATAAGGAAGCTGAAATAATGCTAGAATAGGACAGTAAGAAGAATTTCTGGCAATATTGCAGGGGTAATAAGCAATATCAGACATGATAATGAAAAAAAAAGACATGAAATATTGTATTGCACCTAAAAAAAATGAAATGATAATTAAATATTGCACATACTGACAATCCTGTACATAAATGTAAAATATTGCACATGAAGTCAAAAAGTTGCAAATGAAAATGAAATGTTTCAGGTGATTATGAAATATTATAAATGAAAGTAGGAATGATTACATCTGAGAAATGAAAATATGAAACATTGCACATTACATTATTATCATTTTTATTATTATCATTATTGTTATTAGTAGTAGTAGTAGTAGTATTATACATATGACAAAATGTAATCAAAAAGTATATTTGCAAGTCCAACAATGTGCATTAATCTTTTTTAAACTTTGGAAAGGCCCGTCCTCACTCACCTGTTTGACAATGTGAAAGAGTTCCTTTGTTTTAAAGTCTGACAGTTATTTTTTCCCCTTTCTCGTCTCCTCTCAGGCTGATTCAGGAAGAAAAGGAGAGCACAGAGCTGAGGGCAGAGGAGATTGAGAGTCGGGTCAGCAGCGTGGCCCTCGATGCCTCCCCTCTTCCTCCCTCCTCACTGGGAGGACGGGACAGTGTTGGCAGGGGCTACATGACTCCCTCCATCACCTCCTCCACGCTGGCGTCTCCTTCACCGCCCAGCTCTGGACATTCCACCCCCCGTCTGCCACATTCACCTGCCAGGGAGACTGACAGACAGGTGCTGTGTCCAAGCTGACACACCAACAAATTACCAAAGTTAAACTGAGCTGAACTGTGTGAATCTATTGCATTGTTTCCACCCCACAGAATAGCAAAGAGGGTGAAGAATGCAGAGCCCTGGCCCTGATCGACTCCACCCCTCCTCCTGTTCCACGAGCTCTGCGATTGGACCGGATGACACACACTCACCCGGGGGCGGGCCTCGACGACCACCGTGAATTTCGCAGGTACCTCTTCCCTTCATAAACAGTTTTTTTGGCTCCTAAACTATCCCCGAAATGCATTCGGTGTCTGTTGATTTCACCATTGATCCTGTTTTTCCTCTCTCTGTTTGTTTAGTCTCTCTGCTGATGGTGCCACCACAGCTAGCCAGGATTCCCTCCACAAAGCCAGCAAAAAGAAAAGCATTAAGTCATCAATTGGTCGTCTCTTTGGCAAAAAGGAAAAGGGAAGGATCGGTGCACCTGGACGCGAATCTGCCTCACTGGGTATGTGGACAGATTGGGAACCACTCATTCAAAATGGCATTTTCTGTTGTCCAAGTGACAGATTTGTCTGTTGACAGCAAGGGAATCACTCACAGTGAGGCAGAAAAAAGAAATTCATTGTTATTTTTAACATGTTATCTCTGCAGCCTCCACACCTTCTGATGACCTGGGATCAGCTGACCCATTAGGTCTGGCTAAACTTGGGACTGGAACAGTGGAAAAAGATCGCCGCAGCAAAAAGAAGTGAGATCAGTTGTCTTTCCACACACTTCTCATGTTATACGGAGAGCTTTGATCCCTCCTTTAGACTACATTTAATGACACAGTCAGGTGCCAGCGGTGAAGCGTTGATGCCGACCTGGTCTAGGCTGTGTCTTTTAAGTCCGCCGGTGCCATGAATTTAAAAAATGCACTTGTGGTGCTGCGAGACACAAACGTTGTTGTATTTAACATCTCATGTTCAATGTGATTTTCTATTTATAAAAGGAGACAGTCATAAGGAGAGATATGAAGAAATTAATCTCTGTCAAATTGCTTTTTTCCACTCTCCCTGCCAGGCATGACTTGTTAGAGGAAGCTTGTCGTCAGGGTCTGCCTTTCGCCTCATGGGACGGCCCGACTGTTGTTACATGGCTTGAGGTATGTATGTCGTGCCACTCCTTCCTGTAAAACTATACGATTGATTTTGTCCGGTTCATGTATAGTCTGACAGAATGTCATTTACCATCTGAAACTCAAAATGTGCACGTTATCTGAGAAAAAAAAAAAACACTGAAATCACACAATTTGCTGAAAATGTAAAAAGAGAAAGAATCAACAGATTTCTAACTGGTCATTGAACTAATCGTATGTAGCGTGATGTTCCATCAGAACACAAAATCTAAGCTTAAAATCATGTTTCACTCTAATCTACATGTCTCATTAAATAATTTGCAGTAACCAGATTTGTAAAAAGCAAGAAACTTCCCTCTTCAGTGCAAACGTGAAGTCATTAATAAACAGTCATGTGACAAAAATTCAGGGACACTTCAGCTGAACTGCAGGCAGTGTTTACACAGAGCAGATAGGAGACGGTAACAAATGAAAAATCCAAGTAGTAAAATGTCTGTAGTATGTAGAGTCACTATTTTTTCAGTACTGTATATCCCTTGCTGTCTTCAAAAGCAGCCTAAAGACTCTTTTATTCTGCTCTGCTTTTAAATAAGGCTCTGCTTGTTGTGCTATACAAATAAAATATATTATTAATGTATTATTACCTTAAAAATGTTAAAGAAATTCAAGTTTCATTTTTTCATATTCTATGATTTATGGAATTATAACTCTGTTATATTGCACAAGACACAATTTTTGATTTTCTAGCCATGACTGTGTTGTTTCTATAGAGATGCAGGACTTTATATTTTAGTGAACAGTGATCCTACAGTGAGTAAAAATATGACAGGAGAAAAACAACATCCAGATACTTTTTGAGGTTCAGAAGGTTAGTTTTAGGTGCTCACAATGTAAAGTAACCTACAGCTAATCAGCGTCACAATATGTCTAAATTTAAAGTTCATTTTAGTAATAGGTCAAGTTAGGCTCTGGACCACAGTCTGTATTCGACAAATATAAAAACGACACTTGTTTTTTTGTCACCTGATCATCTGTGAAGTATAATCATTACAAGTGTTCATATCCGCCTCGTCTTCTTTCTATTTACTCAGCTGTGGGTCGGGATGCCGGCCTGGTATGTGGCAGCGTGTCGTGCCAACGTGAAGAGCGGCGCCATCATGGCCAACCTGTCGGACACGGAGATCCAGAGGGAGATTGGCATCAGCAACCCTCTGCACCGGCTCAAGCTCCGCCTGGCCATCCAGGAAATGGTCTCCCTCACTAGTCCGTCTGCACCTGCCAGCACTCGATCTGTAAGACTCAGTAAAAAGCACCAAACCACACATGAACAAATCCATACAGTCATGTCAGGAGCAGAGACCCATGTTTGTTTGCTGTCATTGCAGTCGACCAGTAATATTTGGATGACACATGCTGAGATGGAGTCTCTCACTGCTGCCACCAAACCAGTAAGACTGAAAGTTATAATACACCTTAAATCTAAAGAGAATTCATTATTTTACTGTATTGACTTATTTTGTTTCCATGTATTTCATGCACATAAAACAGTTTAGATACAAACCGTGTTATACTACAAATATGAGCAAAGTTATCACGTTGATAAGCTCTTTTCTTTTTCTTTGTCTCTGATTAGGCATGTTTGGCTACACCTTTCCCTTGCTATTCCCTAAAAATCTGTTTTGATGTAGTGATTTTCCAACTAATTCTCACTCACTAACAAAGCTTTTCCTCCTTCTGCCTTCCCTCTCCTCCTCTTCATTCTGTCCCGACACCGATTCACCGTAACACACACACACAAACACAAACTCTCCCTGGTGAACTTTCCCTCTCTGTGCAACTCTCTGTCCCTTTTCTCTTTGCTCTCCTCTCTGCCCGAAACCACCAAGGAGCAGAAGGAGTTCAGCTGGGACCAGGTGAGTTTGTGGGAGCACACAGGGGGGTAACATGATTTCCTATTGATTCGAATAAGGGTTGATCATCATCATAATAAAGGGCAGCATTTGTGCCCCTCTAACATGTGATCTGCCGCCTATTACCCATCAATCTTTAGTGGAGCATGTTTTCTGTCAGCTGATGATGATACTCTTGTAAATTAAGCCCATCAGATGACTAAAATGAAAAAGCATAATGGGAGAAAAAATCACTTTTCAGGCAGCAGCAATTGTGCATTCTCAAAAAGTCTGGATTTAAAATGAAAAATAAACTTTAGAATCGTTTAAATTGTACCAATTTCTACTGAGAGGTTTATAGGGAGCCTTCTGAGTCCAGCATGACACTCGCTTTGTCTTGGAATAGTCAGAAAAGTGGTTGATGTCAAAGTGTCAGTGTTAATAAGCTGTTAATAAATATATGTCTGGTGTAGATTTAGTGCAGGATGAAATAAAGAGGAAGTTTGATTAAAGAGAATTTTTAAAGAATTTTTCTAGTATCCATAAGTTGTTCTTATTAATGGTTTATAACAAGTCTATAAATTACTGATTAATAAGGTGATTAGTTATACCTTATGGAGGCTTTTTATACCTACCAAACTATCCTAAATGTAAATTCCAGTTTCACATACAAAGAACATAGACATTCATAAAAACACGCCCCCATACATGGATGTTTTTGCCTTTCTAGCCGGTGCTTCCTGTAACAGCGTTGCATCATCGTCAGCAGAGGAATGTTTTGTATGATAGCCGCTCAGCCAGCAGTGTATTTACACTCCTACGGTGTATATATAGAGCATCCAGGAAGGAGAAACAGCTGGAGGAAACACATGCAGGCAGACGGTAGACTCTGTTTTCTTGAGAATTTTAGGTTGCAGTTTTGTGTTTTTTTTGACACTTTCTAAGCAAACAAAATGCATAGAAAAAAATCAAAGGTTTAGATGATTAATTAAAAAGTGATACGTTATATTTAGTCAAAATATTTTACTATTTTTGCGTTTTAACCCTTTGAAACCCAAGCATTGATTTTAAAGGGGGGACAGTTTTTCTCCTTTTTAAATGGTTGTTAATGGTTCTTGATCCTCTAATCAATACAATGTAGTTGTAATCCAAACCATGATGCATGTGAATGAAGCGGACAAAATATTAGCAACACCTTTAAATGTAACAGTCTAATGCATCATACCACCCACTGTGACTTCTGTAATAAACATAAAGTAGAATTATCACATTTCTGATAATATTAGCAAACTGAAAGCTTCATAAAAGTAGAATTGATGGCAGGGCGGTTGTGTTGTATTGCACTAGATTGCATAGATGTTCCTAAAAACTGAGTGTATATAGTGTTAATCCTAACCCCTTGACCTACATATTACACTGCTAATTGCCATAGGAGACAAAATTGATGAATCTACTCATGACTCAGTGATGAGGCCTGTTGTGTGAATAAGTGACGCCCACTGAGTTTTCTGCCAAATCATATGTAACAGCCTTTTTGTATTTTTTAAAGGTTTATATCAATAAACTTTAGAATAAATGGTGAAATCATTACATGTCAAATACTTGTAAAATAGTTTGGAGCCAGAGTTTCACTGCAGAAAACCATGTTGTTGTGGTATGTGTGACTGTAATAATGTTTTCCCGCCAAAAATATTGTGACAATACATTTTAGAGTCAGGGTGTTGGGATTTGTAGGGTTTTGCTTACATTCGGGCAGTTATAGGTACTAACAGACAGTTTCAAATCGATGTTACAGTTTTAAAAACTGTCCGTTGAAGAGCGTTGATTAGTAAAATTAAGTCCAACATGTTTGTATGTCATTCTTTGTTTAGAATTCAGATCAAAGTGATGCTGTAGATGTTACCTGTAGTTTTGCTCTTTCTCATATTTTTTGTTGGTGTTCTTTAATGTTATTCATCTCTGTCGCGCCTTCTGTCCTCCAGATCCTGGCCTACGGAGACATGAACCACGAGTGGGTGGGCAACGAGTGGCTGCCCAGCCTCGGCCTGCCTCAGTACCGCTCCTACTTCATGGAGTCGCTGGTGGACGCCCGCATGCTCGATCACCTCACCAAGAAGGAACTGAGGGGCCAGCTGAAGATGGTGGACAGTTTCCACAGGTCTGAAAGAAACATTACCACACCATCTGTGACACCATTAGATTCTCCTTCTCGCTACATTATCCTCTGCGTGTCCTTATTACTTACAGGGTGAGTCTTCACTACGGCATCATGTGCTTGAAGCGCTTAAACTACGACAGAAAGGAGCTGGAGAGGAGGAGGGACGAGAGTCAGCACCAGAACCAAGGTGAGGCCTGGAGTTAATGTGCAAATCTCCTCTGACATGATTTCAGAGAAGTCATTTCTTCCCACCTAATGGATATATATCGTTCTAATTCTCTTCCTCCTTGTCCACAGATGTGATGGTGTGGTCCAATGAGCGAGTCATGTGTTGGGTGCAGTCTATTGGGCTGAAAGAGTTTGCTGACAACCTATTAGAAAGTGGCGTCCACGGAGCTCTCCTTGCACTAGACGACACCTTTGACTACACCGACTTGGCCCTCCTCCTCCAGATACCAAACCAGAACACGCAGGTACCTCTCAGCACATCATTCATGCTTCTTGTAACCCTGAAATTACAATGACAGCATCTCTGTGAATCGCTAATCTGTCAGCCGTCGTCAGAAATTCACTGTCTGTTTGCATAATGCCAAGATAATCCTAATCTCCAACTCCTAAATTATCACAAAACTCTGCTCCGTCTGTCTCTTGCAGGCGAGGCAGCTCCTCGAGAAGGAGTACAATGCTCTCATCTCCATGGGAACAGAGCGGAGGCCAGATGAGGTACGACAAAGCAGACTGTCAGTAGAAAATCAGTCCAGATAATCTTTCCTGCCAGGAGATGGAAATGTGTGTTGATTGTAAGACTATTTCACTCGACAATAGCGCCTTTGTTCCAGACTTTTTAGATTTTGCCCTTTGTTCAAAAACGTGTCATGACATACTAATTTCCTCTCAGTGATAAAACAGCAGACTGGAGCATCTCTTTTCCTTATAAAACGAGCCTCGATGGCATCAGCGCTCGTTCCACTGCTGGCAAACTGTTGGCGTGCCACAGTGGTTCAGCTGTGTTTACACGGGTGCTAATTGCTTAGTTACAGCGTGTGCGACTAAAAACTGTGTGACCGTGGAATATTGTCACAACAAATCCTGTTTTGTCAAATACTCCTTTGTTAAAACCCACTAATGAACAAGACCCTGAAAATAGATCGCCTCTGCTGCTGTTATTTTTAATCACTGGCATTATTTCGCTGTCTCCACAGGACGGCACGAAAACATTCACACGGTCACCATCATGGAGGAAGATGTTTCGAGAGAAGGACCTCCGCGGCGTGACCTCAGACTCCTCAGAAACATTACCTGCCAACTTCCGTGCCTCCGCCATCTCGACCCCCTCCGTCACCCTGAGGAAGGTCCAGAGCGAAGGTGAATGAGCAGCACAACTGACACAATCGGGAATAACACAGCGCTCTCCTCCTGTTTAAACATTCGTGAGAACAATAAGGAAAAAAACAATGCGGGTTGTGAAATGTGAAGCTGCTCATACTAACAAAGTCAAACATTAGTGACGCAGCAGAAGTCGCTACTGCATGCAGACTAATGTTTGTTCACCCTGACGTTCCTCATTTATTTACGCTCCAGTGAGGACTCAGCAGAAGAATGACAACAGAAAACATAACAAAGGTCATTGGAATTTGTGGATTTGGCAGCGTTTGATTAATTATGAAGATGTACAAATCCTCTGACACGGTCAGAAGATGATTGAGCATAAAGGCGCTGATGTCAAGATGGAGGACAAGTCACCATTATTCACACACTGAAGCACATGTTAAAGCTGATAAAATGTCGAGCCAAAGTGCTGTCGAGTAAAGAAATAAGATCGGTGTTGCAAATTTACTTCACAAGTTTGACATATTAAGGTTAATAATCTATAGTGTTGTTTAGTATGTCAATTTACCTGAGTTATTTAAAGGTTGCAGTAAAATGCTGCAACAATGTATAAAATACAAGTTACCCTGACTACCTTGACGGTGAAGAACCTACAATATCATGTCCACATATACTAATTCTAAAATTGTAGTGATGTAAAATTATACATGAAAAACTCTAATAAATCTAAATATTTCCTATAAATGAAGCAGAATGGCAACAGTCGAGGAAGAGGACCAGCTGAAAATAAAGCACACAGAAAAAATAGGGAACACTGCTGATTATGTAATCATGCAGTATTTTACACCAGACAGTCACTCGCTGGTGTCCGGTGCACATCGAAGCACTGATTCTGTCGCTTATTGTCAGCCGAACACATGATTTCTTCTGTCCACGCTTTCCTTTTGGTTTTAATCGATTCCTGCTGTCCAGCTTTTAGATTTAAAATCTGTCGTCATGATTGATTGATGATCACATTTTGCGTCTAAAACTGAAAACTTCTCCTCTCGGTTAACACGTAAATAATGTGAAGATCGCATGTGGAGTGTTCCTTTACGTGTTTATGTCTCTCATCGTTGTTATTTTCTGTTTTTGTTGACGTCTTGATAAGCGGATGGTTTGTTGCACATGAGGAAACCCTGGGAATTCCCTCAGCGCTCCGCTACACAGTTTTGTTTAATGTCAGATTTTATTTCGCTCTGAGTCACATGATGGAATTCAGGTGAAACTTTTGTTAAGTGGTACTTTCAGTAGCACACTCTCACGTTACAAACCATGTCAACAGGTCAGTCAGTTAAAAGAAGCCAGTGAGTTTACATACCAGAACTCAAGAGAACATAGTTTTTAGAGTAAGAGTTTTGCATTTTGGTTTATAGTTTATTCACACGGAGATGTAGAGAAGAAGATCAAGTGATGGAAAATATTTTCAGATCCTTTACTTAAGTAGAAGTAGGAATACACAACAGTTAAAATACTCCACTATAAGAAAAACCCCGCATTCTAAACTTGACCTCAATGAAAGTAAGTATAATAAGCAAAGTAAAAAGTACTCAATGTGCAGTAAATGCATGTTACCTGTCATTGTTTGATCACTATATGTGATTATTTTCCCGCTCCAGTAATGTTTTTGTATGTTTAGGTTGAGCTAATTTTAGGTACTTTATATACTGGTGGGTGGTTTAATCCACAGAAATGCAACATTTGTGAGTTGCATTCCTGTAGCGTTGTGCAAGTCCTGCACCTCAACAAAAATAGAACAACCGTAGCTAGACTGGAGAGAACTCAAAAAAATCTCCTGTGTTTTCTCAAAGTGCCGACAGATGTTACCAGCACTGGAAAAAATGGTGACTCCACATACCAACGACATTTCATTGCTGAGATTTTATATTTGTTTACATACTTCTGTGCTCTGTGCAAGGACATTTCCCAAAATTGTGTGATGTCACTGTTGGAAGTCATTAATGGCTTCCTGTTTGCACCGAGGAGTAGCTATAAATATATATAAAGTCTTCCTCCAATGTATTCATACCCTCCCATTAAAGAAGGAAAAAGTAAGCTGTCACTGAAATAAGTTGAAAAAATTAATAATAAATAAAAATGAAGTAAAAAACACAACATTGCTTTTGAATTGTGGTTCAATAGAAATATTGAAACAAAAATCAAACAAAAAACAAGCAAGCAAACAGGATGGGACCCATAAATGAATATTTAGTTGAACAACCCTTTGAGCCAATCACTGCCATCAAGTGTTTTCTGTAACTCTTAATCAGACTTCTGTAACTGTTGACAGGTATTTTGACCCACTGCTCATCAGCAAAGTGCTCTGTTTATATGGGACAGTTTATTTTTGTTATTATTTTTTCACCCACAATTCAGAGGCAATGTCTTATTTCACTAAATTATAATTTAACAAATTTTTAGATTATTTTTGGGCAAATGTTTAAATCAGACATATAGAATAAAGTCTTTTTGCTGAGTGGAGCTGACTAGTAAAGCTGCTGGTGGTGACCTCCTGTTTTTATATTAGTGAAGTGTAACGGTTACAGCAAAGACTCTTGTTTTCCTAACAAGAAAACACAAAACAAGTGTTTTTTGTTAGTGGTGGAAAAAGTATTTATATCCTCTACTTAAGTTGAAGAAGCAAGACTGAAGTTTAAGAACACAAGTAAAAGTCCTGCATTGAAAAAAAAAGTATTAGCATCAAAATATACTTAAAGTACCTCAAGTGAAAGTATTTATTATGCAGCATGGCCCCTTTCGTATCACATAAAATATTGAACTGAAATGATTGACTGAGTAATGTGTTGATTACTTTAATGTTACAGCTAATTATAGTTGCTTTATACACTGCTGGGCGGCTACATCTATATGAATATAGCATGATTTATAGTTGACTTATATGTGATGTTATATGTGAATTCTCTCATCTTCAAAACAACTGGTCATTACAGCTTTAAAATAAAAATGCTCAATCTTTTTTTGTTTTTCTTTATGTTTGTCTTATATTGCTTAATTATATTCACTAATTACCTGATTCTCTCTGTCAGTCAACTCTGGTCCGAGAGGAGAGTCGGGGTCCGTGAGAACATATTCCTGCTAAAAGATAAGCACACCAGGTGAGAAAAACACCGTCACTGATGATTAAAAATATCCCGCGTGAACAACAAATCAATCATCTCATCCCAGCAAGGAGCTATTACGGTTCTTTAAGTGTGTTTTCTTCCATTTTTATAGAAGCCCACCTCCATCCCAACCCAAGGGAGAAAAAAAAACAACACCACCACATTTTTGAAGAAAAAAAAACTGAGGAACAAAAAAAACAAAAATGGACACTAGAAGATGACCAACAACGTTCGAGCCGCGCGTCTCGAATGAATCAAAGACACTGAGTGAATGATTTGTGAAAAGATGATAAAATAATGAGTGAATGTCTGTTTACCCATCAGTTTCTCTCTCTATCTCTCTCTATCTCTCTCTCTCTCACTCTCATCTTGATCCATAGTTGTGGCATGATGCTGTTTGATTCTGTAGAAAGTGGCCTGTAGAAAGTGACCATTGCCTATCGTGAATTCATCTTCTGTTTTTGAGTGTGAGATGGCAATATTGACACAATGAATTTATAGTTTTTAAAAACTGGGGCGGTGGGAGGGGAAAAAAAGAAGAAAAAAAAAAAGCATTCCTGTTCGGATCAAGAGAATGACAGCCCGACACACATCCTTTCAGTTGATCTGACTATGATTTAGACTGATAATAGAACATACTCTGCCTATAGGAACATCACAATACGGTACAGTGTGGGGAGAGGGAGGCTCAACGAGAGAATGTAGGCGATTCTACACAGGAGTGTGGGGGGAAGTCAAACGTATGTTCTTAAGCCATAACAGACATGAGATGCACAAATGTGAATAGGACAGACAATGAGACAATTAGCAAAGTGCTTTATGACAAAATCCTGTTCAAACTGAGGGGGGAAAAAAAGAGTTTAGTTAGAGAGCATTTGTGTTAATATGCATGCCAAAATCAACCATTTTAGAGTGAACGTCATGATATCAATCATCTAATGATGTGAAAGCTTGGGTCAGGACTTTGTAAAATGTGTGTATTTTATTTTTATCATTTTTTATGATAACTGCTATTGTATGTATGTATGTACAGTATGTATGTGTGTGTATTAAACTGTATGTTCATTTCATACTTAGTTTTAAGACTGACTGTAATTTCATTTTAGGTTGAACAAAGGAAAATATGTTTTAAATTATGGACATTTAAGATATGCTACTTGTATGTGTACATTTTGAAGAAAAAAAAACAAAATTGTGTTATGATTTCAAATTCATATTACTTGAGAGTAGTGATGATAATTGAATATAATATGATAAACAATAATGATAATGATTGTAAAAGCTGTAATTAAAAAAAAACAAACATACCTGTAACATGCTGCTGAAGGAGTTATTTCGCGCCTCACACTGACAGAAGATCACAGGTAAGACATGAAGCTCTCAGTTGTCTTTTGGAGTGTGTGTGTCACTAAAATGCAGAGTTTATCCTTGAAGTGCAGCTTTGCAGTAGCTTTAACACACTGAAGTCAGGGACATCACTTAAGGCATGTACAGCATGAATTAGGAACGGGGCTTAGAGAGGTGATATAGTCTTGTTTTTACTTTTACTTTGGTCCCATGAAAGTGTGTGTGTGTGAACTTTAGTGTCTAATGTTATGCATAACTCCAAATAGAAATGCATCGTTATGAGAAACATCCTCTCAGTCTCACTGTTGGTACTCACAGCCTTTTATTATGAATATATTACATTAAGGACGTGGACTCAGCCTTCTAATTAACATCCACTCCATGATTTTACTCAGCCAAGTTTGAATTGAGCACCACCGTGTTGGAGATGAGCCAAAGCAGGAAGAGGAAACCCCAGTGCTTTTTGGCCATGGCGAAGGTTATAAATAGTAGGTATTTGTATTCCAAACAGGTGATGGAAGAGTTTTCTTTTTTTTTTCAAAATTGGCTCTATTTTTAAATGTATCACAGAAACCCCTAATGCATGGAATCATGGTATATTTGTGACATGGATTAAAGCGGTCTAACAGTCCTCCAACTCAAAATGAACAGACCTTAATTAAGTTCATGATGTTTTTCTCGCCCACGTCCTGTATTTTTGGCACACGCAGCGGTGCCACTTCCGAGGTGCTGGTGCAGGCTTAAGGAGTAAACAGGAAAACACAGCATAAACATGAAGGAATATTTTTTTCAGTGTTTACAACTGCTGTTGTGTTTACAGTGTACAGGAGACGGGAAAACACCCCTGTTCATTATGACTTCAGTGTCAAATTATTCAGAACTGTACAATCTTACAGTAACTTGAACAGTAGGTTATTTAGTCTCATGTAAAATTAACAACAGTTTATATTTGCTGTGCCCAATACAAGGGAATTTCATGCAACAAAAGTCAGCACTCCTGTCATTGCTAAGATTTTTTATTTTTAAAATACTTTTCATCTCCATTACTTGTAAAGACAGACTCAATCCTTCTCAGCATGGAGGACACTGAATTCCTGGAGAGATGTCCTGTTTTTCTTCAGAGACTATTTTTTTTTCAGCTGGGTTGTGTTGCTTTACCTTTCTCTTTAAGATCATCCAAAGGTGTTGGATTCAAGTTAGGTGACTAACTTTTCTGGGTCGTAGTTTTTTTTTTTTCCATTCTTTAGAAACACTTGTATGATTTCCGTAGTGTGCTTCTGATCACTGTCATTTTGGAATATGACATCTGACATCTTTTGGACTCCTGCAGGCTTGATCATCACACCCTGGTCTTCACTGTCAGGATTATGCATTCACTGTGGTTGTCCTGGCAAAGTTCATGCCAGACATGTTGTACACCATCTGATCCCAACACATTTATTTATTTGACCAAAGAATGTGCTCCTAATGTCATCCTTTTTAGATTTTCATGCTCTTTAGCAAAGTTTACTCTTGCAGTTTTGAGATGAACAGTAAGTCCTTAGAGGCTGATATTAGACACTGTCTATTACACTCTGCGAGTTGTCACAGAAACTATTAACTCCACTGATAACCCCTGTGCCAACTGGTTTTTAGTTGATCTTCCTGTATCCTTTTTTCATCTTTGAATCAGACTTCTTAATTCCTCAGGAAGAAAGTTCTTTTCTACATGGAGCCATGATGCAGACAGACACGGTCCAGAGGTCTAAAACTGAGAAAATTCTGTGTTCACGTGTCATTTCATAACAATGGTAATGTCACGGTTCAAGCAAAGACTCAAGAGCGGACAAAGACTTGGCAGAACAAAATGTTTCACAATAAAAGATTTACAATATACAGGAAGTGAAAACTAAATCAAAGGTAACAGAACAGTGTCAATACTGACACTAAAGGTGTGACGGACAAAGTACGTCAAAACAGACACAATTAAGGATCAAAAATATTACTTTTAACTATCAGACGAGGAACCTAAACTTGGTACCATCAAGCCAGGAAGGAATAAACAAAAATTCCGACTAACTAGGAATAACAAAGGCTCGAACTTAACAATTACATGAACAGTTTGCTGAGGACTCAACAGGAGACCAGGAGCTTACTGACAGGTGGGCGACATTGCAGGTGAGGGGAGCTGACATGGTGGACAGATGCAGTTACCAGGGGTGGGTGAACCACGAGACCGTGTGTGGAGCCGGTGGTAGATGGCGGTGGTGAACAGAACTGGATTGTCAGAGCCGGTGAGGCAGATCCAGCTGGAGCAGAAACAGAACTTGGACTAGCATTAGGTAACAGGTACGGAGCAAAAGACAGATCGGAGCAGAGCCAGGATTCACTAACTGAGTAGTAGTTTACAGTCCAGCATCGTGTGGTGGTCTGAAGCCAGCTTTTATGGGAAGGAGAGGTGAGTTGATGATTGATGACCACGCCCCGCCGCAGGTGAAGACACTCAGGTAATCTGCTGAATCAATGCACCTGTCCACACACCTGCCAGCACACGCCCACCAAGGGAGAAAGGACAGGAGGGAGGGGAGGGAAGAGAGGGGAACCAGAACCGCCACTAGGTGGAGCCAGAGGTGGCGGGCATGGCAGGTAATGCAATGAGGCTAACAGGAAGTCACTTTGTGTTTCTACTGTGTGGTCTGTCTTTTTAATATATCTTTTCTAAAAATAAATAAATGAAAAATTAAATAGAAATAATGTAATTATTGAGAGATAATTCAATTTTCTGTCATTTGACATTCAGGTGATACTGCACAGGGGTAAACTCACCTCTGGTGTATACTGTTTATTTGTGCTATTTACCTGTCAACATCATGAAACCAGTCTTAGCAACTTACAGTATCAAACACTAATACATATATTTAAATATGTTAGACTGTTGTAAATAGAGGATTGGATAGACGGAAGCTTGCTGAAGGTTTTTCTGTATTTTCACAATTCTGAAATTTTCCAGATTATGCTATGACTTATTTCTTTGGCCTGTGAAAGTCATGAGGCGGACTTTCGTAGCTTCATGACGTTTGGTGCCATGCAACACAGCTCTCACACCCTATTAATTCTGACAGGTGAGCAAGTGAGTAAGAGAACAGTATGAACCAACCCCGTCATCACAAGACAATGTGATGAGAACGCTTCCCAGTGATGTACCGCTTTTCTTAACTGGTGAGTTTACAATCTGACGTGCAGGCCTCTCCCTGGTGCCTGCACAGCTGCAGTCCTGTAAACACTTGCGCTGCCTATAAATCAGTTTCACCCACTCTTTCCCTCATTCTCTTTCTTTCGCTCAAACACACACACATATCAAAATAAGATAAACATCCCAAAACACAAAACAGTCTTAGTCATTTCCACTCGTATCTGTTTCCTATAATGTATTCGGCAGATGACGCAGAGGCATGTGTTTGTATTACATCTTCTTGCAGTTGTGAAATATGTATATTTTTGAAGTGGAGGCCTGAATGAGAACACATGGACCATTACAGTAAATGGTTTTGTCTGCATGACGAAGCATAATTAGTTGTTTTTGTTTATTTTTTTCTTAATTTATCCTGAGTGTTTTTGTACTAAAATATTTCAAATTCAACATAAAAGCTATTGTTAGAAAGCTTTGATATGTAATAAAAGTATTTTCAGTTCTGTATGTATTAAGAAGGAAATCAATCTTCATTATTTGAAATACTGTATACATACAGAGGTCCAACTTGCTTACAGAGGTTAAATGATGAAATAATGGGTAACATAAAATCAGCTTATACATTTTTTTTTTAAAAACTTTCTCTATAGTTCATTGGAATCTTAACCCACCTGAACTCGTGGGAGGCTAAGAACGAAACTTTACGAGCAACTCTTACCATAAGCGCCAGCAAGAAGTCCATACATAGTGTGCGAACCCAGGTTCTTCCTCTCAGCACTCAATCACGGTTTTGTAGAAATGTCTGACTCATACTCTCACGAAGTGGAACCTCCTTCTCGTAACTCCTTTATAAGAGCGCCAAACCTGCTCCTGTTTAGAAGTCGCCTGTACAGGGTCACATATTTCTCTATTTATTATTTAAGAAGCTATTTATTTGTATTTATTCCTTATTTATTAACTTCTTAAGGCTTTCTTGAAATGTTTTTCATTCCAAACACTCCTTTTTCTTACCTGTCTTCTTTTTTCTTCATCATTTCTCTTCCCTTCTCTCTGTCGTTCTACCTCCCTGACTCCAACCCACTGTTATCCTTTAATAATCAAGTCAGAGAAGGGCATCTCTACACAGGTATTTCTAATGTTTTTTTCATTTCTGTAATTTAGCTCAATGCAGATATAGATATACTGATGAGAAGCTGCTCTTAATCAACTTAGTTTTTTTCCCTTCATGCTGATTTCTCTCTTATTGCAGATAACCATAGACGAGGGATGTATCTGCAGATGACCTCTGATGGGAGCGTAACAGGGAGTGATGCTCAGACTCCTTACAGTGAGTATTAACCAGATTAATCAGTAACAGTACATGTTTTTACAATCTACACTGGATGATCAGAGCGTCAGAAGACTGTGACCTGCTGCAGGCCTATAGAAAAGACACATCTATTGTTGTTTATGTGTTTCCAGGTGTCCTGCAGCTGAAATCAGTTAAACCAGGACACATAGTCATCAAGGGACTGTCATCATCCCTGTTCCTCTGTGTGGACAGCAGAGGCCACCTGAGAGGCCAGGTAAGCTTCAAGAGAGCTACAGCATCTTCAAACCTCTGTCTGAATTGTCCTCTGATGATAAACTACTTCTGTCACTTTCAGAGTCAGTACACAGAGTCTGACTGCACCTTCAAAGAGCTGCTGCTGGCTGATGGATACACCCGCTTCCTGTCCTCACACTATGGATTTCCAGTGTCGCTGGCGTCAAAACATACCACTGATCGAAACTCAGTCCCTTTCACTCGATTCCTACCAATCAGGAATACTTTGACTGGCGAGAGTGTGACTGAGCGACCAACAAACACTGAGATAACTTTCAACATGGACTCTGGTGACCTTCTTGGAATGGGTCTAAACTCAATGGTCAGTCCTCAGTTTTCAGTGGACAAGTAAGAACTAAGCTGTTATTGTACCTTTAAATTGTATTAGAACCAGTTGCTCTGACTTTGTTATGAGATGAGTAGCTCGATCATTTTGGTTTATCATCTTTCAATGAGAGCAATATTGATCTAAGTTATTTATTTATTGTGTATGTTGTGTGTGTTTCTAATGCTTATTTAAAGATAATGTTGAGATTTTTAGTTTGAAAGAATGTTTGTCTGAGACAGAATGTGCTCATGTTGCAAGAGATTTTGGTATGTGAGGCTTTTGGAGATTCTCTGAACCAGAGGCCTGAGAAGCCCAATCAATCTTATATTTATCAAGTGTGTTTATGAAACTGGAGAGAAATTCTGAATGAAAATAAACATTCCATTAATATAACTTGCACTTGTCTAAATTAATCAAGCAATGATAAAGGAATGTAATGCAGGAACTACACAAACCAGGAAGGATGCGTTTACTAAATAAGAACATGTGTAGGCAATGATCATCCCTCTCCTCTACAGAAGTGAGGAAATGAGCAGAGTATTGTGAAGGCAGGAGCACTCTCTAGTGGACAAATACATAATGACATGAAGTACTTCATGTTCTCTGCATCACTCTGTCTGTGGGTTTTAGTGAATGTGTCTTTGTGTCAGACAAAACTTGCCTTAACCTTTGGGTGGTCAATAAAGTCTCAGTTGTTATATAGTCTAATGTAGACTGTATAACAACTGAGAATAATTGCTATACCAACTGTAGGTCTATTATTAGACAAATTGTTGATCTAGTACATAGTAAACTGTACTTGTTTTAACCAACGGCATTTCCTACAATGAATAGTGCATTCTGGAAACTCCTGTAGAGTTTTGGGGTAGCTGTCAATTATAATTTGGAAGAATTGCAGCTATATCTATTTACTTGGTGAGGCAGAGCTCAAACTCAACAAATAAAAATTCTTGAACTAAGGGTCTCACGTCTAAAGAGGTTTCGTTTATGTTAAACACATTGAAACCCCCTTTGAGGCAAATTAGTGATTTCCTTTTTTGGTGTGTATAAATTCAGTTATTCTGACAATGTGATCTTTGAACATAAGCTGACTTGAGTTCAAAACGATTGCTCCAATCAAGGCTGAAACCTATTCATATTTAAAATAAAGACCTCTGGACTTATGTTGTTTGGACTTTGTTGCTGGGTTTTTTTGTTTTTTTTTCATACCCCTGAAAAAGGAGCCCTAAAGAGAAGGTAGGTTTTTCATTCATGGTTCAGGTTTTTGACATAGATTCAAAGACACATACGTCTACTCCAGTCACAGTACATCACAAGTGAGAGTGTTTCAATAGTCTGTCTGCTAATACAGGTTGAATGGTTCTTTAAGAGCCTCTCGTAATCTTGCCATGTTTACATGCTCTTATTGTGTTTTTATAAGCGAGAAGATATGTCATGCACAACATAAGCAGTAAATGCCATGGCCCAGTGTTCCACCTTGAAGCTGCGATGATACGATGACAGCTCATAAACACAGATTTAGACTTCTGGGGTTTAATATGTGACAAACCAATCCTGTCTACTATCAGGGTGAGCGTTCTGTATCACTATTCTAATTCAGAATCAGTTTCTAGTTCAAACATGTACGGCTGAGTTACTCCAATATTACAACTTGCCATTTTGTTGCATAGAGCAGCTTTATAGTATCTGAGCAGAGCTGCAGGTGAACTGGTGTGCTGAGCTGCAGTGAGGGATGGAGGGGTGAGTGGAGAGAGGAGCAGGGATTTCATAGATCTGGACATTCTAGAAGAAGCAATGAAGTAAGGTTACATCTAAGCCATTTTAAGGCAGGGAGGATTTGTTTTAATGGAAATGAAACTCCTAAATATGTAACTTTGATACAGAAAGATGAGTTTTGGGGGCCTTCATCAATAACAGAAAAAGGACTTTCATAACTGTGACCTGTCTGCACACAAGTAGAAAAAATGTGTTTTTGTTATTGTAATTGTTTCTATGATTTTTTTTTTTTTTTTTTAACTTACCAGTTTCATAAATAAAAATTAAAATGAGCAAAGTATTTTACACATCTAAGAAACTGAACAGTTTGCCTGTATTGTTGCAAAGTTGAAAATCACACTGCCGGTTTTTTTTTGGTGTTTGTCTCATTTGTTTTCTGCCTTGTTCACATAAAAAATAAATTTTTTTTATTTTTTATTTGCCCTTTTCTGACCATTAAACTAACATCAGTAACACAAACTAAGACACATTACTGAAGCAGTTTACACTAGCAACGCCTGTACACATACCTTCCATGGGTCATCACTGTGATCTCGTGGAAAGTCTTATGTGTCCCAGTGAAAATGAGAACAATGTTTTTGGAAGCGACGGCTTATAACGGCTTAGTAGCTGTTGAATAGGTGGATCACTGCCACACAAAACTGAGCCAAGCTCAGCCTGGCACAATGTTGCTTCGGGACACAGGAGCCTTAGCAATGACGGATTAGGTATAATTGTATTTCTCTAATTTGATATATTTCATTTCCTAAAATAACACGGCTGTATCTAACAGGCAAGTGCTGTTTTCTCAGTGGCAGCACAATAAGTTTAAATCTTTTCTCTAATGAGCCAACACCACAGGCAACCATAGATAACACTGTTCTTTTTAAGAAAATTAATAAAATAGAATCTTTATTAAAAACACTGAGTGCATAATTAAGCAGATAAATATAGAACATTTGGCCAAGCAATCAAAGCGTTCCTCTTTACACAAATACTACAAGTAACAGTGTGTCCACAAGTAACGCTGCAGGCTTATAGGTGACATGATAAAGGTCATGTCGGTTGCTTCTGGTAACATAAGCCCAAACTACACAAATGTGAACTCCGTACGTTGCTTGCAGAAGAATGCTGAGAATGTGGAGTTGGTTTACAAGAGATCTCGGCCTGTCTGCAGCGATGGCTCTGCTGGTGATTGAGTTCTGATGGGAAGTGACATCTATATTCCCAATAATCTATCCGCTTCCACTTCAAACTTCAAGACACAGAGTAACATTACTAAGACATCATAGTTTCAAGGCGCAGACATTCAGAAAGTCATTTTCATCTCAAACACTAGCTGACAGCGTTAATAAATAATACCTCATATTATATTTATATCATGACCCTGAGAATGTAAAACTTTTCCTTTGTTAAAACTGTATCATACAAAAGTTGCTTTTCAGTGGCATTTGGCAGGCTGGTGCTGCAATAAATAACTATGAATGAGCAAGGAAATGCAGTATAAGGTTGTTAGGAGGTATATTGGTGTTAGATTCAATATGTTACATAATTTGTCAGTTGCTGGTTTGCTAGTATCTTCTTTCAGGACCTCTCCACACATGTTGTTGTGCATCATTCTGCTTTTTCAATCATGCTATGTCTTTGTCAAAGGGTGCAAAACACACTCACCCTCCCTAAACCTGAGTAACCAGTGGTTCCCTCAGATACAAGTTTCCCCCTCTGAACTCTGTGCTCTGTCCTGCACACAGTCCGCCAAGCAAGGTCCCATTCAGGGGGTTGCAGATGCCTTCAATGGCATAATAATCTCCCTCTGGATCTTTATCTCCTTCCTCTGCTTCCTCCCCTTCAGGACCCTCATCCTCCCACAGAGTGCTCATGACGTGAGTGTACTCATTTCGATCCTCACATTCGGTCTCCCGATGGTAGAAGTAGCTGAAGTTGGACACAATGACGGGCACAGGCAGCGAGATGGTAAGAACGCCAGCAATGGCACACATGGAGCCCACCAGCTTCCCCCACACTGTGGCTGGGTACATGTCACCGTAGCCCACTGTGGTCATAGTGACAACTGCCCACCAGAAGCCATGAGGTATGCTGACAAAGTCCGTTCTGTTGTGATCAGCCTCAGCGAAGTAGACGGCACTGGAGAAGAGGATGACGCCGATGAACAGGAAGAAGATGAGCAGGCCCAGCTCACGCATGCTTGCCCTCAGCGTCTGACCCAGGATCTGGAGGCCTTTGGAGTGACGAGACAGCTTGAAGATCCTGAAGACCCTCACCAGCCTGATGACTCTGATGATGGCCAAGGATGTGGCGGGGGAGGCATCGTTGTCCTTGGCCAGCTCTGTTCCCAGAGTGACGAAATAAGGGAGGATGGCGCTGAAATCGATGATGTTCATGACGTCCTTGAAGAAGTGCATCTTGCTGGGGGAGCAAGTGAAGCGCATGAAGAGCTCAAAGGAGAACCAGCATATACACATGGTTTCTACCAAGAAGAAAGGGTCCTGGAAAACACTTGGTGGAGGAGGCATGTTCTCGGTTCCATTCTTTGCCTGCGAGTTGACGGCCTAGAGCGGAAAAGACAGGACAGACAAGAAAATTCGAAAACATATACTTGCAAAGTGTGATAGCAGAATCATCATCGGTAGAATCACAATACAAACTTAAACAGCTAGTCTGGCTTTGTCCAACATAGTAAAATCCACTTACAAGGACCCCTAAAGCTCACAAACTAACAGATTACATCTTGATCATTTAATCTGTAGGGGAAAAAACATGTTTAAAAATGCTGCAGACAAAATGAGGTCTCAAAACAACATAATAAGGAAATAATGTGCAGATAACCTGACATAGAACAGACAAACTACTTTTAAAACAAAACAATATCCAACATGGTAATTAGGAAACTTTCTAAGTGCTGGCAGATTTAGTTATTTTTGGAAACAGCTAGGCTAGTTATTTCTCCCTGTTTTCAGTCCGTATGCTAAGCTAAGCTAACTGGCGCCATCTAATTTACTGTACAAACATGAAGGGGTATCTATTTTTTCATCCAAGTCAGAGCAAGAAGGTGAATCCACACAGCTCCCAAAATGTCAAACTACTCCTTTAAATCCAAGGCTATTAATGTATACTTTACAACACGCTACCGGGATACTGTTTCCATGGTGTTCTCATATCAACTTCAGCATTTCGTCCACCATCTCATTGGTTCTCACTTTTGGCAACATCATAAAAGCGTTCGACATCTGCGGCCTTACATTTAGCTGTACTAATCTCTTTTTCAGTCCACCTGTCGTTCCATCCTCCGTGTCAGTTAGCCTCATATTCAAGCCCTGCACGGCGGCTATTTAAAACATCTTACACTTAACATCCAGTTATAAGCATGAAAACGGATGGCATGGATATAAAAGGATCAGTTTAGTATGCTGTAATGTTGTGTGTGTAATATATAAGGTTTCAGGGTAGTTTAAAAAACCTGGAGTATTCCTCATGACTTTCAGTAGCAGGTCAGTGACAGTGTTTATTACTAAAGGTGGACATCCATGTGTTGATCCGCTCCAAGGGCTCTCCTAAGACTAAATATAACCCTGTGAGATCTCCGAAGAGAAACATGAGTGTCTCTCTGCACTGCTCCTCATCCATCTCCACCTTCGTCGCTATTCCCATTTCCCTGGCTGCTGATACCATGTAACATTGCCAGTGCAGTTCAGTGCGTGTACCGCTGACTTGGACAGGAGTAAGTTACAGTAGTTTCCTGGCAGCTCCCTTGTGCAAAGGCAGCCTGGCCCAGCGCAGCAGTCCTGGAGGAATGTGTTAACATGACCCAGTGTATGCTACTCATCCTGTGAGACCTTTTAGTCTCCGGTTCTAAGCCACAGGAAGGCCTTGGCTCACCTTTGCCTATGTGTACGGTCACTTGTGACCTTTAATTAACACACCTAACTGTCTCCTCACTCTGTCTTCGCTTTCTATCATTTGTATTCCAGACCCCACCCGTTGGTCCCTGTACCCTTTAGCACTTCCTGAATCCGAGTGTATCAAATTTAACAGCCGACTAAAATAATCACGCCATGAGCTTCCTGCAGTTTCTCTCTCTCACTCTCTGGTCTGCTTCCAGACATATTGGCCAATAGTTCCCCGGTGTCGGTATTTTTCCTGCTAATACACTGGAGTAGGCTCCAAGTGTGTGTTTACCTAAACACCTGCTTCCCATGATATCAGGTTTCCTTCGACCCAAACAGCAACACATATTTCATCCAAGACCCGGCACACAAGTGATTTGTTAGAAGCTTATAGCAGTTTTATAGCAGTTTCTGTTTTGTAAAGTGATACTGAATTAATTGCTGTGAACATATCATGGTATGGTAGGGCTATCTCAAGAATCTAAATAATAATTAACTGGAGTTTTGGTTTTCCAAAAAGTTTCCCCTACTGAAGTTCTGGTGTTTGGAGAACTAAAATTGCCTTTTGGATGAGAATTGAAAAAACTTCAAGAACCAAAAAGAGAAGTCCAGTTGCTTTTTCCTCAAGCTTTGAGGATCTTGATGATCTGAATGATTGCGAATCTACACAGACACATGGTAGAGTTCTTTATCAAGAGAGCAAGCCTTTTTAAAGTGGCACCAACATTCTGTTTTCTCATTTCCATCCCCTTACCTTTAGCCCACCCAACCAAAACTCAACTTAACCTGCAGTTTTGCCTGTCAGTGACAGTCCTCGTTCTCCACTGTCCTAAATATTGCGGATACCTGCTCCCATAAGGCCACCTACTTAGCCTTCAGGAAACCCTTAGAACTCCTCAGCCCTCCATCTTTTTCACCTCTGCGATTCCCGAAAACACACTGCAAAACAGAACATTTCCAACCTCTTTGTCACTCCTGAGGTCAGGCAGCGTCTCCAGGCAGAAGATGAGGATGGACACCACGATCACCATCACGCTGATGATGGCAATGATACGAGCACCCGACGAGGACTCGGGGTGCTCAAACAGCATCCACAGTTTCCTCTGGATTTCGTTGGCCGGCAGAGGCCTCTCCTCCTCCTTCGGGAAACCTTCGTCCTCCTTGAAGCGGTTCATGATCTCCTCCCCGAGCTCGTAGAACATCAGTTCATCCATGAAGATGTCCAGGGGTATGTTTGCAGGCCTCCGAAGCCTACCGCCCGACTGGTAAAAATACAGAATAGCATCAAAGCAGGCCCGATTGCGGTCCAAGAAGAGCTCGTTTCGTAGCGGGTCAAAGTATCGTGACCGCCGCCTGGGGTCGCCCAACATGGAGTTGGGGAATTGGGCTAAAGTGCGGAGCTGAGTTTCATAACGCATCCCTGAGACATTGATGGCCAGTCTTTCACTCAGCGCCCATCCACTCCTCCACAGAGACCCCGAACGCCGTCTGTCTTTCTTCTTCTCTTTCTCATTCCCTTTGATCTCCTTCTCTCCTTTCTCCTCGCTGTTGAGCTGGTCCTTCAGATGTTTATCTTTCTCTCCGTCGCTCTCTCTCCCTCTGCCTTCGTTGGCCTCTTTGCTTTCCATCCCTGTTTGTATTCCCAGCCAGGGAACGCTGCAAACTGCTCTCCTGAGAATTTGTGGAGCACCTGGACTTAAAAGCAAACCCTGCCTGAAACCAGAGTGATAATTCCATCAGTGGATTTGGTTTTCAGTTGATAAGCATTACAGATGGTGTCAGAAACAAAAAGCTGAAGGGGATTCTGGTTAGCAAACATTTTCCCTGACAGATTTTTATCACATTTAAAAACACACATTCACCCAAAAAGCTAACGAAACGATCTTTACTTCTTGTTTCTTTTTAGTCGGAAAGGTGAACTGAGGGTAAAAACAACAAGCGATGTTAGTACCCAGTTAGTGAGGTGAAAGAATTTACTCACTAAGTGTGTAACAGCTGCTGACAGAGACTAACGGCAGGATGAAAAATCACATTGTTCGTCTCCTGCGGCTCGTCAGGTTGTCTGTCTGTCCCTCTGTCATCGTGTCTGTCTGTCATGTACACAAAGTCCCAGTTTGGCTGTCTACCTTCAGTCGCCACTCGCACAGATGTCCACTGCTGTCCAGCTTAACTCTCTGACCAGGTTGTACATAAACTTGGCTTCCAGTTGTTTGCTCGGGGAACATCCACGGTCCTGCCCTGTCCCTCGCTGCCTCACGTTGTCTGTCTTGAAATTTTTTGGGAATGCTGTCCTGTTGAAATTCGATCTCTGGTATACCCCTCCAACCCCTCCCTGTCCTTTCCCTCCATTTTAGCTATGGGGCAAGACAACCTTCAACCTCACTATCAAATGTCACCTCTGCCTGGCGCTGCGTGGTGCAAAAATTCAGGGATAATACATACCAAACATGTTGCCATTTCTTCCCTAAAGAAGCAGTGTTAGATTACAGTTTGATTTCTAAATGTTCTAAATATCATTAGGTTAATCATTTAATACTGATTTACATTACCATGGCGTGCTCATGCTGTAAGATTTGTGGCATGTTCATTGTTTATATTTTGCAAAAGCCCATTTTTGTACATTTTTCAATTTCCCAAATTATATTTTCTAGGTCAAAATGATCACAAATCTATGATCGCATGACATTCCAATAAAACAAGAAATCAAATGTACACAAAACTCAGACAGTAACATACAAAATATTTGGAGACTATTTACCTTTTATGTATCTACAGTGTGTTTTTTGGTATCGTCCAAAATTAGGCTCCAAACGTTCCACCTCATAAACAAGTATGCATAGTGGACATTTAGATGATGCTGTTTTACAATAAATTTAAACTTCAGTTAAAGCCAAATACATAACGATTACTAACTAAAGAGATTTAAGGAGTCTAAAATATATTTTTAAAAGTTTTTACCACTGCAAATTTCTTTGCTTTTAAAGGGAAAAGAAGTAAACAGACCCTGAAAATGCATTTTCAACTGATTACTAGCAGCAATTATGTGACTTTATTAGATCTTTTTATCAGCCAATATTTCATGAAATGTACCAATAATTTATTCAGTAAACCACATAAAAATACTCCTCTTAACATAAAGTGCACCCAGTGTTAATAATGTTAAATGTTTTTCCTGATGTGATTTGTAAGTATCTGCTGTGACAAAGGTTTTTTGGTGAATTTGCCCACCTTTTACTATCTGTAGAGCAACACAGAAAGATCTTTTTTTAACACCTTTCCCAAGTTTTATTGATTTTTCTCACATTTTACTCTAATTTGAAGGAAGATGATGTTTAAGTTGTCCTCCCCTCTCTGCCTCCCCATAACCATCACCTCCAATCTGTTGCCATCTGTTGCACAATAGGGAAAAAGACCCACCACATAAACCTCAAAGGCTAAAAGGAAGTCATTGAAAAATCCTTTAAGCCAAGAGTGTGCCGTCTTGTAAAGAGATTCAAGATGGTGCCGGTGAGCGCGGCAGCCGTCGTACCTGCTCCAACACCGTTACTGAGGAGGACTATTTGATGGAGATCACCCACCTGGAGGACTGGTGCAGAGACAACAGCCTCCTCCTGAACATCAGCAAGACTAAAGAGCTGACTGTGGACTACAGCAAGAAGCAGCAGAGGGCATAACACCCACTCAGGATCAGTGGGACAGAGGTGGAGCGAGTGGAGAGCTTTAAGTACCTGAGTGTTAACAATACGCAGGACCTGACGTGGTCCTGTCACATCAACACCCTGGTGAAGAAGGCTCGACAGCGTCTCTACCTCCTCAGACACCTCAGGGACTTTAAGCTCCCTCTCATGGTGCTCAGGAACTTCTACACCTGCACCAATGAGAGTGTCCTGGCTGGGAGTATCACCACCTGGATGGGCACCAGCACCCAGCAGGACCTCTTGGCCCTGAGGAGGGTGGTCTGCTCGGCTGAGCGCACCATCAGAACCACCCTCCCCAACCTGCAGGACATTTGCACCAAATGATGCAGGTTAAAGGCCACTGTGAGTGAGCCCACCCACCCCAGCCACAGACTGTTCTCTCTGCTGCTGTCAGGGCGGCGTTACTGCTGCCTGAAGGCAAACACAGAGAGGATGAGGAGGAGCTGCTTCCCTCTGGCTGTCCACCTGCTGAACCTGAAACAATTGATTCAATAACAATCCAATCGGTCACTTGGCACTTTTCACCTATACATGTAAATAGTATGATTAATGTCTTTATTTGTTTTATTCCCTTTTTGCACTGTTTGAAAATGTATATATATATATATATTTTTTTTTTTTCTTGTGTGTTTCATTCCTTTTTCTTTTTATCTTATTGTTGTTTCGGTGTGGAACAGGTACACATTGCATTTCACTGTGCGCTATACCATGTATAACTGTGTTTGTGACCAATAAAAGACCTCGAATCCTTGAATATACACTTTAAATCGACAATATAAAAAGAATATCCCTCACTTTATGGATATGGACTTCTGTGGTTTGTCATTACCTTGGAGAGATAAACTAGCAGAAATATTAGGATTCAAACCGTCATATTTAACAAGACTGCTGTCGTGTGTGATTGACTCTGTGACCTAAAGAAGAAAAAAAGGAACTTTAGAAAAACATTTAGCAAAAAGACCAAAATGTGCCCTTGAACAACAGAATTAAGATGGCCTTTTTTTTGTTTGGTTGTTTTTTTTTTTGCTTTGTTTCTATCCGTATTTTTAAAATAATAATTCAGTAAAATCACGAGCGTTATGTCACACTGCATAACACTTTGTTGAAATAATAATAAATCCAGCAAAGCAGACGTTGCTGTGTGTTGCCACCAGAGGGAGGTGATGTTTTGGCGCAAAGCAGGAAAAAAAACTAAAAGAGGCCTCTGCCGACATTTCCTCAACGCTGCCTTCAGCCACAGAAAAAAGCCACCGCTCACTGGGCTGATACACCACATGGCCATCTGATCTCATGTCATGAGCATGTTTACCGAGAATCTGATGAGCCTCTGTTTGAATATTCTTATAAAGGAAAAGGCTTCATGTAGAAAAACATAATCCAGTGTTACATGAATATCAAAATGAATGCAGTAAGGAATTCAACTATTTTTTGCTTGTTTTGGTTGTAAAATATGAAGTAATCAGCTATAAAATTCTGCCTGATTAAAGTTTACTCTTAGCTTTTGTGCATCATAATTTTGGATGAGGGAATAATGTGGCAGAGAAGCTTCTGGTCGTGTGAAGCAGCTTTAAACTCTTCGGCTTTCATGCAGCTATGCAGAGCAATCATTACATCTTGTGACTCCCATGAGATGGCTGCACACACTGCTGCCATTTCTGCACCATTTCCACACGACCGCAATTCCTCCAGCACAGTTTGAAACAGCGGGCAACCGTGAGTAGGAAATAGATGACTTGTCAGACCACGTTGCTGCTTCTTAGCATGAGGTCCCAGCACAAGCTTCCGTGCCTTCGTTATCGATGTAAACATTTCACTGAGAGACTATGTGGGGATTTTGTTCCACTTTTGCTGTTAGTAGCTTTAACTGGCTCAATCGGATTAATTTATTAATTAGTTTATTCACTAATTCAGATTTTCTTATATCTTTGCTTGCATTGATTTGAACTAATGAGTAAGATTGCCATATTCCAGCAGCAAACAATACTGCCAAATAACAAACATCAATAAATAACCATCCCATAAAATACACACATTTTTCATCATGAAAATTTCTTTTTTTAAGCCTTAATATTTGATGAAATAATGTGATGTATTGTTGCTGTTTTTTTACTTTCAAGTAAGCATAATTACATATATAATAAATACATCACATCAGATCGCCTATGATATTTATGACTAGACATAAACTGTATGTTGACAGGTTGCTAATGTTGTCAGGTGCTACACCCTGATTAAAACACATTCATTCAACGTTATTGTTGTGAAAATGTCTATCATTTTACAACATATCTTCCATTCCCACCAGACATTAAAACAGCTTTTATCCCACTGCCATAACTCTACTGAGCCATTCTCAGCCATAACACTGCAGACTATATGTATGGTTATTTGCACTGCTGTTTTGCACCACTGTATATGCATATATATATTCTGCTCAGATGTGTACATTCTTGTAAACATTTATCTTATTTTTTTATTATTATTTGTTTTATTTTTTTCTGTCTGTAGTTATTTTACTTTCTTTTTTTATTTTTTATTTTCCTATTTCTATTATTCTCCTTGCTCATTCCTAGGGCGACACCAACATTCACCAAATTCCTTGTATGTTCTGTACGTAATTGGCCATTAAAGCTGATTCTCATTTAGAAGACAAATTAATGTAAAATGTAAAAACGGCTTTATTCTGATAGTTTCCACTAATTGTGTCAGATATTAGAAACAGATTTACAGCATTAAATTGGAATTCAAAAGTTTCATTTATTAAATAAAAAGGAAATATTTCTAATAATAAAAAGTCATTTTTAAGAGTATTCAAAGTTACATGTTTTTAATGTTGTTTTACATTAGACATGCACATTTACAGCCTATTTTTGTGATTTTAGTCATATTTTTGTGTATTTCAAAGTGTGTAAAATTATTATTGATATTATTTTACAGTAAAGACTTTTCAACCTGACACACATTCGAGTTAATAATTTAGCCATACAATTTTAAAAAAGGAAGTTTTCTTTAATTTTGTCATCCCTGTGCAACTTTTAATCTGTGATATTGGGTCCAAGAACATAAATACTCTGTGTCACTTACAAAACATTACAATTCCTGGTGACATGTTGGTGTCGGATGTCTCGGATATTAGTCGTTACAGTTATGTGATATCGAGGAGGGAAAGCAGCACTTATCAGTCTCAAATATCATGACACAGTAACTTATAGATTACCAGCATGTGACAAGTTATTTATTGTAGCTACTGGATTAAAAAGGAAGTTCTTGTGTAACGCTGGCATGGAAATACACCGGGTCCTTTTCAGTCCCAACTTTTATGTGTCATCCTTCAGATTCTTGGATTTTCATTGTGTCCTCGCTTCAAGTCAGATTATGTCAGTCAGCGCTGCGCTGTGGGATCCTGCAGCTGACGGGCCGATGAACGGAGCTAACGGTGACAGTCGGTACAGAATGTCATATTCAGTCAGTCTGCGCAGGAGCACATCAGAAATTAGACACCTGAAACAAACTGACACACGGTTGATGTTACTTTTTCATTTATTTTTAAGTTGATTTGAATGATTTTAAGCAATTTTTAATGTCTCTGAAAAAGCATCTCATGACTGTTAATCAGTTATTCATTCAAGCTGCTATGGAGATTAGTTTCACATTAGATCGCATTGACATTCATACATTTTTAAGTCTCAATAGTAGAAATATGTTCAATTATGACACTTTATTGATATGTTTCTATTTTTTCTTCAAAATATAAAAAGATAGATCATGAACATTCCATTGAAATATACTTTATACAGTTCTTGATGAGTTTGTTCTTTGTGTTCCAACATTTCAAAAATAAAATCCGGCATAAGTCACAACCAGATACTCCAGTGACCACCTCCTCTCCCCATTCACTCTCCTACTAAGACCGCAGTACAATGGACTAGTACTTAAGTCTGTTTTATACGATTTGATAGCATGTAAAATGAACGTAGGGCTTTTTATCTTTGGGATGCTTACGTGGATGCATGATGTCATTAAGTAATATTACATGTATGTATATAGGTGTGACTTTTATGTGTCGCTTATCATGTTATTTCTGATTAAAATAATGTATTAGTATATTAGTAAAAATCTATTCAGCATGATAACATTTCCTCTAAAACAACTCTGGTCTCATTAATTTGTAAAATAAAGTATTATTTTTTCTTTTAGATTAGTGTGATTGCTCGGTCACTCTATGGAAAGCCATAAAGCCACTACACATGTGGTTGCAATCATCTGAACTGATGACAGAACATCTGTGTCTCAGGGAGAATACAGTTAAGTGTCCATCAGTGGCATTCGTGGTGCGGATTGCATACAGTGTCCTCAATTTTTTTTTTTTTCTTTTTGTTTTAAAAGAAAATAATAAAACATATTGAACAGAAACAGGCATATAAAGAAAATAAACAGGATGCCATTGAGGATGTGTCATCCAAGGACCACATGACACCGTCCAAACACCTGCAGAGGACAACAGCGTCCCTGCACATAGTACTCGTTAGTGGCACCTACTTATCATGTAAAGCATTTTTTTGTTCTTTTGGTTGTGTGAGTGTTAGTACATGAAATCGTTTGTAACATTTTATAACAGATTGCAGACTCGAGAAAATAAAACAGACTTAGCACTCTCGACATTGTAACTCATTCTGTTCAACGTGTCTAAATCAAATGGCAGTATTATGCATTGGAAAAAAAGGAAAGACATCTTTTTTTTCTCTTTTTTTTTTTCAGCCTGGCATTGGCAGAGCAGTCACAATGTAGAGAATGAAGCGAACGCAACAGTGAAAAGTAAAAGAAAGAAAGAAAAAAGAAAAGACACTACTTGGCCATAAAAACACAAGACAGCCGGGTGAAGCACAAAGTTTTTGCAAGTGTGCACACCATCGCTAGAACCTCTGAAATATTCATAAACATCTTTGACCATCAGAAGCCGCGGTAGCTTAATGCCTTTCCAAAATGGGAACTGAAATTGTTGGGTTTTCTAAAAAAGATACGGGACTAAAAAACAAAATCCCATGGACCGTTTTTGCGAATAGACAAAAGTTCTAGACCCTGTAAAACCAGCGTAGACTCAACAGAATCGGTCTACGTCACGCCTGCCGAGCCTCCAACTGCAATGTACGAGGAATGGACGGAGGACCATTCAGCTGCCTGAGCTGAGCCCCGGACCAGCGGGGCCTGAAACTCACTTGGAACACCGAGGCCAAGGATCGGAGAGCGCTCCATTCTTTTCGCTTTTTATTACTACGTTATTATCTCCCTCCCCTTGGTGGACACTGGTACTTCCTCATCCTCTCTGTCTCCCTGTTCTGACATCATTGTGGAAGCTCTGGGTCTCTTTGATTGGTGCTCACGTGACTTGTGTCGTGTGCTGTGAATGAGCTGCCAACTAGCCGGCTGGATGAGGGTAAACGACAGATGCAAAGACCTGACCATCTTCAAAAAAACAAACAAAAAAAAGCCTAAACAAACGAAGACGAGCCACCTCTACGCACTCGTGCTGACACTGCGAGTGCGAGTAGCTTTCGGTTGCCTCTCGGAGGAAGACGTTTCTGCTCTACGACACGGCACAGTGTTTAAAGTTATCAGGACTGGATTCATGACGAACAATGACAGGAGGCTAAAGGGGATATGTCAAGACTCTGTTCCCCCCCATCGAGAGATTATCAAGTCATAATGCATGCGTTTTTTACACGTCACTGTGAGGTGTTCACATTATCGTATCGTCTATATACTAGAATTTATTATGTTAGAAAGAAAATAGCAAAAAACACCTACATCCACGCACACCATCGACACACCTGAGTCCTTAAAACCACATACAGACTTTGGAATGGCAGTTGGTTCCATGCAAACCTGAAATCTCTCTTGACTGTTTATAATACCTCTCCTAGTTTTATTGGACACTTAGTAGTGGAACAGAACTGCCTTCAAAATCCTGCCATGGGATCATCCAAGGCCTTTTAATGAATCTCTTTTAAAAACACTGAGGCTTTGAAGACGCTCGAAGGGACTCGAGGTTCTCCGTTTGACCTGCTACAATCATGTGACAACTCTTGTATTATTGCCAAAGAAAAAAAGCGAAACTATGAGTGCTAATCAAGCTGTCAAGTTGTGGTATGGAGAGCTGTTGGATTCGAACGGCTGCTGCTGCTGCTGCTGCTGCTGCTGCTACGGAAGTTGTGCAAATGATTTCAAGGAGGAAAACGTGGACTTAACAACAAACATCCTTTGCGCAGATGCTATAGGCAAAGTCTTGAACGATCGCTGTGGATTCAAGAGTTATAAAACATACTGCTTATGAAATTAAAAACGACCATGGCGGAGGTCAAAAACACTGGAAATGAGGGATGGAAGGGCAGTAGTAGCAGAGAGATTTCATCGAACGAAACATAGTTCAGGGTGTACTTTGCAAACATACATGTTTCAATATTCACATTTTTTTTAACTTTTCAAAACAAAATATAGCTCTTCTCTTTCATTATAATCTTTTTTAAAACATTAATTGCATATAACATTTTTTTAATTCATTTTATATATACTTTTTTGTATCTCTAGCACCCTTGTCTTCAACTAAGGGCTTGCAGAAAAGACAGTCATGCAAAGTAGTCATGCTGGTAAACAAAGTTACAAAAATGCATTATCTTTTTTTTTTTTTTCTTCATTTGTTTATCTCAGCGTCCATCCTTTGTCATCCCCGTGTCTTTATAGGCGAGAGTCTCTCATTGCTCATTGTCTTTTGGAAAAAAAAAGAAAAACAAAAGAAAAATTCCCAGTGCTCTCGGGGCGAGCAGCTTCGCCACATCCCGTCGTGACGGAATATTCCATCCTTTTCTCGGACTTTGACTCCATTTCATGATGCCAAATATTCTTTTTACGCTTGCATCTTTTTTTTTTTTTTTTCTTTTCAAAAGTCCTTTCAGTCATACTCGACCTTTTTTTTCCTGCTCAGAAACTTCCTCCTCCAAAGTCATGGAGAATGTTGTAGATTTGTTTATCAAAATATAGATTTGTTCTCTTTGTACACTTCCACGTTTTACTCCTACTCTTGGTCCTTTTCTTCTCGTTTACACCCCCTGTGGGCTCCCCGTGACGGGCCATCTTTGTCTTGACGTCGACTTGCCGGTGAAGCAGTCGTTGGCAGCAAGCGGGACAAGAGAGAGATGGGGGCAGTATGCATCTGGGGAGTCTTGTGCCTTACTGGCAGTGTCGGCCTTTTGTGTTACAGGGAAGGATAATACTTGTGTGATTGGTCCCTTTTGAAATAAGACAATTTCCAGGTAATGGGCAGTGAACTAACAACAGTCCTTGTAGTTGGGGTGGGGTTGTTTTTTTTTTTTTTTTAATGATTATTTAGGCAGGTCGATATCCCTCGAGCGACGAGGTTCTAGGGCTTGTTTTGCCTCCTTGAGTCAGTCTTTTTGCTCCTCATGACTGAGCGCTGTGCCAGTCAGACATGGGGAAAAAAATATTTAAATGTGCATATAGGGATGGGATGTTAGTGGCAGTTAAAAAGTTCTTTTCGAGGAATGACTTAAAGACAATGGGCAGTACAAGGGCGAGTACAAACCTCGCCCTCAGTGGAATATTTCTCCTAATCTACAATACACTACAGAAGGTCATTCAGCAAGTGCATGCTACAGGACCTTTGGTATCCCACACGGAAATTTTTCGGGTCAAGCCCGCAGCAGTACATGAGAGATAAAGAGACGTCTTCTTTTTTCTTTTTTTTTTTGTCTCCACCGACCATTTCGGGTGACGCCGAACGCGACTTGTTTGAGCTGATGCTACATTGCTGTGCTTCGTTTGTTCAGAGTTAGTGCTGTTTTTGATTATCTTGTGAGGAGGGCAGTGTTTCAGTCTGATAGAAGTGAATGGAAGACATAGGTTCAGTGGCAAACGTACTATACAAGTGCTAAAATTGAACGAGGAAATATAGCATGGGTGTTGTAACACTGTGCAATTGTGATCGATCTCATATGTTTGTGCATCTCTTTTTTTCTTTCTTTTTCTTTTTTTTTTTTTGTTTGGAATGTCAAGTATTTCTATAATGAGTTAAGACCAATCCTTTGTCTCTCATGTACTCGCTATCTACTGGAAAGGAACCCAAGAGGAAAAAATGACATCTAGAAGAATCCCTTGAATGCATAAGTTCCTCTCTCTTTGAGCTGTTGATGGATTGAAGTCAAGTTATTTCCCAGCCAACAAATGCTACAATATGTTAGCAGAGATGCTACATTGTTCATTCAGTCCAGTTGAAGACAAGAAGTTTTTTTTTTGTTGTTTTTTTTAAATGTTTGTTTTGTTTCAGAAACTCTGTGAAGTTGCTCAGTTGCTCAGCACTGCAGACGGCGCTGAAGTTGGTCATGGTACAAGATGGCGAGTATAGCGTTGTCAGAGAGATGTCATCTGGAATGTGTAAATCAGGAGTCCTTTTCTCTCCCAAAAAAAGCGTGTCAGTGCAATGCTCAGTCAGGAAGAAAAAGAAAAAAGAAAAAGGAAAAAAAAAAAGAAAAAGGTCAGTCAGACAGTTGTCAAAAAGTGTGGTCGGAGTTCCGAGAGGCTGCTTTGGTAACAACGTGAGGAGCAGACCATGTGATTTTTTTTTTTTTTTAATTCATGATTAACCTCTGGTCTCTCTTGTCACCCCAAAGATCTCCTGTAAACTGTCCATCCGTGTCACACCTGTCCGCTTACGTGGCTCCCGCCGCAAATTTGTGTTTACCGGTTACTGACTCCTCATTAGAGAGAAGGCGAATGCTAGAAACTTAACACTGTGAAGACAAGAACAGAAAGCCATTAAGTTCACAGGGAATAAACAGAATTTGTAAAGAAAAAAATCAGTGACAATGAAACTTAAGATTACGAGTAAGAACTTGCATCTAGATCGGTTGGCAGACATAAACCAATGTTGGCTGTAAACTGATTGGAGTTAAATAGATTTGCACAGTTTCATAGTGTTTCTAACATTGTGTACATTTTGGAAAAGTAATCAGGGATCACCATTACCTGTAAACTGCAGGTTAACTGTGTCAGAATGAAGTGCACATGTTTAAACAACTACTACTCATGTAGATATGCACACACACACACACAAGGCTGGCACATTCTTGAACAGCAAAAATCAGGAAATGGCGACAGTAGAACTTGTAGCTGACATTATTAGAGAAACAAACAACAGACTGAATGACACAAGCTGCCAGCCAACTGAGCAGCGCCACACTCTCCACACTGCCAACTCTCAACCAGTACAGCAGAAATATACAAAACATTTCAAAGCGGATTGCGGCGTTAGTTAGTTTCGTGTGTGTGTGTGTTCGTGTGTGTGTGCAGACATTTTCATTTGAATGATATACACGCCTCATGAGAAAAACACACTTTGGACAGATGGACACATACAAACATACTCAGTGTTATTCATGGAAGCTTCCACATGTTAAAAAACAGATTATTATGCTGGTAAAGATTATACAATGAGACAGTTTCAGGAGGTCACATGATGCCATCACAGGTTCAAGAAAATGTTTCCATACAGTTTTTTAAAACTTACATTTACACCAAACACTTCTTGTATCACATGTGATGGCATCATGCATTTATTTGCTGGGAAATGAGACCCTTCACCAGCAAACATCAGCAAACAATACAAGCATCATCCATCGTTGTAGCTGTATCAGTTTGTCCTGCGTAGTCTTCAGTTCACTCCTTTCTTCTGTATGTCCACTTGCTGTTTCCTCCTGAGAAAAGCTGGTAGCAAGATACAGTCGTACACCATTAATGTGTTCAATTAACTCTTCTTCTGTGCAAAATTTCCCGTTCAGTCAACAGGTTGTTGCAACAGAAAGCTATGAGTAGCACAAAAATGTATTACAGTAAAAAAAAAAGTGCTGTTCCTGCAAATGATGCAAGACAGGAATGCCAGTAAAAAGAAAAAAAACAAACAAAAAAAACTGCCAGGCATTATAGATTTAGTTCACCTCTCAGTGCACTCTCAATGCAGCCGCTGATTTGTCACATGACAGCTGCACATTAGAGCTCTTCGTCTTCGTTCATTTAATAATGAGGATAAGTGCATTTAGCTCTGACACTGTCCCATATTAAAGGACAAGTGGAACCCGTGTCAGATTTTAGAGAAATCAAAGTGAAATTGGTAATTATTGAATATTCTCTGTGATAAATACCAACAGGCTGATCAATTTTCTAACTGGTGCTATGTTACAATACTACAATACCAGCAGCGTAAAACCTTCAGGAACACCACCTGAATGCATTTGTATTCCCCCTGGCAACATGAAGCGTGCAGCTGGCCTGCTGTAACTGGACAGCTCTGTTCAGCAGCGCTGCAGATCTAAAATATTCACTTAAAGAATATCATCAGGAAAAGAACTGGTTATTACAGCTGATTTAAATCCCAAACTCTGAACAGAACCTCCTCTGAAACAGGTTAGCGGTGCAGCATCAGTTGCCATGGTGATCTAGCAGGTTAAAAGAGAGCTGCCTTCATCACACTAAAAACTCTGGATTTAGGCATAAACAGCCAGTTGCAGGAATACTTTAGTGATAAAGTAAACTTGTTTGATCAATGCATTTTTACAACAGAAGCACCGACAGCTGCTTTCTTTGATGCTCCCAACATTATATTAGTTTGGTAAATTACATGATAATTATACAGCATCCATTGAAGTGAACCATCGTCTTAGTGACAGACAATGGTGTCAGTCTTCTCACCGCACTATTCAGAGCTGATCAGACACTATTGTCTCTCCTTTATCTCAGAAATACAATACAAGACCGTACTTCCAGCAGCAGTCTGCATTTTTTTTCTCTCAAAGCTGCACATGTATTATACATGCCTCTTCAGGACACGAGAGCAGCAACCTCTGAAATATTTACATTAACTGTACATTTATACTCAATAAGAGACTCCATGTAGGACCGGTTCTGGTCCAAGAGAACAACACAGGAGCAACAACACTGAGGAATTTCTTAAATGTTGTCACTACTGCTAAATCAGTAATAATATGCATAAAAAAAACTGTGGAAATGGTGCAAGAAACAAACAGATCTAATGCATATAGAACCAGAGTTCTACCTCTAAGTGGCACGGTACATTTTACACTTTTCCAATCAGATGGAATCAGCTGTTCTGAACCTTCCTGCACCACACTCACAAATCATACATAGGTATGTTAATTTCATATGACTTTAATGTATTCACATGTGTAGATACAGATCTGTACATATTCAACAATAACCACTGACCTATTAAGCATTGCTTCAAAGGTGTAGCTAGTTAAATCTAGCTAGTTTGCATCCTAGATTGACATCAGAGCCTAGAGGGGCCTCATAGAGGCACTTACAACAAATGCCTGTTTTGTTCATTAAACAATGTTTGCTTCAGAGTGTGCTAGGTAATTTGCATTGGCCACAACAATGTGATATGACTCAACAAGTAACTCACAGTTATGACATTCCTCGGATTAATTTGTAACGATACAAAGCAAGTATGAGCAGATACAGTACTTCTGTCAATTTAAAGTGGCGTGTGAGATCGTGTTACTGCTCTCACCCACTGTCAGTCAGCATTAAAGGAAAACATTCAAGGATGGCTGACATTCACCACACGACAACATGTACATTCCAAATAAAATGGCACACAAGTAAAAACCATCTGCAAACTGTAACATCCACATTGTGGAGTCATTTTATGATTATACAGCTTGTATGTGCGCTTCATGGGGGGTTTTGAACACTGAGAGAAGTGATGCCAGCAAAAAGTTGCAGAGCAAAGATTAGGCTTAAGATTAGCTGTGATTTAACCCAGGCCGATCAGCGTCCCGCTGCTCCTTATGTGTCTCTCTACAGGTTAAATCGATTTAAAATATCCCAGAGTTTCCCTACCTTTAACTGTACAAGTTCAGGTTGACATTATACATCAAGGAGCTATCAAAAATGCTCGTATTCACTAGAGAAACAAATCTCCGCATGCTGTTTCAGATATTTTCAGACAACACTAAGATACAGTCATTGTTTTTTTTTTTGTTTTTTGACATCATAATGGTGAAATGTAGCAACATTGAGTATGAGCACAACTACTTTGGTCTGAAAAATATGTGCGATGGGCTTCAAAAAACCTGCGTCAGACGAAGCCAGGCAAGCATTAGTGCTTACAGTGACTGTATGGAGGGATCTAAACTAGAATGAGACGCTATGACTCCGACTGATTCAAGTCAGTGTGCAAACTACAGAAGAGCCGGGAGGAGCTTGGTTCCTCTTAACAAGACATGAGCTCGCCTGAAAACATCATTTGTGAAATTCTGGGAGGGTCTAAAATATTGACAGAATGCTATTTTTTGTCGATCTTTTCTGTCACTATTCTGTCTGGTTTTCTGTCACTATTATGGGTGATGTGTAAAATTAGGCTGTTATGATTCACGCATGAAGGCGACTCATCACTAATTCACTTCATAAAGAGCAGAATGTAGAAGCTTGGCAGTGTAATATTATCAATTTTATTACTTTAACTCCAAAATCTGAAAACTTTCCTGATTCCAATCGACTTAAAAAAAACAAAACAGAACAACCCAAACTCTTCATGGTAGGCAGGCAGCAGCGGCTCCGCTTCATTTGATTTCTATACTTTAAATAATAGCAATCATGACAAATAAAACATTCATAAAGCCATGATTAATGTTGTTTGATGTCATTTCTTCTGATTTTTTTAAAAAAAAACAAGCTTCCCAAAAGCCATGTTGTAGTTAACCCACTGAATCAAGTGGTGTCATAGCATTCATCTAAATACTGCATATCTAAGTTAAGGGGGTTGGAAGCCCGTTGATTTTTAGACAAAATGGCAGATCAGGGCTGAAGATTATGACAGAACATCAGGACCTGACTCCAAACAAGTATGGAAATATTCTCCCTTTACACCTGCAAAAAAAAACTTAGCACTTAGTTTTTCCTCTTGATTTCAGTCTTACTACATTATTTTGTTCTTTAAAGATCCTAAAGACAGTTCAATACAACGTTGTTTTGGGGTATTTTGTTCAAGAAATGTCATTGTAGACAATCAATGGTACAGAAAAGTCATTCCTCACAATAAAACACACATTACCAGTACAAGTGAAGAAAATATAAAACCATTACAAAACTGAAACAATTTAAAAAAAAATTGGCAGTCACAACATCAAAAAAGTCTAACAGGGCTACACCGGCTGGAAATAAAACCAGACAAATGGCTCATGTCATCAGAACAGCTTTGTACACTTAGAACAGCGAAATCAAAGACGATAAGTCGACCGCCTGCTAAGTCTGTGCATTTTAAAGATTAAAAATATATCTGCATATTTACATATGTATGTGCACAGCATGTTTTCCAGCAGTAAAGTAATATTGCATGTTTATTGCATATGTGAATGTGATATTATTTTTTAAAATCTTTTTTGCTCAACTTTGAACATAAGATCTATTTACATACAAGCATGGCGATCTGAAGAGGGTGACCTCAATTTCAAAAATAAAAGCCCTAACTTGCCTAAAAGAGATTTTAAATTTTAAACTATTGAGGGAAATATCACATTATAACCACTGTCATTTTTTTTCTTTCAAAGATGAACCAACGGATTCATTTGATGGTTTTAATTTGTATTTTTAGATAAACATTTAAAACAAAATAAATGTGGGAAAAAAATAGAATTAGTAAAAAAATAAAGAGTGAAGTGAAACAGATATTTAGAAAAGCTTAAGAGGCGTGTTTAATGAGGTGATCTTATGGCTTTAGTCTATTTTTGTTATATAATCCATATCTTATGACTATAAGCAAGCTTTAAAGGTTAGTAAATATTTTTTTAAATTGATTGTTAGTAAAGTGCTTGTATTTGTATTAATTCATTTATTATCATATTGCAGTTGTCTGCATCTGACTGTGTACGTTTGTTGTACTTCAGTCCTTCGAGTTCGTTTTTGAGTTGCTTTCTAAAAACATTGCACATTTCTTTAAAAATTGTACAAGTACGTATTTCATTTACATGTTTGCGCTCATTAGGATCTCCTCAAAAGGTCCACTCAGTCATTTACTGTCATTAGATAGAAAATATAAACTGAAGATGAGAAAACTAAATCTGACAAAAACTATTTCTCAAATGAAACACAGTTAGCATGTAGCTAACGAGGCTGTTATAGTTTTGAGGTCTGAAACTGCCGGAATAAAGATTATCAATCAATAATACTTTAATCAGTAATGTGAAATTAAGTGTCACAAGAGACTTTGTCGTGGTGCCAAATTACGAGCTAAACTCCCACAATGCTCTCTGTTTACCAACACTGAACTGTCCGTAGTCCAAGTGAGGCCTCCTCTGGTTGCTGCAGTGTTAAACAGTACGAGGCTCCACCTGGTGGAACAACCAGGTACTACAGCCGAACTACATTTCATTCTCTGACGTACATGTTCACTGTCTTTCATTAACATCCCTAATAACGACATTTGAGATGCCTGCAGCTGTTATTTTGACTAATCAAAACTGAATTCCTGATATCTCAGACTGTCGTTTTGACTCGTCTGAATCCCGTTATAGATATTGTGAAAACTTTTGACGAGTCACAGTGTAACGACAGCGAGTCAACATGAGGTTTTTGATATTTGTCATGTCAATCTCAACTATTTAATATTAAAACGTTTTGCTGTACAGATGACATGGGAGTCGCAAAGGCCTTCGAGCAGTTACTCCCCGGTTCAATTCTGAAATTTACTGCATGTCATTCCCCTTGTCTCTTCCTATACGTCAGTGCTCAACTGGGCAAAAGAAACACTCAAAAGGCAAATATGCCAACAAAAAATAAAAAACATACCTTACTGCCACTGCCAGATACCATTTAGCCATTTGTTGTAACAATCAGCACTGAGGGATGCACGCAAACATATAAGAGCAATCCTGGATGTTGTCCAAAAATATCATTATCTTGCGGTTTACTAGCTTACTGGAAACGGTTAATAACCTAATGCAAGCTTGGCTATCTCTGCTGATCACACGACCTTCATCTTGCCCCCTGTAATGCCCAGATGCAATCTTGTGAAACTGAACCTTTGTCCTCACAGCAGAGTTATCATGGTGGGAACTCTGCACAAGTGGCAAGAAAATATTTAATAACATTCCTACATTGCTTTTCGAGGCATCAAATGAAACAGTTTTGTTTTAGAATATAGATTGATATCATTACAGATAAGATGGTAACGATGATGACTATAATAATAATAATAATGTGCTAGCAACAGATGTAATAATGACTGAATAGACCTTTAACTGCACACTGTAAGGCAACAGTTGCATACATGGGATCCTAACAGCAATGCAACGAAAGTGATGCATGTTAGCTTTTATGGTACAATGGTTGTATTATTTTATTTTTCGTTCAGCTTTTTCTTTGTTTGCTTTTGTAAATCACTTAGCTTGTCTGTGTGAACCGTCAACAGAAAGTGTCCAATGATGTCACACAACAGGATACAAAACAAAGTCTTAATACCAAGACTCACAGAGACCGAGTCTGTTTGTTTTTTAAAAAGAGATTTACCAAAACGATATCTACGCTGTACATACATTAATATTCACCAAAAGACAGAAAGTAGAAACCTGTTTAACATCAATCTAGTCTATGAATGGATTTTTTTTTAAAATCTTTGGCTAAATGAACTGAAGGATCTCGTTTGATGGTTGTTTCTCTGTGAGCTTGATTGATCCAGAACACACAAAACTTGATGTCCATCTAAACATTTAAAGTTTTAAAATTCAACTGTGCACATGTTTTTATCATTTATTGTTTTTTTTTTTATACCCGTGATACTATTTTATTTTTATGTATTTTTTTAACATTTCTTCTAATAACTTAAAGTGTATCTTTAAAGCTAAATTCTGTATTTAACTCCATCAGCTAAACCCGACGCATGCATCTTAAACCGGTGAATACACAAGACGAGAGGTCATTCTTTCTACATTCAAGTTCATTTTTATGTTATTGCTATTGTATTTGCACGGTGTACAATGCAAACGGAGGCTTCAATGTGATCGGTCCATCCCTAATCCACTGCGTCCCTTATTATCCAGTCATGCACATTTCCTTTCTGCTACAAAATTGAGGGGATGGGGGAGCGGCAGCGGCGCAGTGGTCCTGGGGCCTCATAGGTCTCAAAGGGTGGGCTAGTGATTGGAGCGAGCCGCAGTGATGACCCAGCCATTCCCGATATGTTATTTAGACTGCGAGATTTCTCGTAGCCCGTTGCTTTAAAAAAGTAATTTTAACCATTGATTGATTGATTGGATTATATTATGTGATTGTTTCAAAAAAGCAAATAACATAAATTAAAATCATAGTTTAAAATTTTCCATATTCAGGTGGTTTGTTGTGGAGGTTTTAAAATTCAAACATGAGGTTTAAGATGTCGTAAGCAGAAACCAAAATGAAAAGAAGCACAAAAGTGAAGAGAACAAATTGAGGATAAGAAATAGAAAAATGTTATCAAATCATAAATACATTCAAAAGACAGACGAGGACAGACAGAGACAAGACAGACAAGACAGGACAAAACAAGAAAATGCGAGTTATGATATGTCTTTTTTTTTTCCTTCCAAAAACAGAAAAGCAAATTTAATTTTCTTTAAATATTAGGAAATTTAACACCAGTAGCAGGCCCGTTGCGTAAATCACCCAACATTTTAGCATGTGAAGAGTATGACGTCCAATGTTCAGGTGTTTTAGACAACTGTGTGGCCAAAACTACACAGTTTAACACACAGCAGCATGTAGTCAGATACAGTGTAGGAGTTGACCACGTGAAGTTTTGAATCAAAAACTTAGCTATGCAATAAATTTATGTGTTACTTAGGTTATGCCTTATTAACAGTGTTTTCTTTTGATTCCTGTAAACTTCAAATGGCCAACACAATATTGTCCTCTCTGTAACATTTAAAAAAAAAATAAAAAAAATACATCCTGACCCCAAAAAATCGCATCCTGGAGTGAAATCATCGTGTTTACAGTGGGAAATGACACACGGTGAGTGGTTTGATGACTAAATCCAGCTGCGCAAGTGACTCTGAGGTACAATATCTGATACTTGCACTGCTAAAGTTTGCAATAACCAATTTGTCTAAGCACATTGGCCTTTGTGTCCTTTCCCGCTGTATGTTCGGTGTGTAACACAGCATGCAGATGTTGAGCTCTCCCTGCAGGAAGCAGCCACAGAGAAGGTAGTGCTGTGCTGACGGAGTGTTGTTGCATCAGGTGAAGTGAAAGACGTCATTGGTAGGCAGCAGTTGTCTGCTCTAACAATGGCTAACTGACATATAATGGCTGGAGTTCTACATTTTTAATCGGAATGTGTTCACGAGCTGAATTTCCCTCTAATGTAATGCAGTGACGCTCACAGATTTTGTGGCAAAAATTAGCGATTTCAGTCAAACTCCAACCATCACATGGCCACAGTGAGACAACAAAGAACACCCATTGGTACAGTATGACGCCCTTTGTGCCTTCCTGCTGAAATGGAAAAATACGCCAATATTGAGCTGCACCGTGGCCAACTCTCCCACTCTAGATAACGCATCGTTTGAGCCAACCATAAATAAAAGTCCTTTTTTTATTCTGACCAGCTCAGGCACATTTGTTGGATGGCAACTCTGTAAAATATTGATGATGCATTTTCGCTGTGCTTCTTAGGCTTCATGTCACACAAAGATTTCTGAAAAAGCTGTCTGGCAAATCTGTGGTGCTGCTTCATTCTCAAGTGCAGATATAAAACAAAAAAAAATATCTTGCTGCCCAAATGTATCAGGACAAATTGTCACGTTGCATCAGATGGCAGCCGTGTAATTGATGTTTGCGCACTGAGTTTAGGGGAAATGACAGGAGGAGGGATGAGTTGGAAAACTCAACCTGTCTTATTGTAGAAAGAGAACGATGCTTGAAAGTGAATGCAGATAAAAAATCTCTAACAGCAAGAGCTGACAAACTGTTCATCTGACCTAAATATGTTCAAAACATAAACTAAGGTTGTTGTTTTGAAGATTTAAACCCTCATACACGTGTCACACATGTCATTCAGTGTAATTCTGCCAAATCTATACCAGCCTCTCTGTTTTCTATTTGCTCTGTCTGAGATGTATGAAGCTTCTTCCAATGCAAACAGAACATTTACTACTGCCTCCTTACATTAAACGCATAGAGGCGTTTATTGTTAAGCAGTAATGGGAAACAAAATGTGTCTGTGATTTCACACACATTAATCCTCTGAACCCAAGGCAGTTTCTTTAGGTTTATCGCTCCTGTCACATTTTAATGCACTTTGACTGCAACATACCGTCACAACATAAACAGCACAACCGTGGCTAAAGCAGAGACATTATGACACTGTTATAACACAATAAATCATTAAAAACAATTACAGCTGAATTTCTTTGATAATTATTTTTTTGTAAGTGCACACCAGTGTTGCCAACACTTGAAAAAACTGTCACTATTATATGTATTTTTACTACCTACAGATTTAATTTACTTGTTGCCTACATTGAAGGCATAAACACAACCTGCAGTTCAGCCGAGCTAAGCAAAGTTTTTGTCACATGGTCGCAGTTGAGTCACTAAAACAAGTGCAGAGTGCAGAATGTTGTTTTTCTTAGAACATCAGGTTCGGACAAATGGTTTACTACTCGCAATTTTTAAATAAGACATGTGGAATACAGCTTTGGTGAAATATAATGAGTTTGGTGAAGGTTTCCGACACATCGCAGAGTTCAAAGACTGTCAGAAAGTGGAAAATCGTGTCATTTTTATAGTTTCTAGCGATGAAAAATGGTGTAGTTTTCATTATAACATGCCTTTCAAACCCACTGGTGGGTTATGGGGTTCAGAGGGTTAATTCATTAGTAATTAGATACTACAACTTGTCTTGTGTTCATTTGTACGCTACCTTTAAGTAACAGTGACACATTTCCTACAGAGCTGAAGTACGTATAATAGACGTTTACAAAAATAATATCTGGAAGACTGTAAGTTGCAGCAAAGGTTGATTTTGGTTTGGGTTCTACAGTGAAATTATATATATATTCTTTGTGATGAGCAAAAACTGAACGCAGCAGAAAGAATTCCCACTGATGATGTGATACGAAGAATAAAAGCATCGTGTTTCCTATTGATTATGATCTTTGAGCAAACTAAAAGTAAAGGTGGTCGGTGTGTACAACCCAGTTCTAGTTTTAATGTTGTTGAGCTGAACAAATGTTCTTTACTTGATTCTTTTTCATCTGGAATTTCAAGACTTGTAACACTTGCCAAATGGAATATCAGTAAAAATGAAGAAAAAGAGAAAAACAAAATCTGATCTATTGATAAGATGAAAAGTGAAAGTGATGGAGGACAATGAGGATCAGGTGGTTACGTGGTTCTGTTGATTCTGATGATCGTTGCTCTGCAGTTAAAACCTGGTTGATATTAGTGGTAGTAAGAGTACAATTTAAGAAAAGAAAATTCTCTGTGACAACAGTAACAGAGCTAATAAAGTTAATTGTGTCTCAGCCACTGCAGTCTGTCCCAGTCTGCTCCGCTCTCTGTGACTATCTGCTGTATTTACAACAACATCAACAGGGGCTTCGAGCTCTGGGAGTCTCTGTCAGGGGAGATGGTGAGTCTGGCTGTCACTGTACTCAGTGATGACATAATTCCTTCCCAAAGTCACACTTAATTTACACTACGGAGGGAGTGCGTACCTACCTAGAGTCAGACTTTAGTTACACTTGCACTGCAGTGGCGGCCTGGGGATGGGATGGAGAATGAGTGTTAATCACAGGAGGAGGAGGAGGTGACGTGGAGGGAAGACACAGAGGAACAGAGAAAGAGCTGCAAATATCGCAGCCAGACTGTTTACCAAGGAAATAATCATGTCAAATTAAACGGATCGACTCAAAATAACGGCCTTGTATGCACTGTATGCATGGAGGAGGCACAGAACTGCTTGACCGCCTCGATTTCTTGCTGCACATATGTCCTGTAATGTCACCAGGGCGTGCTCGCTATGGATTTGCTGACTGTTCAGATTCTATTCTTAGCATGGCTACATACTGTATCATTCTTACATGGGATCAATTGCCTGTTAAAGATGGTGTGATCTCTTGTTACCCATAATTAGATGTATTGATCGCTACACAACCATTACTGAAACCACAACGTGTGCATACAGTACATACAGTACCTGGCGTGTCTTTTAGGGAAACTGGATGTCATGCAACTGTATCCTGCATCCTTCTGTTAGCAGTATGTGGGTCATACAGGATGCATCAGTTGTTATCATTAAAGCTCAAAGCCACTTAATATTTTATATCTTTATCTCTCATACATAAGTGAAAGCTGATCTCAAGTGCATATACTGTATGTATATACACATCATGTATTATTTCTTTTATATGGTAAAAATCTGGCTCAGAAGGAATATTTGCAGAGTGTTATGATGATATTAGGACACACAGTGATACTGTTACACACAATAGAACATGCATGACGATGTAGAACACACTGCGTAAACCTAAAGGAGTGCATACAAGAAGGCTGACAAGTGTTACCACAGAAAACACGTTTTCACACAATTTACCTGACAAAGGAGAGCTTTACAGGGTGAAAGTACTTGATTGTAGTTTCTTGCGCTAAACTACGTTTGTAATTAAGGCTGCAACAATAAAGTAACAGCGCTATGCAGGAAAAACAAATAGGTTGTAGAGGCCAGTAAGTGATTTTCACAAAACCTGTTGGGCTTAGGAAACATTTTCACCAATAGTCTGTCCTGATCAATGTCAGAATTATTAACAGAGTAAATAATGGTGGAATGGAATGGAAATGAAAAGCAAATTTTCAGGTATTTGTATTGAGTTATGAGTTGATAAATAAAGTAAAACCTCTATTCTTTCAACACAAACACATAAAAATGTTGAATTTGGTCAAATAATTAAATAAATAATGACCTTTTTGTCACATATGTACTTGAGAATGTCCTTAACCAGTGAGATTTGCACCACTTTCGTGTTAATTTAATTTTCTTTCTAGTTTTTTTGGGCCGATTTCTTTACCATTCCAATTTGTAGAAGACAGACATCAGGTGATGATAAAACTCAAACACAGGAGGAACATAAGGGAAGCCAAAACACCAAACAACAAAACACAGTTTTACAAAAACTCAAAGACATTTAGAGAAAACGGACCACGATCACGAACAACAGCAAAATATAATAACTTTAAATGAACATAACTTAACCCTACGCACAGTGAAACCATGAAGCATTCACAATACAACACAGAGAAACAAACCTCTACAAAACCGCTGCAAAATACTCCACAAAAAAAAAACACTTAATGAAAGACACCATGTTAGAAACACGAGAAATAAATCAGCACAAAAAAAGAATTGTACACATACAGTGAGGAAAGAGAGTGTAGAGGGACAGAGACAAAGAAAGAGAACCCAACAGTGACTGAGATCCTTGAGGGAGGTCTGGAGGAGTAATTTGGAGTGAGCAATCAAAGGGGTGATTGACCGTTTGACCTTTGTGAGCCATGCATACAGCATCTGGGTGCGTTGGAAGTCAAATGGCCAACAATCAAAAAGAAGAGACCGAGAAGCTAAGAACACAAGTTGGCAAAAGACATCTTAACGCATATGTCTACAAAATAAACCACAAATGAAGCACACAAGAATGAGTTTTACACAGCGTCAGAATCCCTCTTTAAAAACAAGAAGGAGAGCGTTTGGAATCAGTGGAGACATTAGCTGATAGAAATCCAGCTTTTTCTTGATGCAGATTGTTAATCGTGTCTTATATGTAAGTTGCTCAGCCCTTTACGGTGGTGGATCGCCCTGGACAGCTCATTTGTCCATCACAGGGGCTGTGCATCCATGACCTTGTTATCTAATCCTGGAGGATCAAGTTCCAGATAAAGCAAGAAACAGATCGTATGTCTCTGGTGTTTTACTGTAATCTTTGTCTCCAGTGCACAACATATTATTAACAATAATAACAATCCGCAACCTAAACCTACCAATCACAGTGCACAACTTTCACTTGTTTTCCTCAACGGACTCCTGGTTTGCTTTAAAGAGGGATTTTTTTTTTTTTTTTGGTAGCACTAAAATTGCAGTTTATACATAAGAACCATTTAAAACTGTAGCGATGTCAGCGACCTCTACGTGAAAGACTTGGACAGCTCGAGGCTTGCTTACCTTAGACAGCATGTAGCCACTTTTCAGTCAAATCTGTCATAGCGTTTGTCTGTCTGTCTGGTCAGTAAGTGTTTCAGTCACCGAGTGCAGCTTTTTTTTTTTTTTAAATCCTTTTGATTTTCTATCCAGGTCTCCACAGTACAAATACAAAAGGGTCCTGAACTTTTGGACTACACTAGGCACTGAAAGCACAGTTACAAGGTCTAGGGAATAGTATTTCAGATCCAATACACGCTCGTAGCACCGTATTTTGCAAATCAGCATTGCAGTAGTTTAACTGACGTATAAGTCGGGTTGGTTTCGTTTAATATGTTGTTTTCAGCGTGCTATGTTTCGTGAGGTACTATCCCTTGACATAGATGGCTCCCTTGACCCCAGTGACCTTGGGCCTTGGTACGATGACGCACAACACCGACTTTGTGTGAAGCTATTTGTTAAAATTTCACATAAAAACGCCACATATGTACATATAACGATGGAAAAATGTGGCAGATAAGGAACAAAGGCCACCGTGAGGGCTGTGGGTACATGTACATCCACAAGTATATATAAAAAGAGCATTGTTTGTTTGTAGTGCTGCGTTCCTAAATTGCAGTGTGCGCTTTTGTTTGCCAAGGCGGAGGCCCGTGGGGTTGGGAATAACACGAATAAACACAGTAGAAGGGAGAAACCAAACTGAAGCCACACACGACAACACAAACACGACACTCAGACGGCATTGAGAGGACAGAGACACAGTGTATAACACGTAAGAATGAAAAAGCCCACATACACACGCGTGATATGACACAACCTGAAGAGAGAGACAACAACAACACAGAGGCACATCAGACAACAACGTGACCCGCTGTTCCCGTTCATTCTTCTTCAGTGTATGTATTTTTTATTAGTTATTGACACAGGACACAACATCTGGGTTAATTTCACTTGAGCTGCTGGATGTGTGCGTTAACCCCCACATGGATCCATTCGTGAGTGTATGCAAGTTTAAAGCTCTCACACAGACACATACACACTCACACGTGTGTGCACTCTACGTATTATGAGTGTATATCACAGATCTTTTTTTTTTTACATCTTGTACACTGAGATTGTTGCTGAGTTCACAAAGTTATGATAAAGCACATTTTAATGCAGGTAGGATGTTGGGCTGAGGTTAGGTTTTATTGTATGAAATACCTAAAAAAAAAAAATCAGATGCTGAGCCCCCAAAATGCCACCCAAGCTTAAACGCTACCTAACCTTAGCTCAAGTGTTTGCATCAGCCTCTTAGTGTATTATTTAGGACTGACAGCAGACTTTCCACACTTTCAGGCGTTTACAGGTGAAACTCCACTGAACATTTAGACACAACACCGTGAAAATATCAGTGTATCTGTGAAGACTGTGATAAAGTGGGTGCTATACTCCTGTGGCATAGTTTGTGCATTTGCAAAACATGCTAAATCATGGACAGCCAGATCAAAAAATTCTGGATGTTTTCAGTCAAAAGTTGACTAAACTACTGGCTTCGTTATTTATTTATTTATGTTTTCTTTACTTGTTTTCAGTGTTACCTCTGGGCTACGGTTTGATCCAGGAGGAGGTGGAGTTTGCATTGAGGTCCTGCTGTAACAGAGACCCTTCCATCTTATACCAATCCTCAGTCAGAGGGGAGTCTGGGCTGGGTGCCAGGGCTGCTGCCTCTAGTTTGTTGTCAACAAGGGGGTGTTGAAAAGTTTGGAGGGAGTGTGAGGGAGTGTTTCGGTGCAGGTTGGCGGCAGTGGTGGTGGTTGGATTGCAGTAGTAAATGAATCGAGGTGTTGGGTTTTCATGAGCATGATGATAAGGCGCACACAGGGCAAAAAAAAAAAAAAAAAGAAGGGAGGGAGGGAGGAGGATTTGTGATGTAGCACAAAAGGGGGGAAAAAAAGGAGGAGGGGGAATATGAGGCCATGGGGTTTAACGATGGAGCAGAGGGAACAGGGAGCCAGGAGGGAAAATGTTGGGGGGAAGGTTAGGAGGGAGGAAAAGTCATCAAAGGGGTGAGGGAGGAGGGACCGGAATAAAAAAATTTTTTAAAAAAAGGACAATGCAAGGCAGGAGAGAGAGAGAGAGAGAGAGAGAGAGAGAGAGAGAAACAGACAGGGAGAAACAGAAGTGACGAGAAGTAAATTAATGCATGGTCAACTGTCTGAGTCCAGAAGACAGAGAAAGACAGATCGTTTTTGAGCATGAATGAATGTGACACTATGGGACAGAGATTCACAGACACCATGGAAAGATGGAAGACATGACTGAGGCAGTGTGAAGAGAAAGAAAAAAAAAAAAGGAGAGAGGGACAGAAAATCTCGTCTGACAGAAGGAAACCAAAATGATACCAAGCGGTGATGGAAACACGGACGACATGGATGTGAAGAGGTGGAAACAAAGAGAGCAGAGCAGAAGAGCTATATGGTGTGTGTGCATGTGTTGTACGACTGTGTGTGTTTTGTCATTGTCTGTCTACAGCTGAGCTCTTCAATCCAACCCATGTTTCCTAAATGTTCTGATCTTGAAAACAAACAGTGACCTACATGATCTTCACCTGCGCTGGCTGCACACTGGACGTATACGTGTCTATATATGTTTACAGCGTACTGTGCCTGGCATCTCGCTGTGTGGATCTGTTTACATAAGAGGTGCGTGTTTACATATCCGTCGCCCGGTGTGAAACATACCTTTCCGCACATTCCCATCTGTGGCACGGAATTCCCTGGTGTTCAGCAGGAAGCAGGCTCGGTCCTGCTGGTAGCGTTCCCGGGTAGGCCCCCGCCCGATGGGGCTCCTCTCGTCTGGGCTCAGCACCTGGTCGATGGTGGGGCAGTCCTCGTTAGCCAAGGCGGCCGAGGCTGCGTCACCGTTCTGCTTGGAATCTGGAAGCGGCACAGAAAGGGGAAAACCACATACAGGTGATTTACTGTCTGAGAAGAGCATCTTTTGTGTCTATTTTATAAAGAATAGTTTTTCTGGGGTTAATTTGCGCTACTTTATCTCACTGATCAAGTGTGAGAAAACAAAGCAACAGACTCGATCCTGCAGATTGGCAATATGAGGGCTGCTAAAGAACTAAACACAGTACCTGCTCGAGCTGCAACATTTAACTGACTAATTGGCAACTATTCTGATAATTGATTTTCCAGTTTGAGTCAATTTTAAGAAAACGAGTATGCCTTAATTGTGTGATTCTGCCTTTTTCAATATTTTCTGGTTTCTTTTTGTCTAAAGTAGAGTGTTTTTAAATACTTAAGGTATTGGAAGCAAAGTTGTGAATTTACCTAAAGATTAAAAACAAAAAATAAAACTTGGTTTAACTGCTCATATACTGTCTGTGGATTAACTGTCATGCCTGTACGGAGGAATCATTTTGTATTGAAGTTTTGTATGAAGTGTCTTGACCTTGAATTGTATTTTGTTTCTGTGAAACATGATTACAACTGCAAGGTTTAAAATGTCTTTGTCATTGTGACTAGAGCTGCAACTATTAATCAGTAATTATCAACTATTTTGACAAGCGAGTCATTTTTTACCTCTCATTTTTTAAAATCTGAATATTTCTGTAGTTTGTTTGTTTTCTCCCTTCCTTTACTTTATGCAAGTAATTATTAGTTGCAGCCCTTTTACCAGTTAACTTTATACTAACAAGTAAAGTTATTTTTTACATACAATGTCAGGTAATGTTAAAACAGCATTATTTTTAGAATTATATATAAAAACATTGGTAGACCATGAAAGAAAGGAAATATGTCGTGCTGCAGCTAACGTTCCTGAGTGATTTGGGAATGACTGACTGCAGTCACCCACATGATGCTAAAATCTGTTGCCGAGCATATGTGTTGTTCTTTTTTGTGCTGCAACATGATGATGCAGCAGACAAGTCAAGGAGCCAGTTGTCAAAACTTTGACTAATACCACTTCCTGGTAAAAAGGGAAAAAAAAACAAAAAAACAAAAAAAACGCAGGCTACAAAAAGGTTGGAAGAGAGCCAAGCAGACAAGATGTAGTAAAAGCACTGATGAAACCAATATTTTCTGGCTCACTGATGACTAAGCCGGTAAAGTAATGCATTAAAGATGCATTATTGCTGCATGTGACTGACGCCTGCTGCTGCAGCACGTAAAAAGCAAACAAAGAGCCAGATTACCTCCCCTCCTGATTCCACTGCTAATGCCAGAGAGGGAATATGATAAGTCAGCTCAAACTGAGATGCATTAAGCTGTTTTAATAGATAATTGAGGTCATTTTCCTTCCGTAGTGTTTGTTCCTCACTGACAGATGGGTGCCTTAAGGCAACTGTGAACCTACCAGTTGATCATAAATTACACATGAGTTCTGATGGGCCAGTGATTTCTCCAGGGTGGCTCAAGAATCAACTACGCATCACTTCTAGATAGTACGCCTACTTCTTTCTCCTGACACTTTGGCTTCTAATTCTTTAGTGGACCTCTCCAATCATCATTAAAACTCAACACTGCCCTCGGTAAATTGTAATATTTGCCAGTAGTGTGTTACTCAGTTTTTCCCATTGAGTGTTTAGCTGTAAACTTTGACACTTGACTACATGTGAATAAGCTGTTCACAGAATAGAGGGACTGAACGTGGAAAACCTCATGTCTCACCTCTGTTGATCTCTATAATTTCTTCTTGGGCGAGAGGACAGTCACCCCCTATGCCTCCGGACCCCATCACTCCACCCAAGACATTTCCCAAGATCCTCTGCGGTGATGCGGTCGCCATTGCCAGGGCATCCGGCTTGCAGTAGTTGGGGGACCCTGGTTGTGGCGCTCGGGGGATGTGCTTGTTCTTCTTTTTGGGCAGCTTTTGTTTGGCCATGGCCAGAGAGTAGTACATGCCGAAGTTGTTGACAATGACAGGTACAGGCATAGCAATGGTTAGCACACCAGCCAAGGCACACAGCGCGCCCACCAGCATCCCCGACCACGTCTCCGGATACATGTCTCCGTAACCCAGTGTGGTCATGGTCACCACGGCCCACCAAAATCCAATGGGGATGTTCTTGAAGTTGGTGTGGGCGCTGGCAGTCGGGTCATCTGGGTCTGCACCAATACGCTCTGCGTAATAGATCATAGTGGCAAAGATGAGGACGCCGAGAGCTAAGAAGATGATGAGCAGGAGGAATTCGTTGGTGCTGGCGCGAAGGGTGTGGCCCAGGACACGGAGACCCACAAAGTGACGGGTGAGCTTGAAGATTCGGAGGATACGGACGAACCGGACAACACGGAGGAACCCCAGGACATCCTTGGCAGCTTTGGAGGACAGACCGCTCAAGCCAACCTCCAGGTAGAAGGGCAGGATGGCGACAAAGTCGATGATGTTGAGGGTACTTTTGAAGAATTCAAGCTTGTCTGGGCAGAAGGTGACTCGCAGCAAGACCTCGATGGTGAACCAGATGACACACACGCCCTCCACATACGTCAACCAGCTGTCGGTCACCACCTCGTATACGATCTCCTCGCGGGTCTGGTTGCCCACTGTGACGTTCTCTGTCTTGTTGATGATGGTGTTGAAGGCCTCGTGCGTCTCCATGCAGAAAGTGGAGATGGAGATGAGGATGAAGAATAGGGAGCCGAATGCCACATACTGGAAGAAAGGAAGAAACCGACAAACAGAAAATGAAATCAGGAGGAGGAAGCAGAGAAAGAGTAAAGGTGGGGTAAAGAGTCAGTTGCAAGAAAACTCATGGAGGCTAAGGCAAAATAGGAAAGCATGAGGAAAACTACAGCATTTGTCAAGTATGAAACCTTAAGGCAACAGCAGAAGAGGAAAACATGTGACGTTTGTTTTGTCAAACCAAACAAGTGATGCAAATATTAACTCTGCTGGACAAAGTGACACTTGGTCTGAGATTTGCTTTAATAGTCATCTATTCTAATAAAACAAAGGTCTGTTTTGTAACAAACCAGATGGCAAGTGGACTTTCCCTAAAAAGGACATTTGTCCTGACTAAAGTATATGAGTCATAAATAACTGTGTTGAACAGTGCTGCCAGAAAAAGAAAGATATACTCTGCGTAAATGGCAGAGCGTGTGCCATCAGGAAATTATGGCTTACTGTGATTATAAGTACTATCCATTTAATACTGAACTCCTTTTAAAGAATTTCTCCTTATTTTAATGTCTGTCACAGTCTATGTCTTTGTCTTTTAAATTGACATAATTTTACACTAAAGATATTCTAAGATTAAGTTCATAAATTCAAAATTACTCAACACCTGCAGGTAGTGGTTCAAACCAGACCCTTAGTAAGAAAAAAACTAAAAGAAACCAGGCCCACCTGGACGTAAAAACCCTTTGTCTCAGAGTTTTGACTCCAGATTACCTCCGATCTTGCTGATGTACAACGAAACTAGAATTATAGCCCACAGCTACTTCATCAACGAATCACATTGCATTTTACATCCATCTTCTCTCCTGTTCCTGAGTTATAGTGTTGAATATTGGCTAGAAAAGTGTTTTTGGTTTTACAGGGATGTTGACCTTATGGCTATAAAATGTCATCAATGTGAAATTTGGTCATTATCACTGTATGAATACTTGAATTGTGGCCAAAAATGTGTTTTGTGAGGACACAGTGATCTTTGGCCATGAAATCTTTGAGTGGACATTAGTGCCAAATCAGAAGAAAATCCTTCCAAGCATTCAAGAGATATCGCAAGAATGGGATGTATGGACAGACAGACAAGCCAGAAATATAATTGCTCCCATTGTTGTCGATGGTGGAGAGGCATTAAAAGACAAGAAGAAATTCAAATTAAAATGTAGTAATTTAGCTGAAAACTGTAAAAGAAAGTGTGTACAAGTGGGTAAAAAGCTAATTATATCACTAATTTGCAGTACTTTGCAAGGGAGAACACAGGACAGGACAGAAGAATAGAAAACAAAAGAAGCTGAAGGGATGAGATAAATAAATAACTGATCATCTGTAAACTCTAATCCTGTAAACAAGCGAGAAATCCCACATTGTATTCCCATAGTTCACTGTGCTTCCTGCGTTGTAAAAGTGTTAAAACATGAGTTCGGTGCAACTGATCCGGAAAAAAGCATTTGTTCGTGTATAATATGAAATCAGGCGGTTGACTTATGTAAGCTATTTTGAAATGTTAATTGTTATTATCTAAAATGCTGATACAGCTTTTGCATGCAGATCGCACAACACCATGTCCTGCCGGTATACACTTGACTGGTGATCCAAGTGCGTTACATTAGCCTTCACTCAGGCATCACATCATTCAGCTGACTCTGTTTGAAATGGACTCAATTATAATGTTGAGCATTTTCAAATACTGAAAGTATTGGAAGCAAAGTTGTGGATTTATCTAAAGCTGTATTTGGATGAACTGCAGATATACAACCTGTGCCATAAAATCAGTGTCTGTTTGGTAATTTGACAAATGTAGTATTAGCTGCACAGAAGAAGAAGAATTGTGTATTTAAAATATGAAGCAGCTTGACCTTGAATTGTATTTGAGGTTTCTGTGAGACATCATTACTCCTGTAAGGTTTAAGATGTCTTTGGTTTTGTGCCTAAAGCTGCAGTTATTAATCATTTTTTAAAAGCAAAATCCTGATTCCTTCTTCTTAAATTTGAGTATTTTCTGGTTTATTTCTTTTCTATGACAGCAAACTGAACATCTTTGGGTTGTGGACAAAACAAGACATTTGAGGGCGTCATCTTGGGCTTTTGGACACATTGCCACCCACGTTTTTCACCAAACAACTTGTCGTATAATCAATAAAGTAATCTACAGATTGTTTGACAATAAAAACAGCTCTAGTTGCAGGCCTAATCATGACATGTCTTTGTTTCAAATTAAACCGTTTCCACCTCTTGGTAGTATTGTATTGTTACAATTTCTATAAGCGGCAATATCTTGTTTGCTTTCTGAAATGTTGTCCTCAGGATAACTTTTCCTGGACGGAAACAAGAAAAAACAAAAGTCCCCACAACGTCCCGCTGCAGAGATCTCTGTTTTCTCAGTAAGTTTATTTTTCAGCTTGTTTGTTCTCCCATTACTCAAAGGCAATTTTCTTAACATTGTCCATCTGTGTCATCTGCAAGCAGCAGTATATGTACCCACCCAGGCTTATTATTCCACCGTAGCCCGCTCAATTGTCACCGAATCAATGACAGTAGCGTGATACCACCAGAGTGCGGGGGGCCACTGCTCAGCCTCCCCCTGTTGCAGTCCACTCCCACAAGCCCTGCAGTGTATTTATAGATGCAGTATACTTTGTGCTTTATCAAATAAATAATAAAACACAGACATGGCCTGAAGAGCAAAAGAGAAAGGTAATTCATACTTGAGTGGAGCCCATATATATAAGAAGCCTGAGTGCCCTCGGTGCATTGTGCGTGTCACCGTGTATTTTCGACATTATGCACTTATGCAATATCAAGAGCAACATACTTATAAGAGGAGGCCCATACAACGAGGCAAACGGAGGGAACCGGTTTCAGTTATTTTTCTTGAAAGGTCTCGCTTCTGTCTCCCCCTTTTTTTTTTCTTAGAATTGGAAATTGGATGAGAGCCTACACATATTTTCTCTAAGTGCCTTCATGACAGAAACAGACTTAAGACTCTGAGCCACTGTATTTATTGAAGGAGATTAGCCGACAAGTGTTCAGCCAAAAAAAAAGTGACCTTCCAGGAAAAGTCAGCGTAAGTCAGCATCCAAGTCTACGGTTTTGAATTTGTAAGAAGGTTTTTGCAAGTAGGTTTAGACAGTTCCTTGGCAGAAGAAGAAATCAAGAATCAGATTATATTAGCTTTGCTACCTTTTTGTACCCCAAATAGTTTGCTGATGCATATTATGAGGTTTGTTTCAGCTTTTCTGTTATTCTCACCACCATCCTCCCCCGACTTTCTCTCCCTCTCTGGCCTTTTTTTCTTCTCCTTCTTCCCTCCTCTTTTCGTTCTCCCCCCTCCACTTCGCTCTCCTCTCCATCCCTACCTCTTTTCTCCTCTGCTATGCTTCTCACTAGTCGGTGTCTGACCTACTTTCTCAGATTGCTGCAGTGCTCTCCTCCTCTGTATCGTGAAAACACACACACACACACACACACACACACACACACTGAGGTTCTCAATCATCCTCCTACCTCTACCCCCATACCAGCCTCCTTCTCCCCTCCACATGTCCCAGGGAAGCAGGATAGCACCAGCGGGACCAACTCAGGATGCTCCCTCATTGGCTGAACACCAGAAAGTCTTCACGTGTGCAAATCAGGGCAACGAGGAGAGTTTTGCCCTCAAGTGTTCTGCTCTTATTTTTCCTCTTAGTGTTGTCATTATTCCTTACGACGACATTAACGATGTAGGTGATATAATATCGGTTAGACTGAGGAGATGAGCAGCTCCAGTGTGGTAAGAAGTGTGAAATCTGCCCTCAAAGGGATTTTTTTTTTCTCTCCCTGCTGTCTCTTACACGTGTACAAACTAACACATCCACAACAGAGCGCAAAGAGAAAAATAGTGGCAAAACTGCAGCAACATCACATCTTCTATGTAGGCTACACAGGTGGAGACACAGGAGGGGGTGGACAGGTGGGAGGGAGACCAGACGATGTGGATCCATGCGTAGAGAAGCACAAAGGGAAAAAAAGAAAGTTGAAGCAGTCCACTGGAAAGGACAGCGTATGATACAAGTGAGAGGGGGTGAGGGCCGAATGCCAAAACAGTTAGAGCGATGCAAAACTTGACTGAGGTAAGCCAAGATCTGCTCGGTTAAACTAAAGGTAGCCGCGATGATGTCGATGCGATGCGACTGCGATGTCGTGAACAGGGGAGCTTAAAAAGACGAGGAAGACGGCAAGAAGGTATGACAGAAATGAGAGGGAGAGGAAGAGTGAGGAGGCAAAGAAAGAGAAGCAAACATGTCAAGACGCTGAGGGCTAATAATAAATGACGGGCCTCGGCCATAAACGCAGCTTCTGTCAACCAGAAGGACAGACAGAGTTCTGTATTTTTCCAACATGTTCCTCCAATAAAAATGATCCATCATGTAAAAGTAGTTTAACCCTGAACCCAAAGTAGTTTCTGGCTGTTTTGTTTTTTTTACTCCATTGTGGGCTCATTTTTCACTACAAAGTCCTAAACTGAGCTAGAAGTAGAGAGAACTCAGAAATGTCTTGTGTGCAGAATGACACACTTATAATACCATAAATCATGGGAAAAAAGAAAAAAGTTAGGCAGATTTTAAAATTAAATCAACATGTTCAACATTTTCCTAAGAGCCCACATGTGTTGCCAACACGGGAAAATAAAATATTACCTCTACATATTGTAGATATTTTACCACTTACAATTTATTTGTTTCCGTTCTTGCTTTCTAATTGCTTCGTGAGCACAGCCTGCAGTTCAGCCAGGAAGTCTCAGAATTGTTGTCATGTGACTGTCAGATGCAGCAAAGTCACTCATGGCTTCACGTTCACACCAAAGAGTGCAGAATTTTTTTAGTTTTCTATGGAATCTGGTTCAAGCAAACTATTTGTTACTGGCAAACTTTTCGATGAGACGTAGAATAAAGAGGTTTTGGTGAAATGTCACAGATTTACTTTGGTAAGTTTTGCAAAGGTACAGC